TGGGAACGAAAGTGATCTATACTGTTCCAGAACAGAACCGTTATTTTAAAAGCATGGGAACCGGTTAATAATGTTATTTTACGTTCCGGGTATTTTTTTCCAGTCCCCCAAAACTTCAACAAAGCGCCTGTGCAAAGCCCTCCCTCTGTCAATCAGAAACTTCTTCCAGTGTTTGCTTCCTAGCTAAAAATCTTTGCCAGTGTGTGTGTGTGTAGGCTTCCTGCCCCTCCCCCTCCAAAGCATAGCTGTAGCTACTAATAATAAATATAATAATATGCCATTTAGCAGACGCTTTTATCCAAAGCGACTTACAGTCTGATGTTACAAGCGTGATTCACAAGATAGGGAGAGAGATTTTTAATAAGAGAAGAATGGATTAACTTTTTCAATGCTAGTTAAGGATACTAAAGTGATCACATTTCATATTGGATTTATTAATTACAAAGGATGTGTTTTTAATTCTAGTTTGCTCTGCACACACAAGCTTGTTCGCTAGCTAGCTCTTGTCTAACGTTAAACCAACTCTGAAGTTCAAAGACATTCAAAGTTCCTCCATTGAAGCCGTTCCTTCGTAGGTATAATTCTGTGGACCTAATTCAGATAATGCATGTCATCACAAGATGCCCAGCGCATCAAACCAAGCCTCCTCCTTCACCCTCACTCGCTCTCCCAAAATGTCAGTTGCATCTCACGCCCTACACTTGTCTTTCCATCATGCATCTAAACAACTCAATGAGCTATAGCTTGCCCACTCCATTGCAAGCTGCTCTATCCGCACTGCATAATTGGTGAAGTAATTTAATGTCGAGCTAATTGTAAAAAAAAGGTTTAAAAAGGAACAGAAACGAACGGTTCAGAACGTTTTATATATATATATATATATATATATATATATATATATATATATATATATATACTGTAGAATACTATAGTAAATACTACATTATAAACTGGGTTGTTCAAGCCCTGAATGCTGATTGGCTGACAGCCGTGGTATATCAGACCGTATGACAAAGCATTTATTTTTACTGGTCTAATTAGATATGTTGGTAACCAGTTTATAATAGCAATAAGGCACCTCTGGGGTTTGTGGTATGTGGCCAATATACCACGGCTAAGGGCTGTATCCAGGCACTCCGTGTTGCGTCGTGCATAAGAACAGCCCTTTGCCGTGGTATATTGGCCATATTCCACACCCCCTCGGGCATTATTGCTTAAGTATACTACATACCACAAAGACACTACAGTAAATACTACAGTAATGTTAGAAAAAAAACACTGCAGTCCTCAAAAATACTACAGTAAATAATAGAGTAATGTCCACAAAAACACTACAGTCCGCAAAAACACTACAGTAATTACTACAGTATATACTACAGTGTTTAATTTGCATATACCCTGCTGAGTCCCCTATATCAATAAATCAATCAAATGTATTTATAAAGCTCTTTTTACATCAGCAGATGTCACAAAGTGCTATACAGAAACCCAGCCCAAAACCCCAAACAGCAAGCAATGCAGATGTAGAAGCACGGTGGCTAGGAAAAACCTAGAGAGGATCCAGGCTCTGAGGGGTGGCCAGTCCCCTTCTGGCTGTGCCAGGTGGAGATTATAACAGTACATGACCATGATTTTTCTCCAAGATGTTCAAACGTTCATAGATGACCAGCATGGTCAAATAATAATCACAGTGGTTGTAGAGGGTGCAACAGGTCAGTACATCAAGAGTAAATGTCACTTGGCTTTTCATAGCCGGGCATTTAGAGGTTGAAATAGCAGGTGCGGTAGAGAGAGAGAGTTGAAAACAGCAGGTCTAGGACAAGGTAGCACGTCCGGTAAACAGGTCAGGGTTCCATAGCCGCAGGCAGAAGAGTTGAAACTGGAGCAGCAGCACGACTAGGTGGACTGGGGACAGCAAGGAGTCATTACATTTACATTTAAGTCATTTAGCAGACGCTCTTGTCCAGAGCGACTTAAAGTTAGTGAATACATTTTTATTTATTTTTTATTTATTTTATTTTATACTGGCTCCCCATGGGAATCGAACCCACAACCCTGGCGTTGCAAACGCCATGCTCTATCAACTGAGCTACATCCCTGCCGGCCATTCCCTCCCCTACCCTGGGCCAATTGTGCGCCGCCCATGAGTCTCCTGGTCGCGGCCGGCTGCGACAGAGCCTGGATTCGAACCAGGATCTCTAGTGGCACAGTTAGCACTGCGATGCAGTGCCTTAGACCACTGCGCCACTCAGGAGTAATCAGGCCAGGTAGTTCTGAGGCATGGTCCTAGGGCTCAGGTCCTCCGGGAGGGGAGGGAGAGAGGGAGAGATAGAGAATTAGAGGGAGCATACTTAAATTCACACAGGACACCAGATAAGACAGGAGAATAACACCAGATATAACAGACTGACCCTAGCCCCCCGGCACATAGACTATTGCAGCATAGATACTGAAGGCTGAGACAGGGGTTGGTCGGAAGATGCTGTGGCCCTGTCCGACGATTCCCCCGGACAGGGCCAACCAGGCAGGATATAACCCCACCCACTTTACCAAAGCACAGCCCCCACACCACCAGAGGGATATCAACAGACCACCAACCTACCCTGAGACAAGGCTGAGTATAGCCCACGAAGATCTCCTCCACTGCACGAGCCCGAGTGGGCGACAAACCGGACAGGAAGATCACGATCAATTTGTGCCACCTATAATTGAGAAACCTACAGTACATGCCAAGTGTAGACCATATATTGTGTTCCCTACAGGTTATTTAAAAATAGAGCAGAAGCTCTGAACTGTCCGTTCAGACCTCAGTCCTACCTAACTTCGGGTTATGGAAAATTTGCTCTTTCAGTATTTTGTCCCGTAGGTTTCCTCAAGGACAAAGCCCCCACTGCTATGTCAAAGATAATAAATCAAAAATACTATAGTAAATACTACAGTAATGTCCACAAAAACACTACAGTAAATACAGTATACTACAGTCCGCAAAAACACTACAGTAATTACTATAGTACACTACGTTTTTTTCTTACTACAGTATTTACACTATAGTAAACTTTAAATAATACAGTATATTACTGTCATGTCCGCAAAACTACAGTAAATACCACAGTATTCACTGTAGTTTTTTTGCAGACTTTAGTCCGCAAAAACACTACAGGTAATCCTACAGTAAAGTCTGCAAAAACACTACAGTGAATACTATAGTATTTAATGGCTGTATTCGCTATTACGACCAATTAATTAAGTGTCACATTTTAATGTTATTTAACAAAGCTTTTTGTATTATAATAATGACTTAATTTTTTCATGTGGGCTGTGTGGCCAGATAATCAGAGATGGAGGGATGGAGGGATGGAAGGAAGGATAGATGGATGTAGCGGGGGTGAAAGATTTTTGGGAAATGTGGGAGCCGAAGGTGTTATGAGGTAGACAGAGAGGCGCTGTAGCTATTACATCTGTGATGCTGATGGTTGGCCCTGCTTTGCTTTGCGTTGCTGGCTGTGGTGTATTTTTCTGGCTGGTTTAATCATACAGACTCTGTCGGAGAGTGTTGTTTAATAGAAATTGTCTCAGGCCAGGATTGGGACAGAGTCTAATAATTAGGGGTACACTGATAGCTGCTAAATGTAAGTGTTGTATCCATGAATGAGAGGACAGCTCTATAGCAGAGTGGTCTATAACCATCTCCACATTCCTAACTCTATGTTCACTTTGAGGTGTTTTTTTTTACTATTACAAATTGTTAATCTGCATAGCTGCTAGGTTGTGGTTTTTCTACCTGGCCTTTCTACCTTGTCGCATTGATTCGCTTTGAGTACTGATACCGATGTTTTGTCAGACACTATTTGTAAGGAAAAAGTCTATAGCCTACAAAAAAATGTGGTTGATTCATTAAGAGTTTGATCAACTTACTTTTAGCTACTTTGGGAAATACACTTTCTTCTGTGGGAGGTGTGGGTAAATCTATACAACTTATTTAAACCGATTTTTGGCCTGAATCCTCATCTTCAGGCCTAAATGGGCTTCTAAACAGTCAGTAATGAGGATAAGATGAGTAGTGCATTAACTCTATATTCTGGTGTTAGCACGGCCTGTTTCTAACTCCCTCTTTCATTAAAGCCCTATTACTGTTTCTGAAGCTTGTTCATTAGCGCTAGGCTAATTTGCCAAAGGAATTCCCATTACTGGGAGATAACTTTATCACTCAGCAATCCCCTCCCGCTCTCCTCCTCTTTTTCTCCGTCTTCTCTTCCTACCCCTCTCTTTTCTATCTCGCTACTGCGTGATCACATGGGTTCTTATGGTAGAGATGACGCTCGGTGTGTAGATTGCTCATTTGGATGTACCAAGTCTTCTCTTTCCATGGGAATCAAACCCCATTCTCAACCACTTATTTTGGTCATTGTCTGTATTTCTCATTCCTTTTCTGTTTATCTTTCTCATTCTCTTCCTCCCCCTCCATCCCTCTCTGTATCTCTCTCTATCTCCCTCTCTCTCTATTTTCCATAGAAAGAAGACCTACAGTATTGTCTCAAACCCATGCCCTCCAGTCACAAACAGTAGTCAGTAGAACCTATTATACTACATTCTACTACCAGGCTCAGTGTAAACCAGGCATAACTCATCACATATTGTGACATGGACGTTTCACTGCAGGCTCATAACACTCTCAGGCTTTATCAACCACATGTTCAGTTTTTCGTCTCCTCTTCTCCCTCAGTGATTTGATCAAACTTAACATGGAACTAGTCTGGATGCAGACCTATATTTGGACCCTGTGTCTTCCCATCTCTCTTCCACGGATGGATAATTGTTCCATTAAAGATAGATTCTTCCTTGTACTCCATCACGCCTCTCTGGCTGGGTGACATGAGGTAGACGAGAATATGAATGAGAGGTGGAGAGTGAGGAGGGAGGGAGAGGGAAAAGTGCAGAAATCTGAGAGGTGTTGAGGTGTTGCACGCATTGAGCTGTGGCGGTTACGGGAGGGAGAGAAAATGACAGGATGCGAGAAAGTGGAGAGGGAGGGAAAGAAAGAAGCAAAGAGAGAGGTTCGCGATGCTTCTTCTAACAGGTCTGAAAAGCAACAGCAGCAAGGGACAGGATTGAGAGATACTCTTGAGGAGGAAGAGGAGGAGGGGGAGTAGGGAAAGAGAGGGAGTAGGAGGAGGTGAAAGCCCCAAAAAAAACGAAGAGAAGAGAGGTGTACAGTGAGGAAATACAGGGGGGAAAATAGTGAGTACCCAGAGAAGGAAACACACAGAGTAATATTCACTATCAGCAGTCATATCGGAACATGCTGAATTTCACGCCTGTCAGTCGACTGCAGTTTTCTCTATGTGTGTGCCGAGTAAATGAGTGTTCACACATTGTCCACAAAAACAGAGAAAAGGGGGGAGTGAAAAGGAGAGAGAGAGTTACTGTCCTTTTCCATCACGCCTGAACAAAGGTAGACAGTTTTATCACAATCTTACGCAAACACACACACTCTGTGATCAAATAGTGTGAAAGCACACTGATGAATGGCAAACACTGTCACACAGTATAAAATTACCTGACATGTATTCACAGTGGGAATGAAGCCGTGAGCAGTGCTATTGCAGATTACCAGTATAGTTACAGTGAGGAGACACATTCAGGACTTTGCAGATGAAATGTAATGGACAGAATTGCCACAATTCCCTTTTCATCCTATCTGTTCTACACCATACATTTCTATCTGAACATTCTATAACGTTGCATCATCCTGAACAGGTTCCAGTTGTTATTTCTGCCAGTGTCTTGACAAAACTAAAGTATCGGTCACTAGAGGCGGTGTGAGGATGTACCCACAGTGTGTGTTACAGCTTTCACAGCAGTGAACAGTAGGAGTCTGTCGCCACCTATTGGTGGATGCTCACCATTAAAACAACTACATTGTACCATAATTTACCATGACCAATAGCCTACAGCTCATATGATGGCAAATTCTGATCACTTTCTGTCTGAAAATAATCTATTGCGATGAAATCTCTATGATGTCTTACTTGTCTTTTTTTCTAACACCTGCCATCTTCTAACTCTTCCCCACTCTTCTTTTTTTCTCCTCTCCTATCATCTCTCCTCTCTTTGCCTTTCCTCTCCTCCCCTAATTTCTTATTCTCTTGTTCTCATCTCTCGCTCTTCTCTTCTCTGCTATTCTCTTCTCTTCTTGTCTCTGTCCTGGTTGGTTGCGTTGCTCCTCTCCTCGTCCAATCATGTGGTAGATATTACCTGGTATATCAGAGAGGAAGAGGTGAAGCGAGACGATTTACTCCGCCCAAAATCTATCTGCGTGAGATAAGCCTTTTTTGTATGGCGGTCTACGAGACAGTGTCGAATTACATGAGGCTTAATTGATCGAATATACGTTTTGTAATGCTTAGGCTGTTACAAATTTAGGGATTTAAGTGGATGCACGTGGCATTCTGGCAAGTTTGAGAAAAAACTATTTAGTTGTGCCTGTTGTTTAAACGCATATCTGCCTTCTCATTAGCTAGAATGGTCTGATCTGATCTCGTCTGCCTTCAATCATTGAGGACATGTATTTACATTGTTAGAGTGGTCACTCGGCTATCTTGTCAATATAATACAGTGCCTTGCAAAAGTATTCATCCCCCTTGCGTTTTTACTATTTTGTTGCATTACAACCTGTAATTTAAATGGATTTTTATTTGGATTTCATGTAATGGACATACACAAAATAGTCCAAATTGGTGAAGTGAAATGAAAAAAATACAAAAAATACAAAGAAATAATCAAAATAAATAACAGAAAAGTGGTGCATTCATATGTATTCAACACCTTTGCTATGAAGCCCCTAAATAAGATCTGGTGCAACCAATTACCTTCAGAAGTCACATAATTAGTTAACTAAAGTCCACCTGTGTGCAATCTAAGTGTCAAATGATCTGTCACATGATCTCAGTATATACACCTGTTCTGAAAGGCCCCAGAGTCTGCAACACCACTAAGCAAGGGGAACCACCAAGCAAGCGGCACCATGAAGACCAAGGAGCTCTCCAAACAGGTCAGGGACAAAGTTGTGGAGAAGTACAGATCAGGGTTGGGTTATAAAAATATATCAGAAACTTTGAACATCCCACGGAGCACCATTAAATCCATTATTAAAAAATTGAAATAATATGGCACCACAACAAACCTGCCAAGAGAGGGCCGCCCACCAAAACCCACGGACCAGGCAAGGAGGGCATTAATCAGAGAGGCAACAAAGACACCAAAGATAACCCTGAAGGAGCTGCAAAGCTCCACAGCGGAGATTGGAGTATCTGTCCATAGGACCACTTTAAGCCGTACATTCCACAGAGCTGGGCTTTATGGAAGAGTGACCATAAAAAAGGCATTGCTTAAAGAAAAAAATAAGCAAACAAGTTTGGTGTTCGCCAAAAGGCATGTGGGATACTCCCCAAACATATGGAAGAAGTTCAGAAGAGACTAAAATTGAGCTTTTTGGCCATCAAGGAAAATGTCTGGCGCAAACCCAACACCTCTCATCACCCCGAGAACACCATCTCCACAGTGAAGCATGGTGGTGGTAGCATCATGCTATGGTGATGTTTTTCATTGGCAGGGACTGGGAAACTGGTCAGAATTGAAGGAATGATGGATGGCGCTAAATAAAGGGAAATTATTGAGGGAAACTTGTTTCAGTCTTCCAGAGATTTGAGACTGGGACGGAGGTTCACCTTCCAGCACGACAATGACCCTAAGCATACTGCTAAAGCAACACTGGAGTGGTTTAAGGGGAAACATTTAAATGTATTGGAATGGCCTCGTCAAAGCCCAGACCTCAATCAAATTGAGAATCTGTGGTATTACTTAAAGATTGCTGTACACCAGCGGAACCCATCCAACTTGAAGGAGCTGGAGCAGTTTTGCCTTGAAGAATGGGCAAAAATCTCATTGGCTAGAATATGCCAAGCTTTAAAAGACATACCCCAAGAGACTTGCAGCTGTAAGTGCTGCAAAAGGTGGCTTTACAAAGTTTTGACTTTTGGGAGGTGAATAGTTATGCACGCTCAAGTTTTCAGTTTTTTTTGTCTTATTTCATTTAAAAAAAACATTTTTAAGTATTTAGCAGACGCTCTTATCCAGCGCAACTTACAGTTAGTGAGTGCATACATGTTTTTTTATTTATTATTATTATTATTATTATTATTATTACTTTTTTCATACTTTCTTGTTTGTTTCACAATAACAAATATTTTGCATCTTCAAAGTGGTAGGAATGTTGTGTAAATCAAATGATACAAACCTCCCCAAAATCCATTTTAATTCCAGGTTGTAAGTCAACAGAATAGGAAAAATGCCAAGGGGGTTGAATACTTGTAGATCACTGTAGATCATCTTTAGGTAAATCCATCCTGCAGAGGTCACAGCGGGTCACGAGCCCTGGCCTGCTCTTCCTTCTCATCCTTCTCATCCTCCTCTTCCTCCTCTGAGGGTTAACGTTTTTATTTTATTTTTTAAATGATTCTCTTCTGTTAAAATTCATTATACTCCGACTGCTCTTAATTGATGATAACTTAAACGTTTGGTAAACCTACTGTAAATATTTTACATTTACATTTTAGTCATTTAGCAGACGCTTTTATCCAGAGCGACTTACAGGAGCACTTAGGGTTAAGTGCCTTGCTTAAGGGCACATCGACAGATTTTTCACCTAGTCGGCTCGGGGATTAGAACCAGCGACCTTTCGGTTACTGGCACAACGCTCTTACCCACTAAGCTACCTGCCATCCTTTTACATGTAAACTGGTTTGTCTACTATTGATTTTGAGAACTACACAATGAAAATGTATGTCTGTAAAGTAGAAACATAAAAAGTATGATAAATACTTGAGTGTACTGCTATGATGATGACTAATATGATTTCACTTCACAGTAGTAAAGTAGTTCTAGCTCAATACAACATACCAATACACAAATAACCCAGAAATTCCAAAACCAAAAATAAATGCATCCCCTATACAATAAACATGTATCAAAAATGAAGTTGCTGGGGTCAATACAGGTGGAAGATGTATGATTGCCATCCCCATGAGCGTAGTCAGTCACCGCGGGCTGATACTGTCATGGTTCATGTGGGGTCAAATTATATTATGAAGGGCAGCTCAGAACAGCTGAAGATGGATTTTAAAGAACTGATTGGGTCTCTACTTGACACCAACAAACGCCCCATAATATCTGGCCCTCTGCCCTCCCTAAATTGTGGCATTGAACGGTTTAGCAGACTTTTAGCCCTCCATAACTGTCTACGAGACAATTGCAGCTCTGTGGGTGTAACATTTATTGAGAATTTTGATACCATCTGGAAACAAAGCTCATATTATAAGGAGGATGGGATCCACCCAAATCATTTGGGTTCCTGGATCCTTTCAAAGCATTATAAGGCTGCATTCAGACAATGACTTATCAATGACCCAAGTCCAGCTCATTTAATCCCTACCATTGTGTCGCTGAGTTGTCATAATGCTTCAGCAAATGTACATTATCCTAGGGGCGTTGGAAGACACAATGTAAATAACCTAATTTATATCCCTCTTACTGCCCGGAATGCCTCTGCTGATCCTACAGCTATTGTATGCAATAATCATATGCCTATGAACCAGAGTAATACTGTTAGCACTGAGGTGGTGTGCCCTAGTAGGAAGTCCACTGTGTGCAGCTCACCCTGCACTAATAAAAATAAGCTGAGTATGTCTACCTCTGCTAAGCTTCCCAGTAAAGCAAGAAAAATAATCAAGCATCAAAGAAAAGTGTTAAAAATAGCCCAAGTTAACATATGTAGATTAAGAAACAAGGTTCATGAAATCAATAATTTTCTAGTAACAGATGACATTCATATTCTGACTATCTCTGAAACTCACATAGATAACACCTTTGATGATACAGTGGTAGCAATACAAGGTTATAACATTTACAGAAAAGACAGAAATGCCAACGGGGGGCGGTGTTATATTCAGAACCACATTCCTGTAAAGCTTAGATGTTAAATACTATTGAAGTTAAACCATTCTGGTGGGAAGCTGCTATAGACCACCAAGTGCTAACAGTCAGTATCTGGATAACATCTGTGAAATGCTTGATAGTATATGTGATATCATTAGAGAGGTATACTTTCTGGGTGATTTAAATATTGACTGGCTTTGATCAGGCTGCCCACTCAAGAGAAAGCTTCAAACTGTAACTAGTGCCTGCAACCTGGTTCAGGTTATCAATCAACCTACCAGGGTAGTTACAAACAGTACATGAATGAAATCATGTAGTGATCATATCTTTACTAATGCTGCAGAAATTTGGATGTAGTGATCACAATATAGTAGCCATATCTAGGAAAACCAAAGTTCCAAAGGCTGGGCCTAATATTGTGTATAAGAGGTCATACAAGACGTTTTGTAGTGATTCCTATGTTGTTGATGTGAAGAATATTTGTTGGTCCGTGCTGTGTAATGACGAGCAACCAGACGCTGCACTTGAGACATTTATGAAATTGCTTATCCCAGTTACTAATAAGCATGCACACATTAAGAAAATGACTGTAAAAACTGTTAAATCCCTGTGGATTGATGAGGAATTAAAAAATTGTATGGTTGAGAGGGATGAGGCAAAAGAGATGGCAAATAGGTCTGGCTGTACAACTGATTGGCAAACATACTGCAAATTGAGAAATCATGTGACTAAATTGAATAAAAAGAAGAAGAAACCACACTATGAAACAAAGATAAATGACATAAAGAATGATAGTAAAAAGCTTTGGAGTACCTTAGATGAAATTTTGGGCAAAAAGGCAAACTCCGCTCCATCATTCATTGAATTAGATGGCTCATTCATCACAAAACCCACTGATATTTCCAACTACTTTAATGATTATTTTATTGGCAAGATTAGAAAACTTAGGCATGACATGCCAGCAACAAACGCTGACACTGCACATCCAAGTATATCAGACCAAATTATGAAAGACAAGCATTGTAATTTTGAATTCCGTAAAGTAAGTGTGGAATAATTATTATTGTCGATCAACAATGACAAGCCACTAAGGTCTGACAACTTGGATGGAAAATTACTGAAGATAATAGTGGACGATATTGCTGTCACGCCCTGACTCAGGGGACTCTTATATGTTGAGTCAGTGTGTGTGTATTCTTTGTTTGTATATATTCTATGTTGTATATCTAGCATGTGTGGATCTATGTTGGCCGGTGTGGTTCCCAATCAAAGGCAGCTGTCACTCGTTGTCTCTGATTGGGGACCATACTTAAGCAGCCTATTGGCACAGTCTAGTTGTGGGATCTTGTTCCTGGTAAGGTATGTTGTGTGTTCTACCTTGGACTTCACGTTTCGTTTTGTTTCTTGTTTTGTCGTGTGTTTATTAAGTTGAATAAACATGTACGCATATCACGCTGCGCCTTGGTCTGACCCGTCATTCAACGAACGTGACAATTGCCACTCCTATTTGCCATATCTTCAATTTAAGCCTACTAGAAAGTGTGTGCCCTCAGGCATGGAGGGAAGCAAAATTTATTCCCCTACCTAAGAATAGTAAAGCCCCCTTAACTGGCTCAAACAGCCAACCAATTAGCCTGTTACCAACCCTAAGGAAACTTTTGGAAAAAATTGTGTTTGACCAGATACAATGCTATTTTACAGTAAACAAATTGATAACAGACTTTCAGCATGCTTATAGGGAAGGACATTCAACAAGCACAGCACTTACACAAATGACTGATGATTGGCTGAGAGAAATTGATGATACAAATATTGTGGGGCTGTTTTGTTAGACTTCAGTGCGGCTTTTGACATTATCGATCATAGTCTGTTGCTGGAAAAACGTATGTGTTATGACTTTACACCCACCTGCTATATTGTGGATAAAGAGTTACCTGTCTAACAGAACACAGAGGGTGTTCTTTAATGGAAGCCTTTCCAACAGAATCCAGGTAGAATCAGGAATTCCCCAGGGCAGCTGTCTAGGCCCCTTACTTTTTTCAATCTTAACTAACGACATGCCACTGGCTTTGAGTAAAGCCAGTGTGTCTATGTATGCGGATGACTCGAAACTATACACGTCAGCTACCACAGCGACTGAAATGACAGCAACACTTAACAAAGAGCTGCAGTTAGTTTCAGAATGGGTGGCAAGGAATAAGTTAGTCCTAAATATTTCAAAAACTAAAAGCATTGTATTTGGGACAAATCATTCACTAAACCCTAAACCTCAACTAAATCTTATAATGAATAATGTGGAAATTGAGCAAGTTGAGGAGACTAAATTGCTTGGAGTAACCCTGGATTGTAAACTGTCATGGTCAAAACATATTGATACAACAGTAGCTAGGATGGGGAGAAGTCTATAATAAAGCGCTGCTCTGCATTCTTAACAGCAATATCAACAAGGCAGGTCCTACAGGTCCTACTTTTGTCACACCTGGACTACTGTTCAGTCGTGTGGTCAGGTGCCACAAAGAGGGACTTAGGAAAATTGCAATTGGCTCAGAACAGGGCAGCACGGCTGGCCCTTGGATGTACACAGAGAGCTAACATTAATAATATGCATGTCAATCTCTCCTGGCTCAAAGTGGAGGAGAGATTGACTTCATCACTACTTGTATTTGTGAGAGGTATTGACATGTTGAATGCACCGAGCTGTCTGTTTGAACTACTGGCACACAGCTCGGACACTCATACATACCCCACAAGACATGCCACCAGAGGTCTCTTCACAGTCCCCAAGTCAAGAACAGACTATGGGAGGTGCACAGTACTACATAGAGCCATTACTACATGGAACTCCAGTCCACATCAAGTAGCCTAACTCATGCCAGCAGTAACATTAGATTTTTTTTATATATATATAAATACACCTTACGGAACAGCGGGGACTGTAAAGCAACACAAACATAGACACATGCATACAAACACACGATAACTATACACACATGTACACATGGATTTTGTGTTATAGATATGTGGTAGTAGAGTAGAGGCCTGAGGGCATACACTTAATATGTTGTGAAATATGTTATGAATGTATTGTAATGTTTTTAAAATGTATAACTGCTTTAATTTTGCTGGACACCAGGAAGAGTAGCTGTTGCCTTGGCAGGAACTAATGGGGATCCATAATAAATACAAATACAAGTACCACCCTCCTTCAGGCAATGGATGAACCATGAAATTATTTAAACCCAGACCTATGTCAGGCTTGGATTCACAATGCCGAAAGGTTTTTCCCCAGGTGCATGAACAATGAGGGTATTTGGCTAAATGCTCAAGACAGGCTTGATGCAAACTAGTGCCTGCTAAACATTGTTTCTTTCATTTCTTTCATTTGATTACATTGTGAAAGATGTTTTCAATGATCACCCCTTTTATCACATGGGATAGAAATTATGGAAATGTTAATGGGTAGTGCAAGTGTATTGCCTAATGTGATGTACTGTAATGTACAGTACTGTAGCATACTACATTCAAAGGGCAATTGTAAAACATGTATCTTACATTTTTTGCTATTAGATTAATTGGTTGTTAAAATAACTAAATTGAGAAGATATCATTATGTTGTGTTTTGGTGATTAAACCAATGTACTCATTATATTTCACAGTAAACTTATATTTGGGATCAATGGTTGAGTGGTGAAAGATGTCTACAAACAAAATTAATGCAAAATTAAAGGTTTTGAATGTTAGACTAGCTGCGTAACAAGTGTTACCAGTTTGGAGTTTTGTAATAAGAGTTTAGATAGTTCACCACATACTTGTGAAAATAGTACCAAAGCGATAAAAACCCCCGGTAAAACCCAGTTGGATTATCGTCCTTATCTCCTTATGGGATCAATCACTGTACGTGAGTGTGAGTGTGAGTGTGTGTGTGTGTGAGAGTGTGTGTGTGGGTGGGTGTTAGAATTAGCCTGAACCAACACTGCATTCTGTTTATTTTGTTTGGACTAGCAGTATGGTCGATTAGGTCTATTAGGCCCTTAATTTCTGGCCTCTGTCTTGATGTAGAAGCAGCAGCGACTCAGGCAGAGCTGTGTACAGTCAGGATCAAGGGAGCTCAGGCACAGAAGACTCTATCCTCTCTTTCGCTGACGCTGGATGCGGCTTATCCTCTTCGGGCCACATTAAAAGGTTTGGCCCTGTCTCCTCAGTTACCTGTGATAGAGACACAGCTGTGCCGTAGTCTATACCTGGCACTGACATAGAATACACCTGTGGCATAGGTTCTACCCCAGTAGACACGAGGATCTATGTCCGAGTTAACTAAAACTCAAATTGTTTATTACAAATACACACAAAAAATCAAATTTTATGGACTGTAGCGGGAACTGTAACCATGGCAGAATCCTGTTTCAAAATATCTACCCCAACCCCCTACCCCAAAACACCATACTATATATCCCCTGCACTCTCTCTCTCTCTCTCTCTCTCTCTCTCTCTCTCTCTCTCTCTCTCTCTCTCTCTCTCTCTCTCTCTCTGTGATGATTGGCTGTGTGTTGGCGTAAACAGGGTCTTACGACACAGGAAGTGGTATAACTCAGGGTCAGGGTTCGTTGAGCAGATGACAGGTTCTTCTTTTTGTGACGCTGACCATTCCATCATCCTGCTAATGCTATGATTGGAAGTGACACAGTAGAGGGGGAGGGGCAAAGAAAGTGAAAGTGCACTCTTTTGCTTTGAGATTTTCTCATAATCTAGATGAGAATATGTTAGGCTTTTGCAGTTCCTGCATTCGCAGTCAAAGACCGAATCAAAGAAATTGAGGACAAAACAGAGGTAAATAGAGAGAAAGTGGTGGATAGAGTGTGGGTGGGCATGGGGTAAACAAATAATAGAGAGGGGGGGTTAGACAGGAATGTGGGTTAAATAATCCTTTTGACTCAGTGATGATAGCGAGTCATTGGGTCAGTACAGGGAGGAGACAAGACCCTTGAAAACACCTGTCAACACCAGAGGCCTGCGAGAGTGTGTAATGATTTCATAGTTTTCTTCCCCCAAATAGCATATCATAATGCTTACAAACAATAATAATAAAGCCTATGTGGGGCTTCTCCGGCTTCACTGGTTCTGTTGGATTGGTTATGGGATCCAGAATCCGGGATCTTGGTTCTTGGTTCTGGGTTCTCTAAGGTTCTCAAGGTAACAAATATTATTTGACAGGATAAAGGTTGTCTCGCCGAACCTTGATCTCCAGTTCTTCATGCAGACCCTTGTTCTGACCCTTTGGGTCTTCTCTGCTTCCTCTGAAATGTTCTCCAGGTTTCTGCGAGTTCTGCGGGCTAATCCCAGCCCCACCCTTTCAGCGGAGTAGCGAGTGATGTCCTTCAAGCGGCTAATCCCGTTAGCACAGCCTAGCTTCCTTTAATCCTCCCACATCGCCAAGCGCCCCGCAGCCTACACACTCTCACCGCTTCTGGGATGACGGGCCACTGTTAAAACCCTCAGGTAAGTCCCAGCACCCTCACCCTTACAGAAGTCCCCCTATGCATCCTCAAACTGCTGTTAGACTCCTTACAAACCCCAAACTATAGGTAGACCAGTGGGCGAAAACCCTTGGTCAGCAGAGTTTTGTTCCAGGGCAGCACTAGTACACCTGATTCAGCTAATCAAGGTATTGAGGCCAAGGGTTGGTGATCGCTGGTGTAGACTTTATCTGTAGCATATCATACCGCTAACAAGAGACTACTACTAAAAAGAGACTGACTATAAACTAGACCAGCCTTTGTTATATGTTTGCTATGCAGTTGAAGTCAGAAGTTTACATACACTTAGGTTGGAGTCATTAAAACTCGTTTTTCAACCACTCCACAAATTTCTTGTTAACAAACTATAGTTTTGGCAAGTCGGTTAGGACATCAACTTTGTGCATGACACAAGTAATTTTTCCAACAATTGTTTACAGACAGATTATTTCACTTATAATTCACTGTATCACAATTCCAGTGGGTCAGAAGTTTAAATACACTAAGTTGACTGTGCCTTTAAACCGCTTGGAAAATTCCAGAAAATGATGTCATGGCTTTAGAAGCTTCTGATAGGCTAATTGACATCATTTGAGTCAATTGGAGGTGTACCTGTGGATGTATTTCAAGGCCTACCTTCAAACTCAGTGCCTCTTTTCTTGACATCATAGGAAAATCAAAAGAAATCAGCCAAGACCTCAGAAGAAAAGTTGTAGACCTCCACAAGTCTGGTTCATCCTTGGGAGCAATTTCCAAATGCCTGAAGGTACCACGTTCATCTGTACAAACAATAGTACGCAAGTATAAACACCATGGGACCACGCAGCCGTCATACCGCTCAGGAAGGAGACGCGTTCTGTCTCCTATAGATGAACATACTTTGGTGCGAAAAGTGATAATCAATCCCAGAACAACAGCAAAAGGACCTTGTGAAGATACTGGAGGAAACAGGTACAAAAGTATCTATGTCCACAGTAAAACGAGTCCTATATCGACATAACCTGAAAGGCCGCTCAGCAAGGAAGAAGCCAATGCTCCAAAACCGCCATAAAAAAGCCAGACTACGGTTTGCAACTGCACATGGGGACAAAGATCGTACTTTTTTGAGAAATGTCCTCTGGTCTGATGAAACAAAAATAGAACTGTTTGGCCATAATGACCATCGTTATGGTTGGAGGAAAAAGGCGAGCTTGCAAGCCGAAGAACACCATCCCAACCGTGAAGCACGTGGGTGGCAGCATCATGCTTTGGGGGTGCTTTGCTGCAGGAGGGACTGGTGCACTTCACAAAATATATGGCATCATGAGGAAGGAAAATTATGTGGATATATTGAAGCAACATCTCAAGACATCAGTCAGGAAGTTAAAGCTTGGTCGCAAATGGGTCTTCCAAATGGACAATGACCCCAAGCATACTTCCAAAGTTGTGGCAAAATGGCTTAAGGACAACAAAGTCAAGGTATTGGAGTGGCCATCACAAAGCCCTGACCTCAATCCTATAGAAAATGTGTGGGCAGAACTGAAAAAGTTTGTGCGAACAAGGAGGCCTACAAACCTGACTCAGTTACACCAGCTCTGTCAGGAGGAATGGGCCAAAATTCACCCAACTTATTGTGGGAAGTTTGTGGAAGGCTATGCGAAACATTTGACCCAAGTTAAACAACTTAAAGCAATGCTACCAAATACTAATTGAGTGTATGTAAACTTCTGACCCACTGGGAATGTGATGAAATAAATAAAAGCTGAAATAAATCATTCACTCTACTATTATTCTGACATTTCACATTCTTAAAATAAAGTGGTGATCCTAACTGACCTAAGACAGGAAAAGTTTACTAGGATTAAATGTCAGGAATTGTGAAAAACTGAGTTTAAATGTATTTGGCTAAGGTGTATGTAAACTTCCGATTTCAACTGTATGTATACATGTCTTCCAAATAGTATCTCCTAGCACTTGGTGGGTGTCCCCTCAGTGGTTCGTGGCAATTGTGTCTCTGTGGTATAGGCCCACAGTGTAGCTCTGTTTTTGTTTTAGCCCTTTGACGTGTATGATCACGTATTTGATCATTGTTGAGTTGTCCCTGCTGCGTACGATTTCAAATATGTGATTGGAACAGCAGCAACAGAACGTATGATGCAACAAACGCGTCTAAACAGTATTGTTGTCTGAACAGCATCTAAATATTGTTTTAACTGATGAAAAATAAAGGTCTTAAACTTTGTAAAAGATAAATGCAAACTTCATCATCCAAGCATCACACGGAACACATCCACAGCCAAACTCATTCCATAAACCAGTCTAAATAACAGTTTGCGCTGACAAAAAAAACTAAACATAAGTAAGCGACCTAACAGCTAGACTAGTTTACAATATACCACATCTCTGGTGAGCACAAGAGACTAATGTAATGTTGTTTAGAAAATAGATGCGTGTCAGCTAATCTAACAGCAGCTAAAATCTTTATGATGGAAGCTATGTTTGTTTATGTTTGACTTGGCGAAAACTCCCTAATCACAGAATGCCATTCACTATAAGACGCAAATAAACAAAGTCAAAGATGGCTGCGCTCATTGCCTGAAAAATATGAACTTAGTTTAGCCACTTTTCAGCATATTACAAATCGTTGATGTACTTGTTACAGTGTATACAAGAACCGGAGCACATGACTTAACAAGTCGTTTACCATTTTTGACAAATCACAAAGCAAATAAAAGGTTTTCACCTCACAGATCATCACACCAAATACAAGCCTACTGCCTAGCCTAACCGTAGCGCGAAAGGTAAACAGGGATGAAACTATTTTAAGGGGGTTTGTGGGGGGGGGTGATTTCATTTGTTGGGGGTTTTCAAGTCCGTGGGGGGTAGAAATGGGGGAAGGTATCGTGGGGGGATATGATGCAGGAAATATTACTATGATGGGGGATTTATCAATAAATGGGGGGCAAACACAAGAGAAGTTTATACGCTAAATAAAAATAGAAACCCTGGAAAGGGGGGACTGAGCTGGCAACCCTGAGGTACCAAAGTTACAATCTGATGCCGTGTTCAAAACAACTGGGAACTTGGAAATCTCAGATTCCGACTTCAGTGCGTTCAAGACAACTGGCAACTCGGGAAAAACGAGCTCCGACTGGAAAAAATTGTTTTGAACGGTCATCCAATTCATCTTTGGACCATAAAAAATATTTTGAACTTACGCGTGAAAAGGTTAAGAAACACTGCTGTAGGGGATTGTTTCCTCACATGGGGCACCACCATATGTAGGGAATTGTACTCTCACGGGGCACCATTATGTAGGAAAATGTCCTCACAAACTCTACAATACTCATAGGCCTACTACAGAATTATATGCATATTAAATCAATAAAGCTATGATTTGTAGCATTATTTGGTTTAACTACTGTATTATGGCTATTTTTTTTTTTACCTTATGTGGTTCTTGGTGGGTGGATGTTTTCCAAAAGTAAACATCAAGACCGTCTGGTGAGCTATTTAGAGTACTGTGTTAAGAGCTTCTTACCAAACATGTGGAAGGGTACCAAAACGTTTCTGCAGCATTGAAGGTCCCCAAGAACACAGTGGCCTCCATCATTCTTAAATGGAAGAAGTTGGGAACCACCAAGACTCTTCCTAGAGCTGGGCGCTCCGTCAAACTGAGCAATCGGGGGAGAAGGGCCTTGGTCAGGGAGGTGACCAAGAACCCGATGGTCACTCTGACAGAGCTCCAGAGTTCCTCTGTGGAGATGGGGGAACCTTCCGGAAGGACAACCATCTCTGCAGCACTCCATGAGAAACAAGATTCTCTGGTCAAGATTGAACTCTTTGGCCTGAATGCCAAGCGTCACGTTTGGAGGAAACCAGGCACCGCTCATCACCTGGCCAATACCATCCCTAGGGTGAAGCATGGTGGTGGCAGCATCATGCTGTGGGGATTATTTTCAGCAGCAGGGACTGGGAGACTAGTCAGGATTGAGGGAAAGATGAACGGAGCAAAGTACAGAGAGAACCTTGATGAAAACGTGTTCCAGAGTGTTCAGGACCTCAAACTGGGGCAAAGGTTCACCTTCCAACGACCCTAAGCACACAGCCAAGAGAACGCAGGAGTGGCTTCGGGACAAGTCTCTGAATGTCCTTGAGTGGCCCAGCCAGAGCCCGGACTTGAACCCGATCGAACATCTCTGGAGAGACCTGAAAATAGCTGTGCAGTGATGCTCTCCATCCAACCTGACAGAGCTTGAGAGGATCTGCAGAGAAAAATGGGAGAAACTCCCAAAATACTGGTGTGCCAAGCTTGTAGCATCATATCCAATAATATTCTAGGCCTTAATCGCTGCCAAAGGTGTTTCAACAAAGTACTGAGTAAAGGGTCTGAATACTTATGTAAATGTGATATTCTTTTTTTAAATATAAATATATATATACAAACATGTTTTTGCTTTGTCATTATTGGGTGTTGTGTGTAGATTGATGAGGGGAAAAAACAATTAAATCAATTTTTTTATAATGCTGTAACATAACAAAATGTGGAAAAAGTGAAGGGGTCTGAATACTTTCTGAATGCACTGTATATTCTTCAAGAATCAATGGGTACACATTAATTAATGTATAAATCCAAAATTGGATGTAGCTACTGCAGATTGCCCCTTTAACAAGTTATTTGTGTACTTGCCTGGTGGTTTACCTCAAGAGCCAGTGGTTTCATTGTTTGCGATTTTACCATGGGCGGCAGGTAGCTTAGTGGTTAAGAGCGTTGTGCCAGTAACCGAAAGGTCGCTGGTTCTAATCCCCGAGCCGACTAGGTGAAAAATCTGTCGATATGCCCTTGAGCAAGGCACTTAACACTAATTGCTCCTGTAAGTCACTCTGGATAAGAGCGTCTGCTAAATGACGTCAATGTAAATGTAGTGGATTCACGTAAAGGTTTAGCACAGTTATCGTCACTTTGCAGGGCTTAATTTCATCAGCTTGATCTCTGTATGAAGACATAGGACATAGCACCTCATCTTGAGTTAACACACGTGTATGTAACCATTGTGTGTATGTTGCAGGATGTTCAGCTGGGTGGTGAAAGTGGTTCCCCAGCCTCCTGGGAAACTAGGAGATGAGGAGAAGACAAATGCCCCACCTGCCCCAGTAAGTCCCCCACAAGCGAGAGAAAGAAAAGAGGGGATTTTATCACCATTTAAATGTTCTATTATTCAAACTAATATATCTCTTTGTGTTTAAAACAGGTAAAACAAGTAACTTTCAAAGAAGAGAAGAAACAAGAAGGTAATAACTGATTTAAACCTAATCTATAAACAATTCCCTTTGTGTACTAAAGAAGTCAGTAAACTCATCTGTATCAGCAGCATAGAGGGACATCCGTCTCACACTGTTCTCTAATTATGATTGACAGCTCCAAAACTTGCCAAGGCTAAAGACGAGGAGGTCACCGAGGAGAATGGGTGAGTGTATCTATGGCCGGAATTCAATATGTAGTTTGTCAATGCTCACCAACAGAGAAAGGGAGGGGATCTTTCAACATTGATTTGACACTATTTCTTTCTGTATTGTATTGCTTTGGCAACATCGATTTCCCCTCTCTTGCCAATGAAGCTAATTTAAATTTCAGAGAGGGAGAGAGAGAGTTCCATATCACCCAGTGACCTAGTTGGCTGTGGGCACATATGGTATGCCAGGATGACAGAGAGGATCAGAGTGATCAGACCAGGATCAGAGGAAATCCTATAGTGGAATGCCATTGAGCCCATATAATGCGTTGCTCTTTACAGTACTGGACTATAATATAGAATTCCAGTAGCTAACTAACATTTATGCTCTAAATTTACATCAATTATTTAGAGTGTACAGACATCATCCTCTCTCTACACTCACACACACTTGCACGCAACCCCCCCCCCCCCCCCCCCCCCCCCCCCCCCCAAATGAATGAGAAACTGCCTGCATGCCCATTTGATCGATTCCAACTGCATTTGGTATTTGGTATTTTATTAGGATCCCCATTAGCTGTTGTAAAAGCAGCAGCTACTCTTCCTGGGGTCCACACAAAACATGAAACATGACATAATACACAACATTAATAGACAAGAACAGCTCAAGGAAAGAACTACATAAATATGTATTTTTTTACAAAAGGCACTATCTAGGTCAAATAGGGGAGAGGCGTTGTGCCGTGAGGTGTTGCTTAATCTTTTTTTTTTAAACCAGGTTTGCTGTTCACTTGAGCAATATGAGATGAAACGGAGTTCCATGCAATAATGGCTCTATATAATACTGTACGCTTTCTTGAATTTGTTCTGGATTTGGGGACTGTGAAAAGACCCCTGGTGGCATGTCTGTTGGGGTAAGTGTGTGTGTCAGAGCTGTGTGTAAGTTGACTATGCAAACAATTTGGGATTTTCAACACATTAATGTTTCTTCTAAAAATAAAAAGTGATGCAGTCAGTCTCTCCTCAACTCTTAACCAAGAGATACTGGCATGCATAGTATTTATATCAGCCCTCTGATTACAATGAAGTACAAGACGTGCCACTCTGTTCTTGGCCAGCTGCAGCTTTACTAGGTCTTTCCTTGCAGCACTCGACCACAGAGCATCTCTTTATTACAGACAGACCTCTCCCCATCTTTACAACCATTGAATCTATATGTTTTTACCATGACAGTTTACAATCTACGGTAATGCCAAGTAATTTAGTCTCCTCAACTTGTTCAACAGCCACACCATTCATTACCAGATTCAGCTGAGGTCTAGAACTTAGGGAATGATTTGTACCAAATACAATGCTCTTAGTTTTAGAGATGTTCAGGACCAGTTTATGACTGGCCACCCATTCCAAAACGGACTGCAACTCTTTGTTAAGGGTTTCAGTGACTTCATTAGCTGTGGTTACTGATGTGTATATGGTTGAATCATCAGCATACATGGACACACATGCTTTGTTTAATGTCAGTGGCAGGTCATTGGTAAAAATAGAAAAGAGTAGAGGGCCTAGAGAGCTGCCCTGCGGTACACCACACTTTACATATTTGACATTAGAGAAGCTTCCATTAAAGAAAACCCTTTGAGTTATATTAGATAGATAGCTCTGAATCCACGATATGGCAGAAGTTGAAAAGCCATAATACATAAGTTTTTTCAACAACAGGTTATGGTCAATAATATAAAATGCTGCACTGAAATCTAACAGTACAGCTCCCACAATCTTCTTATTATCAATTTCTTTCAACCAATCATCAGTCATTTGTGTTAGTACAGTACATGATGACTGGCCTTCTCTATAAGCATGCTGAAAGTCTGTTGTTAATTTGTTTACAGAGAAATATCATTGTATTTGGTCATTTTTTTCCAACAGTTTGCTAAGAGCTGCAACAGTTTGATAAGAGCTGGCAGCAAGTTTATAGGTCTGCTGTTAGAACCAGTAAAGGCCGCTTTAACAATGTTGGGTAGCGGAATTACTTTGGCTTCCTTCAAGACTTTCCTCTAGGCTCAGATATGACAGATAGGAGTGGCTATAGAGTCTGCTACAATCCTCAGTAGCTTTCCATCTAAGTTGTCAATGCCAGAAGGTTTGTCATTATTGATCGATAACAAAAAAAAATCCACCTCTCCCACACTAACTTTACAAAGTTCAAACTTGCAATACTTTTCTTTCATTATTTCTTTTTTTATGCATGAATACGATGGCTCACTGTTCGTTGTTGGCATTTCCTGCCTATGTTTGCCCACTTTGCCAATGAAGTAATCATTAAAACAATTGGCAACATCAAATGGTTTTGTGATGAATAAGCCATCTGATTCGATGAATGATGGAGTTGAATTTGTCTTTCTGCCCATAATTTCATTTAAAGGACTCCAAATATTTTATATAATTGATCTTGGCTTCATAATACAGTTTTTTTCTTTTTGTTCAGATTAGTCACATAATTTCTCAATTTGCATTAAGTCAGCCAGTCAGATGTGCAGACAGACTTATTAGCCACTCCTTTTGCCCCATCTCTTTCAACCATACAGTTTTTCAATTCCTCATCAATCCATGGAGCCTTAACTGTTCTAACAGTCAGTTTCTTAACAGGTGCATGTTTATCAATAATTGGAAGAAGCAATTTCATAAATTAATCAAGTGCAGCGTCTGGATGCTCCTTATTAATCACATCAGACCAACAAATATTTTTAACATCATCAACATAAGAGTCACAGCAAAATCTTTGTATGATCTCTTATACACTATTTTAGGCCCAGCTTTTGGAACTTTGGCTTTCCTGGATATAGCCACTGCATCCAATGGGTACGGATACAGCTTTAGAACAAAGTTCTACAGTATTAGTAAAAATGTGATCGATACATGTGGATGATCTTGTTCCTGTAGTGTTTGTAAACACCCTGGTAGGTTGATGAATAACCTGAACCAGATTACAGGCCTGGTTATATTGAGAAGCTTCCTCTTGATCGGACAGTTTGATGAAAACCAGTCAATATTCATGTCCCCAAGAAAGTAGACCTCTCGGTTTACATCACATACACTATCAAGCATTTCACACATATTATTTAGATACTGACTGTCAGCACTTGGTGGCCTAAAGCAAGTGAACCTGCAACCACAACACTTCAATAACACTTGACATAAGATCTTCTCTAAGCATTACAGGGATATGGCTCTGAATATATACAGCAACACCTCCCCCATAAGCATTTCTGTCTCTTCTATAGATGTTATATCCTTGTATTGCTACTGCTGTATCATCAAATTAAATATCTAAGTGAGTCTCAGAAATGGCTAATATATAAAAGGGAAAGGGAAAGGGGGATACCTAGTCAGTTGTACAACTGAATGCATTCAACTGAAGTGTGTCTTCCGCATTTAACCCAACCCCTCTGAATCAGAGAGGTGCGGGGGCTGCCTTAATTGACATCCACGTCATCGGTGCCCGGGGAACAGTGAATGTTATCTTATGTTAGCAAGTTATTGATTTCATGAACCTTATTTCTAAGGCTACATATATTAATATGGGCTATTTTCAGCCCTTTCCTGGGTAGCTTATCAGAGATAGACATAATATGGAAAAGAGCAAACAAAGCAAGAGAAAAAAATATACATTCAGCAGACCATTAATCAATTGGTGTGTGTGTGTGTGTGCTGCGTGGTTGAAGCTACGAACCCATAGGCTTGGCGCTCTCATCCCTTCCAGGCTTCTGGGAGGGAGGGTGGACAATGAGCTTGTTATAGTGGATGCAAGCAATGTCCCCATGTGCTTTGGCAGCTTTCATGGCTGGGATAAGTTCTTTCCTCTTCTGGCGCACAGCTTCAGGATAGTTGAGGAAGATATACGTTCCTCTCAAGTTCTTGGCTCTTTCCAGAACAGCTACCTTGTCCTTGAACCTCAGGAACTTGACCACTATCGGCCTTGGCCTTTCACCTGGGCCGGTGGTGGATTTTCCAGTCCTGTGGGTGTGCTCCACCTCAATCTTCCTGTAGTCCATCTTCAATTTCTCAGAGATCATTTCCCTCACTTTGTCCTCAGACTCCGTCCAGGAGTGTGGAGACTCTGCAATTCCGTCCACAACCATGTTGTTCTGCCTTGATTGTCCCTCGAGATGTATCCGTCGTTGTTATCATGGATTCACACACAGAACTGATGTCCTCTCTCAATGACTTACAGATTGCTGTCATCTTGCCGTTCTCCTGTTTCAACTCATCGAGCTGACCCTGGTAGAACTGCAAACTGTTCTTCAGATCCTGGACCTCTCTGGTCAGGTCATCTATTATTTTATTAGTTGAATCCACCAGTATTTGAACAAAACACTTGAAGCTACAGTGGGGAGAACAAGTATTTGATACACTGCCTATTGTGCAGGTTTTCCTACTTACAAAGCATGTAGAGGTCTGTATTTTGTCTGTAATGTCATTTTTATCATAGGTACACTTCAACTGTGAGAGACGGAATCTAAAACAAAAATCCAGAAAATCACATTGTATGATTTTTAAGTAATTAATTTGCATTTTATTGCATGACATAAGTATTTGATACATCAGAAAAGCAGAACTTAATATTTGGTACAGAAACCTTTGTTTGCAATTACAGAGATCATACGTTTCCTGTAGGTCTTGACCAGGTTTGCACACACTGCAGCAGGGATTTTGGCCCACTCCTCCATACAGACCTTCTCCAGATCCTTCAGGTTTCGGGGCTGTCTCTGGGCAATACGGACTTTCAGCTCCCTCCAAAGATTATCTATTGGGTTCAGGTCTGGAGACTGGCTAGGCCACTCCAGGACCTTGAGATGCTTCTTACGAGCCACTCCTTAGTTGCCCTGGCTGTGTGTTTCGGGTCGTTGTCATGCTGGAAGACCCAGTCACAACCCATCTTCAATGCTCTCACTGAGGGAAGGAGGTTGTTGGCCAAGATCACGCGATACATGGCCCCATCCATCCTCCCCTCAATACAGTGCAGTCGTCCTGTCCCCTTTGCAGAAAAGCATCCCCAAAGAATGATGTTTCCACCTCCATGCTTCACGGTTGGAATGGTGTTCTTGGGGTTGTGCTCATCCTTCTTCTTCCTCCAAACACGGCGAGTGGAGTTTAGACCAAAAAGCTATATTTTTGTCTCATCAGACCACATGACCTTCTCCCATTCCTCCTCTGGATCATCCAGATGGTCATTGGCAAACTTCAGACGGGCCTGGACATGCGCTGGCTTGAGCAGGGGGACCTTGCGTGCGCTGCAGGATTTTAATCCATGACGGCGTAGTGTGTTACTAATGGTTTTCTTTGAGACTGTGGTCCCAGCTCTCTTCAGGTCATTGACCAGGTCCTGCCGTGTAGTTCTGGGCTGATCCCTCACCTTCCTCATGACCGAGGGTGATTGACCGTCATCTTGAACTTCTTCCATTTTCTAATAATTGCGCAAACAGTTGTTGCCTTCTCACCAAGCTGCTTGCCTATTGTCCTGTAGCCCATCCCAGCCTTGTGCAGGTCTACAATTTTATCCCTGATGTCCTTACACAGCTCTCTGGTCTTGGCCATTGTGGAGAGGTTGGAGTCTGTTTGATTGAGTGTGTGGACAGGTGTCTTTTATACAGGTAACGAGTTCAAACAGGTGCAGTTAATACAGGTAATGAGTGGAGAACAGGAGGGCTTCTTAAAGAAAAACGAACAGGTCTGTGAGAGCCGGAATTCTTACTGGTTGGTAGGTGATCAAATACTTATGTCATGCAATAAAATGCAAATTAATTACTTAAAAATCATACAATGTGATTTTCTGTTGAAGTGTACCTATGATAAAAATTACAGACGTCTACATGCTTTGTAAGTAGGAAAACCTGCAAAATCGGCAGTGTATCAAATACTTGTTCTCCCCACTGTATGTTCTTGTTGTTGTAACAACTGCTCGTAGAACTCTTTTTGTTTGTTTAAAAGATCCTTCACCTGTGATAGAGAGGCACCCCTGTCCTCAACGGTACTCCTGCCGGCTTTGGTTTTTGTCATGGTAGCTAGCAACGCAGGTTACACTGTTACTCCTCGCAGTTCCAGATGGCATGTCACAGGGAAGATTGAAAACTACAAACAGCAGGGATCTAGACAGCCACAAACCCGGGACAATCCGCGGTCCCAGCCACAATGGCTAACTGCGTTGCGGGTTGCATTTCATTGACAACTAAGAAATATGTATGCTAACTGTGGATAACAGTCATTCAAGTTCAGCATAGTTAACTAGCTAGCAAAGTGATTCACATTTCTTGCTAGCTAACCAAATGACACCTGCATCTCTAGCTGTAGCCAACAAAAAACAATACGAGGAGAAAAAGTCGGCCACTCACCCACTCGTTCAATGACATGACATCTTTCAAGAAGCTAGCTAAGGTTAGGCTCCGTGTTTTTAGCTTGCTAAATGAATAGCTACATAAATAGGGGCGGCAGGTAGCTTAGTGGTTAAGAGCGTTGTGCCAGTAACCGAAAGGTCGCTGGTTCTAATCCCCGAGCCGACTAGGTGAAAAATCTGTCGATGTGCCCTTGAGCAAGGCACTTAACCCTACTTGCTCCTGTAAGTCGCTCTGGATAAGAGCGTCTGCTAAATGACAAAAAAAATAAAAAAAATTAAAAAAAATAGATATGTTAGCCTATTAGCCACGTTATGACTGAATTGTGATCATTGCCCTTGCTAGTTTGATTGTATTGACACTCCCAACCTTAGTTACATTCGTCCATTTTGGTCCAAAATATTGAGTCATTGAAATTGAAAAGTGCATCCTGAAAGGGTGGAGGCAGCAAACCAGGCCAGCTGTGATTTACAACCTGATAGCAATATTTTTTGGACTACCAAGAAATGTATTAATGAATTATAGTTATTATGCATTGAACTGCATCTATTTTTTTTCTATTTTTTTTCTATTCTGCCAACAATGCTTTACTCTACGTCATGGAATGTTTTTGTCAAATAGAACCTATTTTTAAAACCTCTTATAAAGTTGGTTTTGTAGCATAAACTGGGAATTTGATATTTTTTACTGCTATTATGATTGTCTGTTTGTTTCATATCTGCAAAGTAGTTAAAACACTGTCAGTTCCACTTTAAGAGCCTTGAAGATAAATCACAATCAGTAAAAACAAATATTGAGGTAGCTAACTAGCAGTTTAACATCAATCATCAACATCAATGATCAGCTGATAGCCTACCCTCTTTCCTGATGTCAATCATGTCTTTAGGAGGCACTATAACTATACTGAATAAAAATATAAACGCAACATGGAACAATTTCAAAGATTATACTGAGTTACAGTTCATATAAGGAAATCAGTCAATCGAAATAAATTCATTAGTCCCTAATCTATGGATTTCACATGACTGGGCAGGGGCGCAGCCCACCCACTGGGGAGCCAGTCCCAGCCAATCAGAATGAGTTTTTCCCCACAAAAGGGCTTTATTACAGACAGAAATACTCCTCAGTTTCATCAGCTGTCCGGGTGGCTGTTCGCTGACGATCCCGAAGGTGAAGAAGACGGATGTGGAGGTCCTGGGCTGGCGTGGTTACACATGGTCTGTGGTTGTGAGGCCGGTTGGACGTACTACTGAGTTCTCTAAAACGACGTTGGAGGTGGCTTATGGTAGAGAAATGAACATTCAAATCTCTGGCAACAGCTCTGTTGGACATTCGTGCAGTCAACATGCCAATTGCACGCTCCTTCAAAACTTGAGACATTTGTGTTATTGTGTTGTGTGACAAAACTGCACATTTTAGAGTGGCCTTTTGCACCTGTGTAATGATCATGCAGTTTAATCAGCTTCTTGATATGCCACACCTGTCAGGTAGATTAATTATCTTGGCAAAGGAGAAATGCTCACTGACAGGGATGTAAACAAATTTGTGCACACAGTTTGAGAGAAGTAAGCTTTTTGTTCATATGAAACAATTATTTCAGCTCATGGAACTTTACATGTTGCGTTTACATTTTTGTTCACTATACCTTGCTTACAATTTGTGATGAGTCATTGTTTCGCTGCAGAAATAAATAGGCCTATGCTCAAAAATATTAAAGGGAAATGTCAAAATTGTTCAACTTCATATTCATCATCTCCAGCACCACCCCAACATCAACATACTGTATCTGAAAATGGCGCGTTTCTATGTTTTGTAGTAAAAAAAAAAAGATAGAGGAAGATAAGTATTTCCAATGACATCATCAATCAATTAGTAGACAATTAGTACGCAACGCCTACTCATGATTGGTTAATATCACATGATGCAAACTGATGATGTCATTGGAAACACTTATCTTCCTCTATCTTTTTTACAAAAAAAACATTGAAACGTATGTTGATGTTGGGGTGGTACTGGAGATGATGAATATGAAGTTGAAAAATTTTGAAATTTCCCTTTAAAGGCAGTTAGTATGTTATGAATTTCGAGATATGAATTTTCAGGAGAGGGGGAGGGGCACAAACACAAATACAAATCCCCCCCTTTACCCTCAGAATAGCCTCAACTCCTCAGGGCATGGACTCTACTGTACAAGGTGTCGAAAGCGTTCCACAGGGATGCTGGCCCATGTTGATTCCAATGCTTCCCACAGTTGTTGTCAGAAGGCGACAGTGAAATGCGGTAGGTGAAGTGAAACGCAGGACACAGAGCTTTCTGGAAACGTACTTTACTCGAAAGTAACCAGAGAAGAAAAACAATCTCCAACATAGGAGGAATAAACGACCCGCACACGAACACTGCCGATGACGAAATACAATAACACACAACACACAATGCACGACAGAGGGTTAAATAGGGAATACAAACAACATAATGGGGAACAGGTGTACACAATCAGGACAATACAAGTCAAACACCGAAACATAGATCGGTGGCAGCTAGTACTCCGGGGACGACGAACGCCGAAGCCTGCCTGAGCAAGGAGGAGGAGCAGCCTCGGCTGATTCCGTGACAGTTGTGTCAAGTTGGCTGGATGTCCTTTGGGTGGTGGACCATTCTTGATACACATGGGAAACTGTTGAGCATGAACAACGTAGCAGCGTTGCAGTTCTTGACACAAACCGGTGGCACCTACTACCATACCCCGTTCAAAGGCACTTAAATATTTTGTCTCGCACATTCACCCACTGAATGGCACACATAAACAATCCATGTCTCAATTGTCTCAAGGCTTGTCTCAATCCTTCTTTAACCTGTCTCCTACCCTTAATCTACACTGATTTTAAGTGGATTTAACAAGTGGCTTCAATAAGGGATTATAGCTTTCACCTCAATTCACCTGGTCAGTCTATGTAATTTAACGTTTTGTATATATTGTCTCTAACTATTTTAACCCCAACCCCCACCCCCCCTCTCTCTCTCCATCTCTGTGTAGTGGTGAGGCTGGAGTGTTGACATGGATCACCCATGGTTTTGCTAATTCTCTTCCCCAGCCTGCTGGGACACCCCGGCTAGGCAGAGCCCACACTGAGGTAAGCGCTTTGATATATCGTCATAGCACTAGATACTAGTGTTGGTGGATTTCTAATTGATGAGGAATGGAGAAGATCCACTACAGATTTGTGTTAACGTTACTGCAGGATCGTGTTGAGTTCAATCTCGCTGTGCCATGTGTGACTCTGTTCTCTGTTTATCCTTATCCTTCACCCCTCCACCAAACAGGAGGAGAACAGGTACAGAACTACTGTGTGTGTGTGAGTGTGTGTGTGTGTGCATTTTCCAGAGGCAATGTACTAATGAGTGTTGTAAAAGAGTGCTCAACAGTGAGTAAATAGTCTCACACTGATTAATACTATGCTACGCTCAGTGCTTAATTTGTAAATTGGGAGGTGCTGGAACACATAGTTTTTATACCTCACAAATTATCTAAATGACTACTTTGATACTGACAAACTGATAATCTGAGAAGAAAAAAAGCGACCTTGTCTTGAATCCATCAATAGCCTAGGTGTGTGGAGATATACATAATGTAAAATAATTATAGTCCTAAAAAAGCTTTCCAGTTTCACTGACTCACCCAATGATGCGCAGCTCACTCACCGGCGATGGCTGATGCCCATGTCAAAAGCCTCTATCTTGTTTTACTTTGTAAAACAATACTGTTCGCTCCATAGGCCTATTTGGAAGTTGATAACATATTTGGTAGCCTACAGGCAGATTAGTCTTCTCTTTTCAGCAGGAGTCTTTTTTTATTTTCTTTTTTTTCTCTCATTTAGCAGACGCTCTTATCCAGAGCGACTTACAGTTAGTGAATGCATACATTTTTCATACTGGCCCCCCATGAGAATCGAACCCACAACCCTGGCGTTGCAAACGCCATACTCTACCAACTGAGCTACACGGGGCCCACATTTGCTTTCCAATCTGTGTTTTCCCACGATTGTAATTTATTTGAAATATTACTGTATGCTGTTCACTGACAGATTTGCAGCGCGTTCCCAACTGTAGGCATGCCTCGTGATTGGGTTACACCAAAAAGTTATACAGCTGCACCATCAAGAGCATCTTGACTGCCTACATCACCACTTGGTATGGCAATTGCACCGCCCTTGACCGCAAAGCTCTACAAAGGGTGGTGCGGACAGCCCAGTACACTGGCTGAGCTCCCTGCCATCCAGGACCTCTATATCAGGCGGTGTCAGAGGAAGAGCTGAAAAATTGCCAAAGACTCCAGCCACCCAATTCATAGACTGTTCACTCTGCTACCGTCTGTTGGTCCGAGAGCATCGGCTCTCGGACCAACATGCTCTGAGACAGCTTCTACCCCCAAGCCAAATGACTGCTAAATAGCCAGACTAATAAATAGTCAACTAATGGTACCCAAACTATCTTATAATATAATAATATTATAATAATATAATATGCCATTTAGCAGACGCTTTTATCCAAAGCGACTTACAGTCATGCGTGCATACATTTTTGTGTATGGGTGGTCCCGGGGATCGAACCCACTACCTTACCTTGGCGTTACAAGCGCCGTGCTCTACCAGCTGAGCTACAGAGGACCATCTTGCACTGACCCTACGCACACTCACTCGACTTTATATACACACTCACTCACACACACTACACAGTCACTCCAACACAAATCCCTCACACATTCAAACAATACATATGCACACACACACGTAACACACACACGCATACAGACACAACACAAACAAACATACATACACACTTTTACACTCATCATTTCCTGCTGCTATTCTGTTCTTTATTTTACTCTTCTTATTATCTACCACTTTACCCTATGTGTATTCAGACCCCTTCCCTTTTTCCAGATTTTTTCTAAAATTGATTAAATAAATAAAAATCTTCATCAATCTACACACAATACCCCACAATGACAAAGCGAAAACACGTTTGTAGACATTTTTGCACATTTATTAAAAATAAAAACCAGAAATACCTTATTTACATAAGTATTCAGACCATTTGCTATGAGACTAGAAATTGAGCTCAGGTGCATCCTGTTTCCATTGATCATCCTTGAGATGTTTCTACAACTTGATTGGAGTCCACCTGTGGTAAATTCAATTGACTAGATATGATTTGGAAAGGCACACTCCTGTCTATATAAGGACCACAGTTAACAGGGCATGTCAGAGCAAAAACCAAGCCATGAGGTCGAAGGAATTGTCCGTAGAGCTCAGAGACAGGATTGTGTCGAGGCACAGATCTGGGTAAGGGTACCAAAACATTTATGCAGAATTGAAGGTCCCCTAGAACACAGTGGCCTCCATTATTCTTAAATGGAAGAAGTTTGGTACCACCAAGACTCTTCCTTGAGCTGGCCACCTGGCCAAACTGAGCAATCGGGGGAGAAGGGCCTTGTTCAGGGAGGTGAGCAAGAACCCGATGGTCACTCTGACAGAGCTCCAGAGTTCCTCTGTAGAGATAGGAGAACCTTCCAGAAGGTCAACCATCTCTGCAGCACTCCACAAATCAGGCCTTTATGGTAGAGTGGCCAGACGGAAGCCACTCCTCAGTAAAAAGCACATGACAGCCCGCTTGGAGTTTGCCAAAAGGCACCTAAAGGACTCTCAGACCATGAGAAACAAGATTCTCTGGTCTGATGAAACCAAGATTGAACTCTTTTGCCTGAATGCCAAGCGTCACATCTGGAGGAAACCTGGCACCATCCCTACGGTGAAGCATGGTGGTGGCAGCATCATGCTGTGGGGATGTTTTTCAGCAGCAGGGACAGGCAGACTAGTCAGGATCGAGGGAAAGATGAACAGAGCAAAGTACAGAAAGATCCTTGATGAAAACCTGCTCCAGGACCTCAGACTGGGGCGAAGGTTCACCTTCCAACAGGACAACGACCCTAAGCACACAGCCAAGAGAACGTAGGAGTGGCTTCGGGACAAGTCTCTGAATGTCCTTGAGTGGCCCAGCCAGAGCCCGGACTTGAACCCGATCAAACAACTCTGGAGAGACCTGAAAATGGCTGTGCTGCAACGCTCCCCATCCAACCTGACAGAGCTTGAGAGGATCTGCAGAGACGAATGGGAGAAACTCCCCAAATACAGGTGTGCCAAGCTTGTAGTGTCATACCCAAGAAGACTTGAGGCAGTAATCGATACCAAAGGTGTTTCAACAAAGTACTGAGTAAAGGGTCTGAATACTTATGTAAATGTGATATTTCAGTTTATTTTTATTTATTTTTGCAAAAAAATCTGACAACCGGTTTTTGCTTTGTCATTATTGGGTGTTGTGTGTAGATTGATGAGAGGGGAAAAGGCCGTAACGTAATAAAATGTGAATAAAGTCAAGGGGTCTGAATACTTTCCGAATGCGCTCTACATACAGTATCTACCTCAAGTACCTCGTACCTCTGAACATTGATCTGGTATTGGTACTCCCTGTATCTAGCTTTATTAGTGTGTATTTTATTTTATTCCTCTTGTGTTTTTTATCATAATTGTTTTAAACTCTGGTCGTTGGGAAAGCAAGCATTTCACTGTAAAGTCTACACCAGTTATATTCGGCGCATGTGATAAATCACATTTTATTTGATTTATCACACAATCCAGAGCTAGGTTATTGTTTTTTTGTTTTTATACGCTATGTGGCTAAATTATAGGCCTTCTCCTGGTGTAGTCTTTTGAATTATTTCATTCCATTCTGAACAGACATCAGTAATTCTAGAACTTTGGCAAATGTATTTCAATTTACCAGGGGTGCTGCGGCACCTCCAGCACTCTTATGATTCTATAAGGAACTAAATTATGAAGTGCAACGCTGGAATGATGAGAGTTACAGGCTCATGTCTATCAGAGCAGAGAGAGGGAGGGAGATCACAGAAAGTGAATGTCATTCTAGTTCTGTGAGAAATATAGGCATGCTTCTCTCTCTCACCACAGCAATGGCCACGCGTTGGTCTACAGGCTACAATGTTGCACAAACCATAAACCCGGGCCCGCCCAAATCTATTAAATTCTTAGAATATCAGGCACATTTTCACATTAGGTTTTTTAAGGGGCAGTGAAAATAGAGAGGTACTGGATCCTGGCAAATGGGTTCCGGAACGAAACAGTCCAAAACTGAGAGGTCCGGCTCAAATTAAGCACTGGCTACGCTATGCTACGCCACTATGCTAAATGTGAAGCAGTTTCTATGTAAAACCAAGACTAGACAGGCTAACTGCCATAGTGTGCAACGCTAATAAATGGAGCCTACAATATGAGATTAGGCTCTTCTGCAGTAGCTACTGAGGATACTACCTTGGACCACTTTCCCTATTAACACATCCCAACGACGAGAACCGGAGATCTACTGCGTTTTGAGCTACACCATCAGAAGCAAAGTGGAATCGAGTTAGAAGTAGGAGAGGAGGATCATTCCAATGCATTCTCCCTCTCCCCTCTCTTCCAGATCTGCGGCTCTATAACAGTTTTGCGGCTCTGAGCCCCCTGAGTTCACCGGGGTCCTCCGATGAGGACCTACTCTGCCCCCCACGGCCTTCCCACTCAACCTCTGGTCCTGGGTTACTGAGCCGGCCATCCCCTGGAGCAACCCACAGACCAGGTCCCACAGGTTCTCCGCCCCCCTCCCCCCGCCGTACATCAGCCATCAGGGTCTCTGGCTCCGTGCAACCTGGGAATCCATTACCCCCTCCCCTCAAAGTAGCTATCGTTGGGAGTTCCGTTGTCCGGGATGTGGTGGTTGCCGGGGAAAATACTTTCTGCTTCGTTGGAGCCAGGGTGGGTGACATTACCCGGGAACTTACGTTCATCCTAAACCGAAACCCTGAGCTGCACACGGTGGTCATGCATGTCGGTACTAACAACATCAGGCTGCAGTAATGGGGGGAGTTGAGACAGTATTTCGAATACCTGAGGGACAAGCTATTGGCTACTGACAAGCGGATTATCTTTTCTGGACTTATTCCTTTCACCCAAACAGCAGAGGAGCTAGGATGCTGAGTGCTAATATCGAAGAGGTACTACAAAAATGGTGGGATATCAGTCCTTGCCAGCACCACATATTACACAGGTTTTAAAGTCTCTGCACTGGCCGCCTATGATTTTTAGAATTCGTTTTAAGTTTCTTCTGTTGGTTTTTAAATCAATACACTAGTGTGCACCCCAATACATGTCAGACATGCTTTTTAGTTATGTACCCAGTAGGTCCCTCAGATCCTCTGGCACTGGCCTTTTAACACTAGAACCGCCTGGCCTTTCAGCATATAAATACCTGCTGGAGAACGTTGCCGGGCGTCACCTTTATCATACGCATCAGATGCATATCAACTCGCAAGGTGCAGCAAACATAAGCAACAACGCTTGATAAATAGTGCATAAACTATTGTAAAGGATGAATTGCATGAAAAAATATTTGTGGAAATATATCAATTAAAAAAATAACAACAATAGTTATTTGTTTAGATAGATTCAAGGATATGTTTTGTATACAGTGGGGGAAAAAAGTATTTAGTCAGCCACCAATTGTGCAAGTTCTCCCACTTAAAAAGATGAGAGAGGCCTGTAATTTTCATCATAGGTACACGTCAACTATGACAGACAAAATGAGGAAAAAAAATCCAGAAAATCACATTGTAGGATTTTTAATGATTTTATTTGCAAATTATGGTGGAAAATAAGTATTTGGTCAATAACAAAAGTTTCTCAATACTTTGTTATATACCCTTTGTTGGCAATGACACAGGTCAAATGTTTTCTGTAAGTCTTCACAAGGTTTTCACACACTGTTGCTGGTATTTTGGCCCATTCCTCCATGCAGATCTCCTCTAGAGCAGTGATGTTTTGGGGCTGTCGCTGGGCAACACGGACTTTCAACTCCCTCCAAAGATTTTCTATGGGGTTCAGATCTGGAGACTGGCTAGGCCACTCCAGGACCTTGAAATGCTTCTTACGAAGCCACTCCTTCGTTGCCCGGGCGGTGTGTTTGGGATCATTGTCATGCTGAAAGACCCAGCCACGTTTCATCTTCAATGCCCTTGCTGATGGAAGGAGGTTTTCACTCAAAATCTCATGATACATGGCCCCATTCATTCTTTCCTTTACACAGATCAGTCGTCCTGGTCCCTTTGCAGAAAAACAGCCCCAAAGCATGATGTTTCCACCCCCATGCTTCACAGTAGGTATGGTGTTCTTTGGATGCAACTCAGCATTCTTTGTCCTCCAAACACGACGAGTTGAGTTTTTACCAAAAAGTTATATTTTGGTTTCATCTGACCATATGACATTCTCCCAATCCTCTTCTGGATCATCCAAATGCACTCTAGCAAACTTCAGACGGGCCTGGACATGTACTGGCTTAAGCAGGGGGACATTCCGGCACTGCAGGATTTGAGTCCCTGGCGGCGTAGTGTGTTACTGATGGTAGGCTTTGTTACTTTGGTCCCAGCTCTCTGCAGGTCATTCACTAGGTCCCCCCGTGTGGTTCTGGGATTTTTGCTCACCGTTCTTGTGATCATTTTGACCCCACGGGGTGAGATCTTGCGTGGAGCCCCAGATCGAGGGAGATTATCAGTGGTCTTGTATGTCTTCCATTTCCTAATAATTGCTCCCACAGTTGATTTCTTCAAACCAAGCTGCTTACCTATTGCAGATTCAGTCTTCCCAGCCTGGTGCAGGTCTACAATTTTGTTTCTGGTGTCCTTTGACAGCTCTTTGGTCTTGGCCATAGTGGAGTTTGGAGTGTGACTGTTTGAGGTTGTGGACAGGTGTCTTTTATACTGATAACAAGTTCAAACAGGTGCCATTAATACAGGTAACGAGTGGAGGACAGAGGAGCCTCTTAAAGAAGAAGTTACAGGTCTGTGAGAGCCAGAAATCTTGCTTGTTTGTAGGTGACCAAATACTTATTTTCCACCATAATTTGCAAATAAATTCATAAAAAATCCTACAATGTGATTTTCTGGATTTTTATTTCTCAATTTGTCTGTCATAGTTTACGTGTACCTATGATGAAAATTACAGGCCTCTCTCATCTTTTTAAGTGGGAGAACTTGCACAATTGTCACGATCGTCGGTGAGAGATGAGGACCAAGGCGCAGCGTTGCAGGCAAACATACTCTTTATTAAGAGACACGAAAAAACAACAAACGATACGTGACAGTTCACGGTCTAACATAAACAGACTAGAAACAAGAACCCACAAACACAAAGGGAAAGACAGACAGTTTAAATATGGCTCCCAATCAGAGACAACCAGCACCAGCTGACACTCGTTGCCTCTGATTGGGAGTCACTCAGGCCAACATAGAAATACAAACTAGAACTCCCAACATAGCAATAGAATACATAGAATTACACACCCTGGCTCAACATAACAGTGTCCCCAGAGCCAGGGCGTGACAGTACCCCCCCCCCTAAAGGCGCGGACTCCGACCGCGCCAACTAAATACCACAGGGGAGGGACCGGGTGGGCACTCCGCCTTGGCGGCGGATCCGGCTCCGGGCCTGATCCCCACTCCCTCTCCAACCCCCCAAAGTACCCCTGGTCCGGTCTGGCCCCGCTGGCCGGAGCTGGACTGCACACTGATGGAGCGGATTGCTCTAGCTCCGGCGTAACGCATCTGACCGGTGCCGGACCAGGCACCAGTGGAACAGGCACGGGCCGTGCCGGACCGACGACGCACACCACTGGCTTGGTGTGGGGAACAGGCACGGGCCGTGCTGGACTGACGACGCACACCACTGGCTTGGTGTGGGGAGCAGGAGCGGGCCGGACAGGGCTGACGAAACGCACCACTGACTTGGTGCGGGGAGCAGGAACGGGCCGGACAGGGCTGACGAAACGCACCACTGACTTGGTGCGGGGAGCAGGAACAGGCCGGGCCGAACTGGCGACGCGCACCGTAGACTTGGTGCGGGGCGCAGGAACGGGCCGAGCTGGGCTGACGAAGCGCACCACTGACTTGGTGCGGGGAGCAGGAACGGGCCGAGCCGGGCTGCCGAAGCGCACCACTGACTTGGTGCGGGGAGCAGGAGCGGGCCGGACCGGGCTGACGAAGCGCACCACTGACTTGGTGCGGGGAGCAGGAACGGGCCGAGCCGGGCTGACGAAGCGCACCACTGACTTGGTGCGGGGAGCAGGAGCGGGCCGGACCGGGCTGACGAAGCGCACCACTGACTTGGTGCGGGGAGCAGGAACGGGCCGAGCCGGGCTGACGAAGCGCACCACTGACTTGGTGCGAGGGACAGGAACAGGCCGGACCGTACTGGGGACACACACCACTGGCCCTATGCAGGGATCAGGAACGGGCCGGACCGGACTGGTAACACACCCCAGTACCTCTCGCCGTGCCTCCACACTTTCCTTCCCCTTTAACACCAGTGGCCCCCGTAACCTGGCGGCCTCCTCTGCCGACCCGCTGGACCACTCTATCGCGGCCTCCTGCTGCCCCGACGTCCACGTCGTGAGCCCCCCCTAAAAAATTTCTGGGCGGCTCTCCTCTTGGACCAGGCCTCCATGTCTCTAGCCAGACACTCACTCCACTGCTTCAAAGTCCAACCTTTCTGCTCCTCACTTGGCTTGGCCCAGTCGAGACTCTTACTCCACTGCTCCATAGACCAACCTCTCTGCTCTTCACGCTGCTTGGTCCTGTCTTGGTGGGTTCTTCTGTCACGATCGTCGGTGAGAGATGAGGACCAAGGCGCAGCGTTGCAGGCAAACATACTCTTTATTAAGAGACACGAAAAAACAACAAACGATACGTGACAGTTCACGGTCTAACATAAACAGACTAGAAACAAGAACCCACAAACACAAAGGGAAAGACAGACAGTTTAAATATGGCTCCCAATCAGAGACAACCAGCACCAGCTGACACTCGTTGCCTCTGATTGGGAGTCACTCAGGCCAACATAGGAATACAAACTAGAATTCCCAACATAGCAATAGAATGCATAGAATTACACACCCTGGCTCAACATAACAGTGTCCCCAGAGCCAGGGCGTGACAACAATTGGTGGCTGACTAAATACTTTTTTTCCCCACTGTAAGTCTACAAAGTCCTAGAAAAAACAAAGGCCTATAGCCTATTTTATTTTCCCTTCCAATAAAAAAATTACAGTGTAATCCACTTGATCAACTTTATTTGTAGATTCCATTAGTAATAGAGTTATAGTAATTAATAAAGTCCAATTACAGTTTATTTTGAGAAACAAAAAATACACTGCTCAAAAAAATAAAGGGAACACTTAAACAACACAATGTAACTCCAAGTCAATCACACTTCTGTGAAATCAAACTGTCCACTTAGGAAGCAACACTGATTGACAATACATTTCACATGCTGTTGTGCAAATGGAATAGACAACAGGTGGAAATTATAGGCAATTAGCAAGACACCCCCAATAAAGGACTGGTTTTGCAGGTGGTGACTACAGACCACTTCTCAGTTCCCATGCTTCCTGGCTGATGTTTTGGTCACTTTTGAATGCTGACGGTGCTTTCACTCTAGTGGTAGCATGAGACGGAGTCTACAACCCACACAAGTGGCTCAGGTAGTGCAGCTCATCCAGGATGGCACATCAATGCGAGCTGTGGCAAGAAGGTTTGCTGTGTCTGTCAGCGTAGTGTCCAGAGCATGGAGGCGCTACCAGGAGACAGGCCAGTACATCAGGAGACGTGGAGGAGGCCGTAGGAGGGCAACAACCCAGCAGCAGGACTGCTACCTCCGCCTTTGTGCAAGGAGGAGCAGGAGGAGCACTGCCAGAGCCCTGCAAAATGACCTCCAGCAGGCCACAAATGTGCATGTGTCTGCTCAAACGGTCAGAAACAGACTCCATGAGGGTGGTGTGAGGGCCCGACGTCCACAGGTGGGGGTTGTGTTTATAGTCCAACACCGTGCAGGACGTTTGGCATTTGCCAGAGAACACCAAGATTGGCAAATTCGCCACTGGCACCCTGTGCTCTTCACAGATGAAAGCAGGTTCACACTGAGCACATGTGACAGTCGTGACAGAGTCTGGAGATACCGTGGAGAACGTTCTGCTGCCTGCAACATCCTCCATCATGACCAGTTTGGCGGTGGGTCAGTCATGGTGTGGGGTGGCATTTCTTTGGGGGGCCGCACAGCCCTCCATGTGCTCGCCAGAGGTAGCCTGACTGCCATTAAGTACCGAGATGAGATCCTCAGACCCCGTGTGAGACCATATGCTGGTGCGGTTGGCCCTGGGTTCCTCCTAATGCAAGACAATGCTAGACCTCATGTGGCTGGAGTGTGTCAGCAATTCCTGCAAGAGGAAGGCATTGATGCTATGGACTGGCCCGCCCGTTCCCCAGACCTGAATCCAATTGAGCACATCTGGGACATCATGTCTCGCTCCATCCACCAACGCCACGTTGCACCACAGACTGTCCAGGAGTTGGTGGATGCTTTAGTCCAGGTCTGGGAGGAGATCCCTCAGGAGACCATCCGTCACCTCATCTGGAGCATGCCCAGGCGTTGTAGGGAGGTCATACAGGCACGTGGAGGCCACACACACTACTGAGCCTCATTTTGACTTGTTTTAAGGACATTACATCAAAGTTGGATCAGCCTGTAGTGTGGTTTTCCACTTTAATTTTGAGGGTGACTCCAAATCCAGACCTCCATGGGTTGATACATTTGATTTCCATTGATAATTTTTGTGTGATTTTGTTGTCAGCACATTCAACTATGTAAAGACAAAAGTATTTAATAAGATTATTTCATTCATTCAGATCTAGGATGTGTTATTTTAGTGTTCCCTTAATTTTTTTGAGCAATGTATAATAATATAACCAGCCAGGTGCACCGGTGAAATTATTTAATGTATTCCTAAACAAAAGCACCAGTGTATGAACAATTGTAAAGGATGAATTGCATAAATAAATACAGTGCATTCGGAAAGTATTCAGACTCCTTGAATTATATCACATTTTGTTACAGCCTCATTCTAAAATGGATTAAATAGTTTTTTTCCCCTCATCAATCTACACACAATACCCCATAATGACACAGCAAAAACAGGTTTTTAGAATTTCTTGCTAATTTATCAATAAAAAAACGGATATCAAATTTACATAAGTATTCAGACCCTTTACTCAGTACTTTGTTAAAGCACCTTTGGCAGAGATTACAGCCTCATCAAGACTTCTTGGGTATGACGCTACAAGCTTGGCACACCTGTATTTGGGGAGTTTCTCCCATTCTTCTCTGCAGATCCTCTCAAGCTCTGTCAAGTTGGATGGGGAGCGTCGCTGCACAGCTATTTTAATGTATCTCCAGAGAGGTTCGATGGGGTTCAAGTCCGGGCTCTGGCTGAGCCACTCAAGGACATTTAGAGACTTGTCCCAAAGCCACTTCTGCGTTGTCTTGGCTGTGTGCTTAGGGTCGTTGTCCTGTTGGAAGGTGAACCTTCACCTCAGTCTGAGATCCTGAGCACTCTGGAGCAGGTTTTCATCAAGGATATCTCTGTACTTTGCTCCGTTCATCTTTCCCTCGATCCTGACTAGTCTCCCAGCCACTGCTGCTGAAAACCATCCCCACAGCATGATGCTGCCACCATCATGCTTCACCGTAGGGATAGTGCCAGGTTTCCTCCAGATGTGACGCTTGGCATTCAGGCAAAAGAGTTCAATCTTGGTTTCATCAGACCAAAGAATCTTGTTTCTCATGGTCTGAGAGTCTTAAGGTGCCTTTTGGCAAACTCCAAGCCGGCTGTCATGTGCCTTTTACTGAGGAGTGGCTTCCGTCTGGCCACTCTACCATGAAGGCCTGATTGGTGGAGTGCTGCAGAGATGGTTGTCCTTCTGGAAGATTCTCTCATCTCCACAGAGCAACTCTGGAGCTCTGTGAGAGTGACCATTGGGTTCTTGTTCACCTCCCTGTCTAAGGCCCTTCTACCCCGATTGCTCAGTTTGGCCAGGTGGCCAGCTCTAGGAAGAGTCTCGGTGGTTCTTTGGGACCTTCAATGCTGCAGAAGTTTTTTGGTACCCTTCCCCAGATCTGTGCCTCGACACAATCCTGTCTCTGAGCTCTCCGGACCATTCCTTCGACCTCATGGCTTGGTTTTTGCTCTGACATGCACTGTCATTTATGGGACCTTATACAGATAGGTGTGTGCCTTTCCAAATCATGTCCAATCAATTGAGTTGACCACAGGTGGACTCCTATCAAGTTGTAGAAACATCTCAAGGATGATCAATGGAAACAGGATGCACCTGAGCTCAATTTCGAATCTCATAGCAAAGGGTCTGAATACTTATGTATATATATATTTTTTTATATATAAACCTGTTTTCGCTTTGTCTTTATGGGGTATTGTGTGTAGATTGATGAGGAACATTTTTTATTGAATCCATTTTAGAATAAGGCTGTAACGTAACAAAATGTGGAAAAAGGGAAGGGGTCTGAATACTTTCTGAATGCACTGTATTTGTGGAAATATATTAATGACAAGATATAAAAACAGTCATTTGTTGATTGTATCGTACACTGTATTGTGCCCTTATAAGCGTGCCTTTACACATGAATCAATCTCGTCTTCTCTTTATGCTTTGGGTCCACAGTCAGCACACAGCTTCTGTCACACTCTGATCTGTTTCACCTGTCTTGTGCTTGTCTCCACCTCTCACCAGGAGTCTCCCATTTTTCCCCATTATCCCCTGTGTATTTATACTTATGTTTTCTGTTTGTCTGTTGCCAGTTCGTCAGGTCGTACCAGCGTGTTTTTTCTCGTTTTCCTGTTTCTCAAGTTTTTGTTTTTAGTCTTCCCGGTTCTGACCCTTCTGCCTGTCCTGATCCTGCCTGTCATCCTGTACCTGCCTGACTTTCCTGGATTACGAACTTCTGCCTGCCCTCGACCTGCCTTTTGCCTGCCCTCTGTGTTAAAATAAACATTCTGAGATTCAAACTATCTGCCTCCTGTGTCTGCGCCTGAGTCGTGATTGCTTCGGGTCTTTGTGTGAGCAAGCCCCACAAACAAATCGGTTGCACTGCACATAGTTTTCATGGGCCTTGTTTCTTGTGCACCTGCCGCAGGTGTCGCATAATCTCTCTGAAGCGGTTACGTGGCATGGTCTCAGAAAAAGTCCACTCCATACCTATCAGACCAAAATTACTCCACATCCATGCTCTTTCCGCCGTATGCGGAGTTCATCCATAGACATGTCCCACCTACTATTTCCTTTTCTGTGCCCATGAGCAACAGAACAATCTCTGATGTGCTACAACATCTGCATGTCACATAAACACCTCACTCTTTACCACCCTGCCATCCCTCCCAGACTCCTGTCCGTAGCATTTTGGATCACCTTCTCAGTTGGTTCTGTTCTGGTTTTTCTGTGGTGAGGCTCAGGCATCGGAGGCAGAGGCTTGAAGTCAACATCAGAATCAGATGAAGACTCTTCATCAGCAACATCAATTTCAAGCTTAATATCTGATCCTTCATCCGACTCCAACTCATCTAAATTCTGCAGCATTTGCAAAGCTGTAGGTGCGTCCATTCATTTGGTTCGGCTTGCCATTGTGAACTACACACATTGTACATTGTACTCAGTGTCTGATTTGACTCACCAAGGGGAAATTCTATACAATTTCCAGCCTTTCATAATAAAATAATTAGACCGCCCACAACGCCCACAATTCTTCATCAAAATTACACTATTGTTCTAAATTCAATCATCCCCTTCACCTTCATCATTCAGATCAGTGAAGTCACATGCACCGTTATCAGTTTCTATCTGGTATCTATTGCCCATTAATCCATTGACGACAGAATATTTATTATGTTACTCATTTTTGCTTAGTAGCCAGAGCAATACTGCCAGGCAAGTGGTCATGTGCTGAATGTATGGACAGCACAGATATTCTTGGAAAAAGTGAAATTTGGAAATAGAGCTGCACCTCTTGAATTATGAGAGTTATCTGACAAAGATAAGTGTAATAGAAACTGCAGAATATGCTCATCAGATTATTGTCAATTTAATCTTGTCTATACACTAACTCTTATGTGTGAAATTAATTTATGTTTAGTTTCGATGGGCCGGCTGTGCAGGCTGACTGGCATTGTTTGTTTCCTGCTCATAAAGTTGAATAGTCAATAGTAAATAAACAGTAAATAAACAGCTTCTTTTTACAAAGTAAAATGTAAAAGAGAATGGTATCAAACCCTCAAGGCGCACTTATTAACATGAGCGCCAACGCTGATAAACAGGCATAACACAAACTCATCATTACACTATTGTTGTTCTAAATTAAATCAACATCTTCACCATTATTCAGTGAGGCCTAATTTAAATTAAATTGTGAAGTAAGGTGCACAATTATCGCCCATTCACCCATTTGTCATTCATTCAGTGAGGAAAGAGAGACGCATTAGCGCCTGGCTGGGTACCAACGTCCTTCAGCACATTGTCTTGGCGGGTTAAGTTAGGAATAGGTGTGAAGAAAAACTGGTAAAAAAGGCTCTAAATACTTTTTTGTTTGTGATTTCAAAATTCTGACAAATAAGCAGTGTAAAATACAAATATTTAGTAAAAGTCAGGGAAGGAGCATTGCGATGTCTGAAAAGTGCCATATAAATAAACCTTCATTTGATTTGATTTTAACAGGTAACCCTCATTGACTCTTGTTTTAATCCACATCCTCGTCGAGGCATAGGTCTAATGGTTTAGTTCTAGGCGATCTTGTATGTGTTCCAAATCAAGCCAACTCCATGGTATTTTCTAATAGGGGGGTTACCTGCTGAACATGGCATGTTCGTATTAGAAACTCCATCTGATCTGAAATCCCGCAGCTGATTCATGTAAATGACAGAAGTTTGATATTAAAAAGGTATCTTATTGTAACTCTTGCTTCTCAAACCAAAGCAGACATTCTGGTTATAACTGAATCTTGGCTAAATAAGTATATGCCAGACTCTGATGTGTCTCTGACTGGTTATAATGTTTTTAGATCTCTAGTTTTAAATGTGGGCCTTGGTAATAATGCCCATCTGACGCTAGTGGGAATTGATCGCCCTACTTCTGCCTCCTTATGTGTTCTAAGCAAATTGTCTGACCTGCTGTCTAACTATGCTAAATCCGAATTATTAATCGTGGGTGATCTTAATCTGGATTGGTTGATGCCAGTATCTGATAGGTTGAAAGATATTTGTACTGAGCAACTGTATACTGAACCTAACGCAACACATAAAGTGTTGGTCCGATGTTTAATGAGCTGAAATAAAAGATCCCCAAAATGTTCCATATGCACAAAAAGCTTATTTCTCTCAAATTATGTTCACAAATATGTTTACATCCCTGTTAGTGAGCATTTCTCATTTGCCAAGACAATCCATCCACCTGACAGGTGTGGCATATCAAGAAGCTGATTAAATCGTATGATCATTATTACCTTGTGCTGGGGACAATAAAAGGCCACTCTAAAATGTGCAGTTTTGTCACACAACACAATGCCACAGACATCTCAGGTTTTAAGGGAGCGTGCAATGGGCATGCTGACTGCAGAAATGTCCACCAGAGCTGTTGCCAGAGAATTGAATGTGCATTTATCTACCATAAGCCACCTCCAACGTCATTTTAGAGAATTTGGCAGTACATCCAACCGGCCTCAAAAACCGCAGAGCATCTTTAACCACGTCAGCCCAGGACCTCCACGTCTGCCTTCTTCACCTGCGGGATCGTCTGAGACCAGCCACCCGGACAGCTGATGAAATTGTGAGTTTGCACAACCAAATAATTTCTGCACAAACTGTCAGAAATCGTCTCAGGGAAGCTCATCTGCATGCTCGTCGTCCTCACCAGGGTCTTGACCTGACTGCAGTTCAGCGTTGTAACCGACTTCAATGGGCAAATGCTCACCTTCGATGGCCACTGGCATGCTGGAGAAGTGTGCTCTTCACGGATGAATCCCGGTTTCAACTGTACCGGGCAGATGGCAGACAGCGTGTATGGCGTCATGTAGGTGAGCAGATTGCTGATGTCAACGTTGTGAACAGAGTGCCCCATGGTGGCGGTGGGGTTATGGTATGGGCAGGCATAAGCTACGGACAACGAACACAATTGCATTTTATCAATGGCCATTTGAATGCACAGAGATACCGTGACGAGATCCTGAGGCCCATTGTCGTGCCATTCATCCCCCTGCCATCACCTCATGTTTCAGTATTATAATGAATGGCCTCATGTCGCAAGGATCTGTACATAATTGCTGGAAGCTGAAAATGTCACAGTTCTTCCATGGCCTGCATACTCACCAGACATGTCACCCATTCAGCATGTTTGGGATAATCTGGATCGACGTTTACGACAGCGTGTTCCAGTTCCCGCCAATATCCAGCAACTTCGCACAGCAATTGAAGAGGAATGGGACAACATTCCAAATGCCGAAATCAACAGCCTGATCAACTCTATCAGAAGGAGATGTGTCACGATGCATGAGGCAAATGGTGCTCACACCAGATACTGACTGGTTTTCTGATCCACGCCCCTACCTTTTTTAAAAAGGTATCTGTGACCAAGAGATGCATACTGTGGCTTGCGAAAGTATTCAACCCCTTGGAATTTTTCCTATGTTGTTGATTTACACAACATGCCTACCACTTTGAAGATGCAAAATATTTTTATTTGTGAAACAAACAAGAAATAAGTCAAAAAAACTGAAAAACTGAAAACTTGAGTGTGCATAACTATTCACCCTTTGGGGGACAAAGTCAATACTTTGTAGAGCCAGCTTTTGCATCAATTACAGCTGCAAGTCTCTTGGGGTATGTCTCTATAAGCTTGGCACATCTAGCCACTGGGATTTTTGCCCATTCTTCAAGGCAAAACTGCTCCAGCTCCTTCAAGTTGGATGGGTTCTGCTGGTGTACAGCAATCTTTAAGTAATACCACAGATTCTCAATTGAATTGAGGTCTGGGCTTTGACTAGGCAATTCCAAGACATTTAAATGTTTCCCCTTAATCCATTCAAGTGTTGCTTTAGCAGTATGCTTAGGGTCATTGTCGTGCTGGAAGGTGAACCTCCGTCCCAGTCTCAAATCTCTGGAAGACTGAAACAGGTTTCCCTCAAGAATTTCCCTGTATTTAGCACCATCCATCATTCCTTCAATTCTGACCAGTTTCCCAGTCCCTGCCAACAAAAAACATCCCCACAGCATGATGCTGCCACCACCATGCTTCACTGTGGGGATGGTGTTCTCGGGGTGATGAGAGGTGTTGGGTTTGCGCCAGACACAGCGTTTTCCTTGATGGTCAAAAAGCTCAATTTTAGTCTCATCTGACCAGAGTACCTTCTTCCATATGTTTGGGGAGTCTCCCACATGGCTTTCGGCGAACACCAAACGTGTTTGCTTATTTTTTTCTGTAAGCAATGGCTTTATTCTGGCCACTCTTCTGTAAAGCCCAGCTCGGTGGAGTGTTTGGCTTAAAGTGGTCCTATGGACAGATACTCCAATCTCCACTGTGGAGCTTTGCAGCTCCTTCAGGGTTACCTTTGGTCTCTTTGTTGCCTCTCTGATTAATGCCCTCCTTGCCTGGTCTGTGAGTTTTTGTGGGTGACCATCTCTTGGCAGGTTTGTTGTGGTGCCATATTCTTTCAATTTTTTAATAATGGATTGAATGGTGCTCCGTGGGACGTTCAAAGTTTCTGATATTTTTTTATAACCCAACCCTGATCTGTACTTCTCCACAACTTTGTCCCTGACTTGTTTGGAGAGCTCCTTGGTCTTCATGGTGCCGCTTGCTTGGTGGTGCCCCTTGCTTAGTGGTGTTGCAGACTCTGGGGCCTTTCAGAACAGGTGTATATACTGAGATCATGTGACAGATCATGTGACACTTAGATTGCATGTGACTTCTGAAGGTAATTGGTTGCACCAGATCTTATTTAGGGGCTTCATAGCAAAGGTGGTGAATACATATGCATGCACCACTTTTCTGTTATTTTTTTTATTTCACTTCACCAATTTGGACTATTTTGTGTATGTCCATTACATGAAATCCAAATAAAAATCAATTTAAATTACAGGTTGTAATGCAACAAAATAGGGAAAACGCCAAGGGGGATGAATACTTTTGCAAGGCACTGTATCTGTATTCCCAGTCATGTGAAATCCATAGATTAGGGCCAAATTAATTTATTTCAATTGAATGATTTCCTTATATAAACTGTAGTTCAGTGAAATCTTTGAAATTGTTACATGTTGCGTTTATATTTGTGTTTTTTACATTGTATAAAAGTAGAGACTCAGAGGTACAAAAATGTTATATCATACACTACAGTTGAGGAACAATGGGAAGGTAATTCTGCTTTGAACGTTGATAAACTTGTAATCCCACTTTTGAGAAAATGGCCCTTGAATGTTTTGGTCACCTACTGGAGAACTCTTCTTTGTCTACCCCCATTCAGCATTGTTCACACCCTCTTAAGCCTTAGCCCCACCCATCTCTTTAAGTATTCACATGTGAGGCCATGTGCTAAACAGAGTGAGTACGGTAGTGTACTAAACAACCAAAGATTTCAAGACTAAAGGCTGGTTTATGCTAAATCTATCGACATGTCTGTAGACAGTTTTTGCAGTGACATCATGAACATTCTATTGTCGTCCGACATCGTTATGAAAAAGTATAAACACAAAAACGACAGGCTGCATGACATCGGCAGCCTGGTGGTCCAAAATAGCATAATTGGTGTATTCTAACACCAATAAACCCATCCGTTTAAAAATGAATTCAATATATGTAAATCTAGTAAACCAGGCAACTAAAAGCAACTTTCTAAACAATGTTTTGAATCATTTCTAGCTTGTTAGCTAGCCAGTTAACATTAAGTTAGGTGGCTAGCCAGTTCAAATAATGACCATATCATATAGCTGACAACGTCTTAATTTTAGCTAATTTGTATTCATTATTACAGGAAAATAAACTCACTATAAGATCATTATTTACAAGTTAATGGTGAGGTAATTACAGAAAATAGCTTACGGTTGTGAGTGTGATTAAATAAAAGCAGGGCATTCTACCGGAGAATTTTAGAACTTGGACACTGTCTCGTTGTAGGCCTAATGTTATATTCTAATTTGACTTTGGTGCAGGTCATGTTGTTCTTCACATTACCGTCTCTGGTAAACACACACTATATCAAATAAAGTCAAAGTTTATTTGTCACATGCACAGGATACAGAAGGTGTAAATGGTACTGTGAAATGGTGACTTGCATAGTGAAGTCTTTTGTTTAGACATGTAGCAAGCTAGGTAGTTAGCTAAACAATTAACTATTATCCTAACTCTTAACGTTACTACCCTGCATGAATCTGCAGGTAGCTAAACAACTTTTGTGCAAAATTAGAAATGTATAATATCTGAAAATGTAGCTAGCTAGACTCTCTTACCCGTATACATGGTGAACACTTCTCCCTCTCTGTCACGGACGCCATGGTTGCCCTTAGTTTGAAGATGCAATCCGGAGACAGGTGTTTTATACAACAGCCTTCTGTGTGTTCTCTTTTCGACTCCCTCCGCATATTTGCGATCAAACGGCAGAGCATTAGCAACACTTTTGCAGTTCTTCGTGATATCTTTCAAAAAACTGCGTTAGAAAGGATTACCTACACACATTATAGACAGAAGCGTGCTACATGGCAGACCAATCTGAACTTATCTCTCGGCATGTCCAGCCGATCCATTATCTCAGTCAATCATGGCTAGTGGGAAGGTTCCTGTCTTTTTCCGTGGCTAAACCAACTAGGCTCATAATTTTCCAGTTGTATTCATATTTACAGATGGCACAACAGTTTGTTATTAAGGCACATCATAGTTTACATGTCCCAGAAGGCATTTATACAACAAAAAAACAATTTGTTTTATACAAAAAAATTGTGTTTACATTCAAATGCCTCTCCTGTGAAGTAGCGAAGTGCGACATACGCCTAGTTTCCTGAAACGAGTCACATTTTTGTTCAGTGTAAATCTAACTCAGCTGATAACTAAACTAACTTGCTTCAACTATAAACACCCTGAAAAATCTACTCTCTTAGATATTATTCTAACAAATGCCCCTCATAAGTTTACAGCCAATGGGATATTTGCTAATGAGTTCAGTGACTATTGTCCCATTGCCTGCATAACAGATGTTAAGCTACCAAAATCATGCTCACGCATTATTACAAACAGAAATTATAGGAATTTTTATGAGCACCTTTTTTTGGTCTGATCTGGGGCTGAGTGACTGGTGGGTTATGTCAACAATCACTGACTCGGATCAGGCCCTTTAATTGTTTTATTTCCCTGTTTAACACTAGTAATTGCTAAAATATACTTAAGTATCAAAAGTAAAAGTATAAATAATTTAAAATTCCTTACATTAAACAAAGCAGACGGCACCATTTTCTTGTTTTAAGATTTTAGCCAGGGGCACACTCCAACACTCAGACATCATTTACAAGTTATGCATTTGTTGTTTAGTGAGTCCGCCGGATCAGAGGCAGTAGGGATGACTATGTGTTCTCTTGATAAGTACATGAATTGGACAATTTTCCTGTCCTGCTAAGCATTCAAAATGTAACGAGTACTTTTGGGTGTCAGGGAAAATGTATGGAATAAAAAGTACATTATTTTCTAAATGAATGTAGTGAAGTAAAAGTAAAAGTAGTCAAAAAATATATATAGTAAAGTAAAGTACAGATACCCCCAAAAAGTACATAAGTAGTACTTTAAAGTATTTTTACTTAAGTACATTACACCACTGTAAATATGCACCAATCTGGTTTTAGATCTGGACATAGCACTGTTTCAGCCACTGTTTGTTTTAGATAATGTGTTAAATTACCTAGATTATTAAAAAAAACATTGTGCTGCCTTATTTATAGACCTTTCCAAGGCATTCGACATCATTGACCATTCCCTACTCATTCAAAAACGGTCTGAAATTAGCCTGGATAAGGAGTCTTGCAAATGGTTTAAGAACTATTTGACAGACAGGGCACAATGTGTGCTTTCTGATGGTGTCAAGTATAGTTTCCTCAATATTACAAAAGGTGTACTGCAGGAGTCGATTTTGGGACCTGTTTTCTTTACTATTTATAAATAATATTGGTCTATGTATGTATTTTGTTACACTACAGAAAGCCCTTGTTGATTCAAAATGTATACTTAATGCAGGCAAAACTAAATATGTGTTGTTCTCTAATTCACGGAAAAATGTGTCAGATGGGCTACATATTCACTCATTGGATGGTTCTCTCATCGAGCGGGTTAAATATCTGGGCATTTGGATTGATAAAGAAAGTTTAAAAAACATACTGATGAGCTAGTTAAAAATATACGATTTAAAGTGGGCTTGTACAGCAGAATGTACAGTCAACTTTCCTGCCAGATCTTGACTATGGTGACACCATTTACCAGAATGCAGAAGCCACTACTCTTTGGATGCCGTCTACCATAACGCCCTTCGCTTTATTACAGGTGACAGTTTTAATACTTATCACTGCATCCTGTATCAGAAGGTAGATCACTTCATTACTCCCTTCTTGTTTACAAAGCTTTCAACATACCTCACTTCCCTGTTGAAATATAAACATTAGAGACACCAAACCCGTTCGCAGTGTTGGTTAATTCTTGAGGTCCCGCTTGTCTCCACACAGTTTGGTAAATCCGCCTTTAGTTTTAATGCACCACAGTTATGGAGTATCTTACAAAACAAATTACACCTGGATAGGTCAGTTTAAAACTCTGTTGTTAAATGAGTTCACTGAAGTGTGCAATAGTTTAAATTGATTATTATAGCTTGTTGCAATAAACTGATGTCATGTATTTATAGCTGTCTTGTAGTTTTTTTGTATTTTTGTTGTTGCTGTATTGATGTAATTTTTGTCCTCAGGGCACCATTGTAAATGAGACACTGGTCTCAATTGGGTTCCCATTAATAATTAAAAGTTAATAAATATTGTACTCCATGAGTTTTGTAGATCTCACTAACCTAAATTAATGGGAAAGGTATTAGCACCATCTAAATGCTAATAAATGGTGCCAATCCTTCCCATTCATTTGCATCAATTTTTTATGAATTCCGATTTAGAATGCTATGATGAAAATATTATGTTCAATGTAACAAATATAAGCTACAATACCTGAATTGACTGAATTAAAACCCCTGACCATATTTTGATTATGTCAAACCTACAAAGTCCAAAACTCGTACCAATCCTGCCACTTACGTTACTGTAAACTGCTTGCACTGACCCCCCTCCACTGCCTTCTAGTGCATATATTTAGCAAAGCCACAGACAACGCTGTCAATGAAAGTGGTTGTCAATCAAAACAATTTGCATATTTTATCTCTCCACAGGCAGGGGCCGAGAGTCATGGGCTGGATTGCCCAGGGATTGGCCAGTGTGGTTCCACAGCCTGATTTGAAAAACATGGAGGAGGTGGAGCCTGCGGAGACAACAGAGGTACAGATGGAATGGTCTGACAGGTGCCCTGAAGGGTCCACAGATTTTATTTGAGTAATAACCTGAAGCAGTGTTATCTGAACTTTCATGTAAGTCAGTTAAATTGGTTGGTTACTTGGTTGTAGTTAAGTGTTGTAGCTATATAACACCCCCTACCCAAAAACAGACTGCACACTAAAAATAAAAAAGTAAAGAGGACGTAGGCAGCCCCTCAAGCATTTGTTAACTTTAATAACTTTAACTTTAAAAAAAATTTAAAAAATGCTCAGTGAGAGAGGACCAAAATATATTATTAATGGTTAACGTGTAGCATTAGCTTTCTTTGACTCATCTCTGTCCTGTACTTGGAGCCAGGATAGCCGTTTTTAACAGCATTTCCATTCAGATTGCAGAGGTGAGCAAGGTGCCGGAAGTTAAGAATAAACCCAGCGTAAGTAGCTACATCAAGGGTCTTGCTAATATGCTAAGCAAAATTACTCATGGCTTATGCTAACGTGTAGCATTAGCTTTCTGAAACTCTCAGTTTTGTACTTGGAGCCAGGATAGCCGTGTTTAACAGCATTTACATTCAGATTGCAGAGGTGAGCAAGGCACTGGAGGTTAAGAAAAAACCGATCGTAAGTAGCTACATCAAGGGCCTTGCTAATATGCTAACCTAATTTATTCATGGCTTATGCTAACATGTAGCATTAGCTTTCTCAAACTCTCAGTTCTGTACTCGAAGCCAGGCTAGCCGTGTTTAACAGCATTTCCATTCAGATTGCAGAGGTGAGCAAGTCGCCAGAGGTTAAGAAAAAACCTAGCGTAAGTAGCTACAAGGGCCTTGCTAATATGCTAACCAAAATTACTCATGGCTTATGCTAACGTGTAGCATAAGCTTTATCAGACTCTCAGTTCTGTACTTGGAGCTAAGCGAGTCGTGTTTAACAGAATTTCCATTCAGATTGCAGAAGTGAGCAAAGTGCCGGAGGTTAAGAAAAAAACCAGCGTAAGTAGCTAGCTATAACATGGGCATTGCTATGCTATACTAACTTAAACCCAATGCTAACGGACCTGCTGCAGCCGTGTCCAACCCTAGTTCTAGAGATCCATTCGCCACAATGTCCCATTGCTACCGCTCTCCCACCCCAGATGTGCCTTAAGGCTGAGAGGGCCTGTTCTTGCTGGCCACAATGATTCACTGATATACAGTGAGGGAAAAAAGTATTTGATCCCCTATTGATTTTGTACGTTTGCCCACTGACAAAGAAATGATCAGTCTATAATTTTAATGGTAGGTTTATTTGAACAGTGAGAGACTCTCCACCATGGCCAAGACCAAAGAGCTCTCCAAGGATGTCAGGGTCAAGATTGTAGACCTACATAAGGCTGAAATGGGCAACAAGACCATCGCCAAGCAGCTTGGTGAGAAGGTGACAACAATTGGTGCGATTATTCGCAAATGGAAGAAACACAAAATAACTGTCAGTCTCCCTCAGCCTGGGGCTCCATGCAAGGTCTCATCTCGTGGAGTTGCAATGATCATGAGAATGGTGAGGAATCAGCCCAGAACTACACGGGAGGATCTTGTCAATGATCTCAAGGCAGCTGGGACCATAGTCAACAAGAAAACAATTGGTAACACCCTACGCCGTGAAGGACTGAAATCCTGCAGCGCCCGCAAGGTCCCCCTGCTCAAGAAAGCAAATATACAGGGCCATCTGAAGTTTGCCAATGAACATCTAAATGATTCAGAGGAGAACTGGGTGAAAGTGTTGTGGTCAGATGAGACCAAGATCGAGCTCTTTGGCGTCAACTCAACTCGCCATGTTTGGAGGAGGAGGAATGCTGCCTATGACCCCAAGAACACCATCCCCACCGTCAAACATGGAGGTGGAAACATTATGCTTTGGGGGTGTTTTTCTGCTAAGGGGACAGGACAACTTCACTGCATCAAAGGGACAATGGACGGGGCCATGTACCGTCAAATCTTGGGTGAGAACCTCCTTTCCTCAGCCAGGGCATTGAAAATGGGTCGTGGATGGGTATTCCAGCATGACAATGACCCAAAACACACGGCCAAGGCAACAAAGGAGTGGCTCAAGAAGAAGCACATTAAGGTCCTGGAGTGGCCTAGCCAGTCTCCAGACCATAATCCCATAGAAAATCTGTGGAGGGAGCTGAATGTTCGAGTTGCCAAACGTCAGCCTCGAAACCTTAATGACTTGGAGAAGATCTGCAAAGAGGAGTGGAACAAAATCTCTCCTGAGATGTGTGCAAACCTGGTGGCCAACTACAAGAAACGTCTGACCTCTGTGATTGCCAACAAGGGTTTTGCCACCAAGTACTAAGTCATGTTTTGCAGAGGGGTCAAATACTTATATCCCTCATTAAAATGCAAATCAATTTATAACATGCGTTTTTCTGGATTTTTTTGTTGTTATTCTGTCTCTCACTGTTCAAATAAACCTACCATTAAAATTATAGACTGACCATGTTTTTGTCAATGGGCAAACGTACAAAATCAGCAGGGAATCAAATACTTTTTCCCCCTCGCTGTACATGTCATCCGCTCAAGCAGGTTCTGCAAAGCGCCGATTCCTGTGGTCTAGCTGTTTGATGATCGACGGGGATAGATAACTCTTGACCTGGAGAGAAAAGGGTTTTCCACAATCCCTGATTGGAGAATCATATTTATATGAGTCAGCCATCAAAACAGAATGACATTATCCAATCACATAACATCTCCATTTGGATCTCATCACTTAATTGGCGGTCTTTGGATGAGTTTGACAGAAGTCAGCCCATGTATGCATCACTGTGTATTCTTTTCCAATTGTTAGTGATAATGAATTAGGAACACATACTCCACACTCTCATACTCCGAGTGCATTCTCAGAGGACGTTCTCTTGAGTACGTTCTTGTGAGGACGAGAGTATGGAGAACGCATAAAACATTACATTTGAAAAGCACTCGCACTCCCCCTACTGTATTACCGCACACTGCACCTCCCCTTTCACTGAACCTTCTTCTAGCCAAGGACAATGGCAACAATAGAGACAAAACAAGATATATACAAAGCAAACGTTTTTTCATAACTATCAGCAAGCTATATGTTAATCGTAATAATCTAGCTAATCAGATAAATTAACTGTCAAAAATTACCTAAAACTAATGTTATGCAAGGTCAATTCTTCGTGGCTATCTAGCTAGCGAACAGTAGTAGCTAGCCAGTTAACGTTAGCCCTATTGACTTACTATGGGCTTGCAATCTACACACAGGTAGGCAGGTAATGCCAAAATTAACACGTCATTTTGTATTTATTAATATGTATTTATTAACGTGTCAAGATAAAATATTGTAGTAAGGCAACATATGAGATGTGAATGGGAAACATTTCATTAATTCTAAAGTCTGAGTTTATTTTCTCTCGCTTCAGCTCAAATAATGGCCGCCATTGATTTCAATACATTTTGCATTGTTTTTTACGTGGTGCCGTCATATTTCTACGGATACTTTCCGTTGAAGCTTGCATCGATGCATCCTTCAAAATATGTACAAACAGAGTAAGCGTCCGAGAAGTGCCCTCCATACTCCGTTTCACATACTTTTGATTTGGACTCATACTCTGACCCTCACAGGGCACGGTAGTATGCATTTTGAGAAACACCCAGGATCTTTCTTTGGCCCAACTCCTAACCCTGTAGCTGTTCAGGTCCAGAGTTGTTTATCTGTGCAGGTTCCTGCTGTGGCTTGTACAGTATGTGAGAAGGCCTTTTAAGACATGAAGAGCTTCGCCCCGTTTAAAAGAAAATTGCAATTTTATGAGAAGCAGCACAAACCTACAGTGCCTTCAGAAAGTACTCACACCCCTTGACTTTTTCCACATTTTGTTGTGTTACTGCCTGAATTTAAAATGATTTTGTGTCGCTGGCCTACACACAAAATCCCATAATGTCAAAGTGGAATTGTGTTTTTAGAAATGTTTACAAATTAATTAAAAATGAAAAGCTGAAATGTCTTGAGTCAATATGTATTCATCCCCTTTGTTATGGCATGTCTAAATAAGTTCAGGAGTAAACATTTGCTTAACAAGTCACATAATAAGTTGCATGGGCTCACTCTGTGTGCAATAATAGTACCCCACACATACAATTATATGTATGGTCCCTCAGTCAAGCAATGAATTTCAAACAGATTCAACCACAAAGACCAGGGAGGTTTTCCAATGCTTTGCAAAGAAGGGCACCTATTTGTAGATGGGTAACAATAAAAAAGAAGACATTTAGTATCCCTTTGAGCATGGTGAAGTTATTAATTACACTTTGGATGGTGTACCAATACACCCAGTCACTACAAAGATACAGGCGTCCTTCCTAACTCAGTTGCCGGAGAGGAAGTAAACCGCTCAGCGATTTCACCATGAGGCCAATGTTGACTTTAAAAAAAAGTTTAATGGCTGTAATAGGAGAAAACTGAGGATAGATCAACAACATTGTCGCTCCACAATACTAACCTAAATGACAGAGTGAAAAGAAGGAAGCCTGTACAGAATAACAATATTCCAAAACATGCAATAAGGCACTAAAGTAAAAAAAAATGTGGCAAAGAAATTAACTTTATTTCCTGAATACAAAGTGTTATGTTTGGGTCAAATCCAACACAACACATTACTCAGTACCACACTTCATATTTTCAAGCATGGTAGTGGCTGCATCATGTTAGAGGTATACTTGTAATCGTTAAAGACTGGGGAGTTTTTTGGGATAAAAATAAACAGAATAGAGCTAAGCACATGCAAAATCCTAGAGCAAAACCATGTTCAGTCTGCTTTCCAACAGCCACTGGGGACAAATTCACATTTCAGCAGGACAATAAACTAAAACACAAGGTCAAATATACACTAGAGTTGCTTACCAAGACGACATTGAAGGTTCTTGAGTGGGCCTAGTTAGTTTTGACTTAAATCAGCATGAAAATCTACGGCAAGAAAATGGCTGTCTAGCAATGATCAACAACCAACTTGACAGAGCTTGAATACTTTTTTAAATAATAATGTGCAAATATTGAACAATCCAGGTGTGCAAAGCTCTTAGAGACTTTTCCCAAAAAGACTCACAGCTGTAATCGCTGCCAAAAGTGATTCTAACATGTATTGACTCAGGGGTGAATAGAATGAGATATTTCTGTAATATGTTCTTGCAAAAATGTGTAAAAACATGTTTTCACTTTGTCATTATGGGGTATTGTGTGTAGATGGGAAAGAAAATACATATTTCATAAATTTTCAGGCAGTAACACAACAAAATGTGGGATAAGTCAAAGGTTATGAATAATTTCTGAAGGCACTGTATGTATACAAACTACTTACACCTCATTACAACACTTCTCTGTAATGTCTGTGAATGTTGAATATTTATAGATTTTCTGTGAATGTTTGTTTCCCTGCAGGTGCATGCTATCCAAGATGTCCCAGGTGAGAGCTAACAACATACTTTTTCTGTGGTTAGAAGTAGTATCATGATGACGGATCATGATAATCATGACATTGCTTGTGGTTCTATTGATGTTGTGGTGGGGGTGATGATGATGATGCTGATGCTGCTGATGATTAACTCCTTATCTCTAGATGCAGAGCCTCTTCCTCATATTCCTGTGGTGGAGGTTATGTCAGATGAAGAGCCTGAAGAGGAGAAGGGAATCCCACCCAGGTGTGTGTGTGTGTGTGTGTGTACATGCATGTGTGCGTGCATTTGTGCCTCTCTCTCTCCTTCAATCTCTCTCTTCTACCCACTTTGTTGTCTCCAATGCCATTCTAATGTGTGTGTTTGTGACTGTGTGTCGTGTGTTCTGTTCTCAGGGTGTATGAGTGGATCAAGCAGGGTTTTGAGAAGGTGGTTCCCCAGCCAGCTGACATCAACAAAGACGTCTCAGCGAAGGCCGCCTGCCCACAGAAAGGTAGTCTTCTACCACAAAGAGCTCCTGAAATTTATCACAGGGATGCTTGGTGGTGCTGAGCAATAGGTTACTCTATATTGGTTCCACAGCTGATCACCAATCATATATCTTGTTCTGAGGCTAGAAACCTCATGCACCAGCAAGCCTATATATATATATATATTTTTTTTTTATATATATATATTTTTATATATATATATATATATATGTATATATATATATATATTTTTTTTTTACATCTGTTGCATATTTATGAGCTGTTTGTTCTGCCCTTGCAGTGACCTCCTCCTCTCCGGAAGCTGAAGAGGAGGCCAAAGAAAAGTGAGTCTCACAGACCTGTACTCTGTTGTATTTACACTACAAGCTCATTGATACACAAACATGCACTAATTAATGTAAATATTACAGATTGTACAGAGGTTGTAAAGGGAACAATTTGAACAGTTTAATGGGGGGAAAAACATTTCCTGCAATCTCTTTAACGTTGTTGTATTGTTATGTATCTGTTGACAGTGAGGAGGAGAAACAGCCCAAGTATGTGACAAAATGACCGCAGCTTATAATTGGCAGGAAATGCCATGCTTAGCTATCAAAGCCCCTCCTACCTAAAGGCAGAGTTAGGAAGCTTTGTACCATAGCTGTATCAGACTACCCTGCATGTTGTGTAAGCCCCTCACATTTTGGGGAAAAAACCTGGATGTTTTATATGGCTGCTTCCGTTACTGCCTCACCCTAGCAGCTTTTGGCCCACCTAGAGAGTGGCAAAAAAGCAGGAAAATATAATTCTACCCTGTCTACTCTACATTACCTGCTAAGAGCATTGAACCAGTAACCGAAAGGTTGCTGATTCGAATCCCCCTGAGCAATGCAGTTAACCTCCAACAACAACTGCTCCCCGGGTGCCGATGACATTAATTAAGGCAGCCCCCCGCACCTCTCTGATTCAGAGGGGTTGGGTTAAATGCAGAAGACATATTTCGGTTGAATGCATTCAGTTGAGCAACTGACTAGGTATCCCCTTTCCCTTCCAAATGGTCTGACACAATCTATACGCTGCTATAACATGGCAACCACTTGCAAACGCATTCTCTGACGCTGTTATATCATAGTAATAGCCCTGAAATGTGCTATACTGCTAAAGCATGATAGCAGCTGTTAAACATGCCCTGTGATGTAGACAGTCCATATTCTAATATCTCTGTTCTCCTTCTACAGTGTGGTTGGCTGGATTGTTCAGGGCTTTGGTCGTATGTTACCTCAGCCTGTCCTGACTCCCAGTGGATCGGTGAGTGACTAACCTCATAATGACACAAGGCAACAAACCAGGATAGTATTCATTAAGGCACATTGTAGCAAAACACTTTGCATGATAAACCACATTTCTTATTGGATAAGTTCAGGTAGTCCTTCCCTGTTTCAGTACAGTTTCTTCCGTTTGGTGCTTAATGAAGAATGAACAAGACCCTAGTTTTTAGAATCAAATGATAATTTTTATTCAAAGTTGTTCTTAAACTTAATCTAAACAGGACATAGCTGAAAGAGGATGTAGGTAAATGGAAACTGAAGTCTAAAATCTTTTGTTTTGTGTCTCCCCCTCTGACAGGAGAACGCTGAGGCTGTGCAGAACAGTAAGTAAAGCTGTTCTCATGGCTTCTCATACACATACAGCATCTCACAGAACCCGTTTTCAGATGCTTTAGCCCTCTAAGTAATTGCCTGATCATAAAACTCAAAATGGTGTTCAGAAAACGATCAGCATTATGGTCATATAAAATCAAAACAGTATACAAAGAAGTCTGAACATCCAATAGACAACAGACAGGCAGGACAACAGAGAGTACAACCAGACATTGGCACTGTTCCTTTGAGTCTGATATCAGTTATGGACACACTTCAGTGACCTGAGTTATGCTTCGAGGTAGTTTGATTGATTGATCAGTGTAGTGGGGCAGGTGATTTGCAGGTTCATTGATTGGTTGATTGGTTAATTACAGGGTGTATTGATTGGTTGATTAGGGTGAGTGTCCATGATGAGGCAGACTCTAACTGGGCTCCTCTTCTCAATCTGTTTCAGGGGGGAAGGTGTGCTGAGAGCCCCTTAAACAAAAGGAGAAGGAAGACTGGGAAAAAGTTGCTCACAAAAACATATACACACACATAGAAGAGGAGACTAAACCACAGGCACACACTTACCAGAGGAGGCTGGTGGGAGGAGCTATAGGAGGACAGGCTCATTGTAATGGCTGGAATGGCATAAATGGAATGGAGTCAAACATGTGTCTTCCATATGTTTAACCTAACGTAGCAGACGTAAAAGAAATGCCTGAGCGGAGTTCACATATCTGGTTTTCAGCGGAAAAGGAACCTAGGTTGAAGATGCTGTATCCCTGAAAACCAGATGTATCCAGTTGTTGGCAACTCCGCTAAGGGTGCCATATGTTTGATGTGTTTGATTACATTACAATGAGTCCGTCCTCCTATAGCTCCTCCCACCAGCCTCCTCTGACACACACATAGATAGAAATAATAAATGGCTCTGTAAAGCAATAGAGCTTTCAGTTCTTGCGCAGCTATAACGCATAATGCACTTTTCCCCTCTCCTTCCCACAAACGATTGAACCAATGATAAGTGATTCTGAATTAAATTACTAATTATGTTTAAATACCCATAAACCAGCAGAATTAGCTAAGCATGGGATTGAATGTAGCCTAATTTACAAAGGCTGTGTTTAACAGGCAGCTCAATTTACATATGTCAATTATTTGGCATATCTGAAACATATATGATCTTTCCCCCAAATTCTAAACAGCTAAAAAAAACATGGAATCTGATCTTTTAAGTTCTGATTTATACCACATCCGTATGTGGCTCTCAATTCTGATATGATTCTGATGCTCCATATGCAACCTCAGTGTGGATGCTCAGATCAAATAAAAAATGTTGCTCTGAAAGGTTGTGGGGTTTTTTACATGAAAAAAAATAAGTAAATTACCATTGCATATGTGTGCTATTTCAGAGGCTACATGAGTGTCAATGTGCAAATCTGTCCCATATAAAACTGAGTGTGAACAGTCAGAAAAAAAAGTTGGATATGAAACAAAATCTGAATTGGGTTGCTAGGATGGCTGTGTAAACATAGCCAAATGGGTTTATTGTGCTTTCGATGCTATGATCATCATCTGTTAGAATCATCACTTTGGAGACAATATCTCACTCTAATAGCAATGGCACAATGATGCTAATGATTATTCCATAAACAATTATCTCCAAAAAGCCTAGGAATCTCAAAAAGCCTAGGAATTCTGTTTTCTCCAGAGAGACAGGGTGATCACAGCTAGTATAAGCGGTCATGCTTTTGCCAATACTTCCATTCTCATTTTAAACAGTGTAGAATCAATACACTGCTATCAATTGTTTTTAGATTGCATGGAATCGTGACAATAAAAAAAGTTGGATTGGCTAGCACTATATTTCACACACGGTTTGTAGTCGACGTACTGTTAGCATAGTACACACTACTGTTAGTACTGTTGTTATTATGTTTGTCAAATGAGACAAACATAGTAACTAGCTAAGCCCAGGCAGATATCCTATTCTTATGAGATGTTGTTATATTATATGCAGTTTGTTTATGATTAATAAAGAGTTTGAAATGCAGTCTGGTGTACTGTGTGACAGTCATTCAATCTACCAATCAATCTACAAATCAATCTACCAATCAATCAATCAATCAATTAGGCTTATACCTATAAATATTCTAACAGCCAAGTATATGAAGGGGTCTGAATTACATGATATGATTAAAAGATGGGTATATTGTATTTGTTGAATATATTTTCAAGGGATCCGTACAGCTAATGCTAACCTTTTGTAAAGCACAGTACAGCAATGAATTGTAGCGACCTTAAGCCAACACCTAGCGACCTAGTCAAGAGGTTTGTTCCTCTTGGCATATTTTAGAATAAAGCTGTAACGTAACAAAATGTGATAAACGTCAAGGGGTCTGAATACTTTCCGAATGCGCTGTACCCCTATTCCTCAGCCCCAATATCTATATACCTCAGCCCACTTACCCACACACCTAATCCCAATTACTCACACATCCCAGCCCTGTTACCCTCATGCCCTAACACTAACACCCAGAATCATTAGATCACTTGTTTTGGTACTGCCCTGTTTTTGGTCGTAGGTTCAGGAATGGCTGAAAAATTGCAACATTTACTTGGAGCTAACTCTGCAAATAGCACTGCTGGGTGATTTGAAAAGTCATAGTCAATCGATCAATAATATAATAATACTTAATTTACAGTCTGTAGAAACTATGAAAATAGAAAGGTTCAGAACTTTTGTGAAACATCACAGCACAGTGGGAAAATATATGGCAGCTGGTCTTCAGAGATACAGTAGATGTGAGGGGTTGAGGGTAGCAGAAGGCTGGGACTAAAAACAAACAAAAGATAAGTAATGTAAAATATAATGTCCGTAAAATGTATATAGTATGTATAAGCTGGAAGTAGAAGCCTAAGTATTGTTGTCCATTAGTTTACTCCAATTAGGAAAGGGGTGGTAGGGTTAGTGGGAAATAATAAAGAAGGAAAATATATTTTAAAATATATATATTTACAAATGTTATATATATGAGGTATTGGAAATGATGCAGACAATTACATTGATAGATACCACAATCTATCGGCAATATTAAAGCTCATTTTAAAAAAAACACTAACACCCACATCCCAGTACCCTAATATTGATACAATCAAGTACCGATACACCCATATCCTAGCCCTAAATGCCCTATTTGTTACTCATAAACCCCAGTTCCTTTGCCAATACACCTCATCCATGTTACTTGCCTATCTCAGCCCTGTTACCCACTTTCCCTAGACCTGTATTCCCCAAGTCACCAACAGTAACCTGTTGGGCACACCCCAACACTGTTATTTGTATATCTTAGTCCTGTGACCTCTGACCTGTATACGCTAATCGTGTCATGGATAAACTCATAGTACAGTGGTATAACACATGTGCCACAGCCCCATTCATTTTCATACCACAAACTTGTTGCCAGAAAGGATTTGAGCCTTGTGTATCCCTACTCCACATCACTCGTATAAACCAGGTAAATCCATGGGCATACTGATATAAGACAGGTCTACCCCAGTGCCCAAGCCTCAACATTCATACAAACCAGGTCTACACTTGCACTTCAGCCTCAATATCCTTACAGACCAGGTGTACATATGTACATCTAACCCAATATAGATTTTTTTTTAACAGGTCGGCTGTTACATGTCACTGCCAATTGTCATAAAAATAGGTGTACTTATGCATTTCAGCGCCACAATTCATACAAACCTAGTCTACACCTGTACTTCAGCTCCAATTTACATACCTACAAAGTCTGCACCTGTGCTTGAACACAATTAGTCAACTAAGCCTGGTCCCCTCTAGCTCAATTGGTAGAGCATGGCGCTTGTAACGCCAGGGTAGTGGGTTCGATCCCCGGAACCACCCATATGTAAAAAAAGTAAAAATAATGTATGCACACATGACTGTAAGTCGCTTTGGATAAAAGCGTCTGCTAAATGGCATATTAAATATGCCGTAGCCTGAATACTCATAAACTGTACACGAGGTCTACCACTGCAACTCAGCTCGAGTACTACTACTGTACAAACCAGGTCTACACATTTGACTGAGTCCCAATACTAATATAAACAAGATCTACACCTGCATATTTCAGCCCAAATACCCATACGAACCAGGTTTACACCTGTGGCTATGTCCCAATACTCTGATATACCAGGTCTACCTTTGTGTCTATTCAGCAAAACGCACATAAACCAGATCTACCATTTTGGAAGAGAAACTAAAACAAACCTATTGACATAAAATATTTGTTAAATTATTACACTTTTTCAGTGTATGGGTCTATTTGTATTTATTATGGATCCCCATTAGCTGCTGCCAAGGCAGCGGCTACTCTTCCTGGGGTCCAGCAAAATTAAGGCAGTTTTAAAAACATTACAATAGATTCACAACAGATTTCACAACACATTAAGTGTGTGTCCTCAAGCCCCTACTCTACTACCACATACAGTGGCCCACTGACAAAGACATGATCAGTCTATAATTTTAATGGTAGGTTTATTTGAACAGTGAGAGACAGAATAACAACAAAAAAATCCAGAAAAACGCATGTCAAAGATTTTAGTAATTTATTTGCATTTTAATGAGGGAAATAAGTATTTGACCCCTCTGCAAAGCATGACTTAGTACTTGGTGGCAAAACCCTTGTTGGCAATCACAGAGGTCAGACGTTTCTTGTAGTTGGCCAACAGGTTTGCACACATCTCAGGAGGGATTTTGTCCCACTCCTCTTTGCAGATCTTCTCCAAGTCATGAAGGTTTTGAGGCTGACGTTCGGCAACTCGAACCTTCAGCTCCCTCCACAGATTTTCTATGGGATTAAGGTCTGGAGACTGGCTAGGCCACTCCAGGACCTTAATGTGCTTCTTCTTGAGCCACTCCTTTGTTGCCTTGGCCGTGTGTTTTGGGTCATTGTCATGCTGGAATACCCATCCACGATCCATTTTCAATGCCCTGGCTGAGGGAAGGAGGTTCTCACCCAAGATTTGACAGTACATGGCCCCGTCCATCGTCCCTTTGATGTGGTGAAGTTCTCCTGTCCCCTTAGCAGAAGAACACCCCCAAAGCATAATGTTTCCACCTCCATGTTTGATGGTGGGGATGGTGTTCTTGGGGTCATAGGCAGCATTCCTCCTCCTCCAAACACGGCGAGTTGAGTTGATGCCACAGGGATCGATTTTGGTCTCATCTGACCACAACACTTTCACCCAGTTCTCCTCTGAATTATTATAATAATATAATAATATGCCATTTAGCAGACGCTTTTATCCAAAGCGACTTACAGTCATGCGTGCATAAATTTTTGTGTATGGGTGGTCCCGGGGATCGAACCCACTACCTTGGCGTTACAAGCGCCGTGCTCTACCAGCTGAGCTACAGAGGACCACCCATACACAATGTTCAGATGTTCATTGGCAAACTTCAGACGGGCCTGTATATGTGCTTTCTTGAGCAGGGGGGCCTTGCGGGTGCTGCAGGATTTCAGTCCTTCACGGCGTAGTGTGTTACCAATTGTTTTCTTGGTGACTATGGTCCCAGCTTCCTTGAGATCATTGACAAGATCCTCCTGTGTAGTTCTGGGCTGATTCCTCACCGTTCTCATGATCATTGCAACTCCACGAGGTGAGATCTTGCATGGAGCCCTAGGCCGAGGGAGATTGAAAGTTATTTTGTGTTTCTTCCATTTGTGAATAATCGCACCAACTGTTGTCACCTTCTCACCAAGCTGCTTGGCGATGGTCTTGTAGCCCATTCCAGCCTTGTATAGGTCTACAATCTTGTCCCTTACATCCTTGGAGAGCTCTTTGGTCTTGGCCATGGTGGAGCGTTTGGAATCTGATCGATTGATTACTTCTGTGGACAGGTGTCTTTTATACAGGTAACAAGCTGAGATTAGGAGCACCCCTTTAAGATTGTGCTCCTAATCTCAGCTCGTTACCTGTATAAAAGACACCTGGGAGCCAGAAATCTTTCTGATTGAGAGGGGGTCAAATACTTATTTCCCTCATTAAAATGCTAATCCATTTTTAACATTTTTGACATGCGTTTTTTCTGGATTTTGTTGTTGTTATTCTGTCTCTCACTGTTCAAATAAACCTACCATTAAAATTATAGACTGATCATTTCTTTGTCAGTGGGCAAATGTACAAAATCAGCAGGGGATCAAATACTTTTTTCCCTCACTGTATCTACAACACAAAATCCATGTGTACGTGTGTGTATGCATGTGTCTGTGCCTATGTTTGTGTTGCTAATTTTACTGCTTGCATGAGTTACTTGATGTGGAATAGAGTTCCATGTAGTCATTGCTCTATGTAGTACTGGGTGCCTCCCATAGTCTGTTCTGGACATGGGGACTGTGAAGAGACCTCTGGTGGCATGTCTTGTGGGGTATGCATGGGTGTCCTAGCTGTGTGCTAGTAGTTCAAACAGACATCTTGGTGCATTCAACATGTCAATACCTCTCACAAATACAAGTAGTGATGAAGTCAATCTCTCCTCCACTTTGAGCCAGGAGAGATTGACATGCATATTATTAATGTTAGCTCTCTGTGTACATCCAAGGGCCAGCTGTGCTGCCCTGTTCTGAGCCAATTGCAATTTGCAAGTCCCTCTTTGTGGCACCTGACCACACGACTGAGTCCAGGTGCAACAAAACTAGAGCCTGTAGGACCTGCCTTGATGATAGTGCTGTTAAGAAGGCAGAGCAGCGCTTTATTATGGACAGACTTCTCCCCATCTTAGCTACTGTTGTATCAATATGTTTTGACCATGACAGTTTACAATCCAGGGTTACTCCAAGCAGTTTAGTCACCTCAACTTGCTCAATTTCCACATTATTCATTACAAGATTTAGTTGACGTTTAGGGTTTAGTAAATGATTTGTCCCAAAAACAATGCTTTCAGTTTTTGAAATATTTAGAACTAAGTTATTCCTTCTTTGTTAAGTGTTGCAGTAATTTCCGTCTCTGTAGTAGCTGACATGTATAGTGTTGAGTCATTCGCATACATAGACACACTGGCTTTATTCAAAGCCAGTGGCATGTCGTTAGTAAGGATTGAAAAAAGTAAGGGGCCTAGACAGCTGCCCTGGGGAATTCCTGATTCTACCTGGATTATGTTGGAGGGGCTTCCAATAAATAACACCCTCTTTATCCACAATATAGCAAGGGGTATAAAGCCATAACACATAACTTTTACCAGCAGCAGATTATGACCGACAATGTCAAAAGCCACACTGAAGTCTAACAAAACAGCCCCCACAATATTTGTATAATCAATTTCTCTCAGCCAATCACAAGCTGTGCTTGTCGAATGTCCTTCCCTATAAACGTGTTGAAAGTCTGGTAATTCCCCCGTGGCAATTCCCCCAAAAATAACAAAATATGACATTTTACAGTCAAAATCACTGATTTAAATATATTATGTAAAGGCTAAAGGACAATCGTCAAATCATCTGTAAGGTCATCTTGATCAAGTACAGTTGAAGTCCGAAGTTTACATACACTTAGGTTGGAGTCATTAAAACTTGTTTTTCAACCACTCCACAAATTTGTTGTTAACAAACTATCGTTTTGGCAAGTCGGTTAGGACATCTACTTTGTGCATGACACAAGTAATTTTTCCAACAATTGTTTACAGACATATTATTTGACTTATAATTCACTGTATCACAACTCCAGTGGGTCAGAAGTTTACATACACTAAGTTGACTGTGCCTTTAAACAGCTTGGTAAATTCCAGAAAATGATGTCATGGCTTTAGAAGCTTCTGATAGGCTAATTGACATAATTTGAGTCAATTGGAGGTGTACCTGTGGATGTATTTCAAGGCCTACCTTCAAACTCAGTGCCGCTTTGCTTGACATCATGGGAAAATCAAAAGAAATCAGCCAAGACCTCAGAAAAAACAAATCTAAACGCCTGAAGGTACCACGTTCATCTGTACAAACAATAGTATGCAAGTATAAACACCTTGGGACCACGCAGCCGTCATACCGCTCAGGAAGGAGACGCATTCTGTCTCCTAGAGATGAACGTACTTTGGTGCGAAAAGTGCAAATCAACCATAGAACCAGCAAAGGACCTTGTGAAGATGCTGGAGGAAACAGGTACAAAAGTATCTATATCCACAGTAAAATGAGTCCTATATCGACATAACCTGAAAGGCCGCTCTGCAAGGAAGAAGCCACTGCTCCAAAACCGCCATAAAAAAGCCAGACTATGGTTTGCAACTGCACATGGGGACAAAGATCGTAATTTTTGGAGAAATGTCCTCTGGTCTGATGAAACAAAAATAGAACTGTTTGGCCATAACGACCATCATTATGTTTGGAGGAAAAAGGGGCAGCTTGCAAGCCGAAGAACACCATCCCAACAGTGAAGCACGGGGGTGGCAGCATCATGCTGTGGGGGTGCTTTGCTGCAGGAGGGACTGGTGCACTTCACAAAATAGATGGCATCATGACGAAGGAAAATTATGTGGATATATTGAAGCAACATCTCAAGACATCAGTCAGGAAGTTAAAGCATACTTCCAAAGTTGTGGCAAAATGGCTTAAGGACAACAAAGTCAAGGTATTGGAGTGGACATCACAAAGCCCTGACCTCAATCCTATAGAAAATGTGTGGGCAGAACTGAAAAAGCGTGTGCGAGCAAGGAGGTCTACAAACCTGACTCAGTTACACCAGCTCTGTCAGGAGGAATAGGCCAAAATTCACCCAACTTATTGTGGGAAGCTTGTGGAAGGCTACCCGAAACATTTGACACAAGTTAAACAATTTAAAGGCAATGCTACCAAATACTAATTGAGTGTATGTAAACTTCTGACCCACTGGGAATGTGATGAAAGAAATAAAAGCTGAAATAAATCATTCTCTCTACTATTATTCTGACATTTCACATTCTTAAAATAAAGTGGTGATCCTAACTGACCTAAAAAAGGGAATTTTTACTTGGATTAAATGTCAGGAATTGTGAAAAACTGAGTTTAAATGTTTTTGGCTAAGGTGTATGTAAACTTCCGACTTCAACTGTATATCCATAACCCACTTAACTTCAATCTGCTGAAAAAATAAATAATCTGCTATGATTAAATATATACTGTATAATAAATTAGAGCCACTGTATTTTCCCATTGGTCGCAAATATGACCACTAAGATATTTTATATTCCACAAGCATCATGGATTCAATGTATTGAAAATTAAAGCACATATGTAAACTACACACTTTAAACATTATATTTGAAGTTGTTGAATACAGACTTCTGGTGCCAAATTAATCTGTAAAAGTACACCTTGGAGATTTATGCTTGTGGTCCTGTGACCATTTTGAGAAATCATATGAAACTTCTCTGAATAATATTAGACACCTTAGTAATGCATAGTATGACTTATTTGTTGATAAGTAAAACTTTAATTTCTGTAGAACCTGTTAAGTACAACAACAACAACAAAAAAACTATTGTGACTGATGGCATTAAATGGGTTGCCGAAAATGCTGTTATCGAGGTAATTTCCTTAGTAGGTGAAGTCAGAGGTCAGCATGTTGGAGAAGTCGAAGCTCAGGGATGATAGACAAGCTTCCCACTAGTTATTACCAGTTGGAGGGGCTTTCAAGTGGATTTTTTCCAGTCATATGTGATAAATACCACATTCCCACTTGGTTATGAATACAGTTTAAGCCTTAATTGGGTGTTGAATATGAGGTCTCTCTTTTTTTGATTGGTTGATCCCACCCTATTGTTCCATATCCTCTAACACCACTGACCCACCTCCTTTTCCTGCAATTTGTTTCCTATTTCCTGTTTAGTCCTCATCCTGCAGGGCCATGAAGACATGGTTCTGGAGGAGGTGGACCCGGATTGGGAGAAGAGAGAGGACAAAGCGGCTCAGGGAGCAGCCCTTCTCCAGGCCTTACCCTCACTCCTACCCCAGGTCAGAGGCAGAGTCAAACAGCCTTGCTGGTAGTCACTAGATTACCATGCTTGAATGGACAAAAGACGAAAGTCACCAACATGTTATGACAAAACAAAACTGTTCCATTTTCATAATGGAAATGCCATTGAACTTAATAATGTTCTTTTTCTGGAGCTGCAATAGCCATACTCTCTGTATGTACTGTATTTCTCTGTCGCAGCAGGTTATGGCCATGCAACAAGAACCAGAGGATGCAGAGACACAGACAGAGAGATGGACTCCCCTCATGGAGAGCATCAAGAAAGAGGCAGAGGAGGCTGCTATGGTGAAAGTGGAAGAGAAGTAATAAAAGACTCCATCTGTTTTCCTCTTCCTCCTATTCCCTCTTTATTCTTCCCTCTGTCTCACACTCACATTTTTACAATCTCATATTTTTCCCAGAGATCTGTCTCCCGTTGTCTGTATGTGTGATGAGTGTGATTAGAAGGAGTCAGGCGCAGGAGGGTAAATCACAGAATACAGAGTTTATTCTGTTGTACACAGTTGCGCTGGATAGCGACAACAAAATAGAGGCACAGGGGAACAATCTACCCCGGCAATACAAGGTACGAGTAGCTCCAACAAAATACAGGCACAGGGAAATAATCTACCCCGGCAATACAAGGTATGAGTAGCTCCACTGAGCTACACTCAACTCACATAAAACAATCACCCACAAGGACAAGGGGGCAGAGGGAACAATTATACACAGACTACTGAGGGGATATGAACCAGGTGTGTGTAATTGACAAGACAAAACAAATGGAATGATGATATATGGAGCGGCAATGGCTAGTAAGCCGGTGACGACGAACGCCGAAGCCTGCCCGAACAAGGAGGGGAGGCAGCCTCGGCGGAAGTTGTAACAGTATGAGTGATGAATTGGGACTGGCTGTTGAGTTCACCAATGCCTTTTGGCTCTGTGTGATTGTCTGATGTATTGACCCCTGACCTGGTCTCCAGGCTGCAGCAGCAGTTAGAAGAAGCAAGGATGGCTGAGGAGGTGGCCAGGCAGGCGGCTGAGATGGCAGTTAGACAACTAGAGGAGGAGCAGGCTGCCAGTGCCCAGAGGGCCACAGACTCACAGCAGGAGGCTGATGGAGAGCAGTAAGTCCCACACACACACGCACACACAGAGAAACACATACACACATATACAGTACCAGTCCAAAGTTTGGACACACCTACTCATTCAAGGGTTTTTCTTTATTTTTACTATTTTCTACATTGTAGAATAATAGTGAAGACATCAACACTATGAAATAACACATCTGGAATCATGTAGTAACCAACAAAGTGTTAAACAAATCAAAATGTTTTATATTTGAGATTCTTCAAATAGCCACCGTTTGCCTTGATGACAGCTTTGCACACTCTTGGCATTCTCTCAACCAGCTTCACCTGGAATGCTTTTCAAATCAAACAAATCAAATGTTATTTGCCACATGCTCCGAATACAACATGTGTAGACCTTACAGTGAAATGCAACCAGTCAGGATGCTCTCGATGGTGCAGTTTAGACCTTTTTGAGGATCTGATTATTTTCAGGAATAGGCTTTGTTGTGTCCTCTTCACGACTGTCTTGGTGTGTTTGGACCATGATAGTTTGTTGGTGATGTGGACACCAAGGAACTTAAAGCTCTCAACCTGTTCCACTACAGCCCCATCGATGAGAATGGGGGCGTGCTCACTCCTCTTTTTTTCCTGTAGTCCACAATCATCTCCTTTTTCTTGATCACGCTGAGGGAGAGGTTGTTATCCTGGCACCACACGGCCAGGTCTCTGACCTCCTCCCTATAGGCTGTCTCATCGTTGTCGGTGATCAGGCCTACCACTGTTGTGTCGTCGGCAAACGTAATGATGGTTGGAGTCGTGCCTGGCCATGCAGTCAAGGGTGAACAGGGAGTGGCGAAGTGGTCTAAGGCCCTGCATCGCAGTGCTAACTGTGCCACTAGAGATCCTGGTTCGAATCCAGGCTCTGTCGCCGCCGGCCACGACCGGGAGACTCATGGGCGGGGCACAATTGGCCCAGCGTCGTCCAGGGTAGGGGAGGGAATGGCCGGCAGGGATGTAGCTCAGTTGATAGAGCATGGCGTTTGTAACGCCAGGGTTGTGGGTTCGATTCCCACGGGGGGCCAGTATAAAAAAAATATGTATTCACTAACTGTAAGTCGCTCTGGATAAGAGCGTCTGCTAAATGACTAAAATGTAAATGTAATGAGTACAGGAGGGGACTGAGCACGCACCCCTGAGGGGCCCCCGTGTTGAGGATCAGCGTGGCAGATGTGTTGTTACCTACCCTTACCACCTGGGGGCGGCCCATCATGAAGTCCAGGATCCAGTTGCAGAAGGAGGTGTTTAGTCCCAGGGTCCTTAGCTTAGTGATGAGCTTTGAGGGCACTATGGTGTTGAACGCTGAGCAGTAGTCAATGAATAGCATTCTCACGTAGGTGTCCTCTTGTCCAGGTGGGAAACGGGTAGTGTGGAGTGTAATAGAGATTGCATAATCTGTGGATCTGTTGGGGCGGTATGCAAATTGGAATGGGTCTAGGGTTTCTGGGATAATGGTGTTGATTTGAGCCATGACCAGCCTTTCAAAGCACTTCATGGTTACAGACGTGAGTGCTATGGGTCGGTAGTCATTTAGGCAGGTTATCTTAGTGTTCTTGGGTACAGGGACTATTGTGGTCTGCTTGAAACATGTTGGTATTACAGACTCAGTCAGGTACATGTTGAAAATGCCAGTGAAGACACTTGCCAGTTGGTCAGCGTATGCTCAGAGTACAAGTCCTGGTAATCCATCTTGTGAATGTTGACCTGCTTAAAAGTCTTACTCACATCGGCTACGGAGAGCGTGATCACATAGTCATCCGGAACAGCTGATATGCTCATGCATGCTTCAGTGTTGCTTGCCTCGAAGCAAGCATAGAAGTGATTTAGCTCGTCTGGTAGGCTCGTGTCACTGGGCAGCTCGCGGCTTTGCTTCCCTTTGTAGTCTGTAATAATTTGCAAGCCCTACCATATCGGACGAGCATCGGATCCGGTGTAGTACGATTCAATCTTAGTCCTGTATTGACTCTTTGCCTATTTGATGGTTCGTCGGAAGGCATAGTGGGATTTCTTATAAGCGTCCGGGTTAGAGTCCCACTCCTTGAAAGCGGCAGCTCCACCATTTAGCTCAGTGCGGAGGTTTCCTGTAATCCATGGCTTCTGGTTGGGGTATGTACGTAAGGTCACTGTGGGGATGACGTCATCGATGCACCAGTGAATGATGTGGTGTACTCCTCAATGCCATCGGAAGAATCCCGGAACATATTCCAGTCCGTGCTAGCAAAACAGTCCTGTAGCTTAGCATCTGCGTCATCTGACCACTTCCTTATTAACCAAGTCACTGGTGCTTCCTGCTTTAGTTTTTGCTTATAAGCAGAAATCAGGAGGGCAGAATTATGGTCAGATTTGCCAAATGGAGGGCAAGGGAGAGCTTTGTACGCGTCTCTGTATGTGGAGTAAAGGTGGTCTAGAGATTTTTTCCCTCTGGTTGCACATTTAACATGCTGGTAGAAATTAGGCAGAATGAATGAAAGTTTCCTTGCATTAAAGTCCCCGGCCACTAGGAGCGCTGCCTCTGCATGAGAATTTTCCTGTTTGCTTATGGCCTTATATAGCTCATTGGGTGCAAACTTAGTGACAGCATCGGTTTGTGTTGGTTAATAGACAGCTATGAAAAATATAGAAGAAAAATCTCGTTAATAGTGTGGTCTACAGCGAGCGAAACATTAGTATTAGATTTTATGCACCAGCTGTTGTTTACAAATATACACAGACTGCCACCCCTTGTCTTACCGGAGTCAGCCGTTCTATCCTGCAGATGTAGCGTATATCCCGCCAGCAGTATGTTATCCATGTCGTCGTTCAGCCACGACTCGGTGAAACATAAGATATTACCGTTTTTAATTTCCCGTTGGTAGGATATCCTTGATCTTAGGTCGTCCATTTTGTTTTCAAATTATTGTACGTTGGCTAATAGGATTGATGGAAGAGGCAGATTACTCGCTCGCCGTCAGATCCTTACAAGGCACCCGACCTACGTCCACGATATCTCTGTCTCTTTCTCATGCGAATGACGGGGATTTGGGCCTTGTCGGGTGTCTGTAGAACTCGTTGAAGAAAAAATCTTCATCCAATACGAGGTGAGTAATCAATGTCCTGATATGCAGAAGCTCTTTTTGGTCATAAGAGACGGTGGCAGAAACATTATGTACAGAATAAATTACAAATAATGCAAAAAACACACATAATAGCACAATTGGTTAGAGGGCCGTAAAACGGCAGCCATCTCCTCCGGCGCCGTCTTGAAGGAGTTACCACATATGCTGAGCACTTGTTGGCTGCTTTTCCTTCACTCTGCCGTCCTACTCATCCCAAACCATCTCAATTGGGTTGAGGTCGGGGGATTGTGGAGGCCAGGTCATCTGATGCAGCACTCCATCACTCTCATTCTTGGTAAGATAGCCCTTACACAGCCTGGAGGTATGTTGGGTCATTGTCCTGTTGAAAAACAAATGATAGTCCCACTAAGCCCAAACCAGATGGGATGGTGTATCGCAGCAGAATGCTGTGGTAGCCATGCTGGTTAAGTGTGCCCCCACACCATAACACCTCCTCCTCCATGCTTTACGGTGGGAATTACACATGCAGAGATCATCCGCTCACCCACCCCGCGTCTCACAAAGACACGGCGGTTGGAACCAAAAATCTCCAATTTGGACTCCAGACCAAAGGACACATTTCCACCGGTTGAATGTCCATTGCTCATGTTTCTTGGCCCAAGCAGGTCTCTTCTTCTTATTGGTGTCCTTTAGTAGTGGTTTCTTTGCAGCAATTCGCCCATGAAGGCCTGATTCACACAGTCCCGTCTGAACAGTTGATTTTGAGATGTGTCTGTTTATTTGGGCTGCAATCTCTGAGGCTGGTAACTCTAATGAACTTATGCTCTGCAGCAGAGGTAACTCTGGGTCTTCCATTCCTTTGGCAGTCCTCATGAGAGCCAGTTTCATCATAGCACTTGATGGTTTTTGCGACTGCACTTGAAGAAACTTAAAGTTCTTGAAATTTTCCGGATTGACTGACCATCATGTCTTAAAGTAATGATGGACTGTCATTTCTCTTTGCTTATTTGAGCTGTTCTTGCCATAATATGGACTTGGTCTTTTACCAAATAGGGCTATCTTCTGTATACCACCCCTACCTTGTCACAACACAACTGATTGGCTGAAACGCATTAAGAAGGAAAGAAATTCCACAAATTAACCTGTTAATTGAAGTGCATTCCAGGTGACTACCTCATGAAGCTGGTTGAGAGAATGCCAAGAGTGTGCAAAGCTGTCATCAAGGCAAAGGGTGGCTATTTGAAAAATCTCAAATATTAAATGTATTTTGATTTGTTTAACACTTTTTTGATTACTACATGATTCCATATGTGTTATTTCATAGTGTTGATGTCTTCACTATTATTCTACAATGTAGAAAATAGTAGAAATAAAGGAAAACCCTTGAATGAGTAGCTGTGTCCAAACTTTTGACTGGTACTGTACATATACACACAGACACTTACTCACACTTACACACACACACAAACACACACATAGGTGAATTAACATCCATCCCCTCCCCTCTTGAACACATGTGAGTGTGCTGGAGTGTATGTTGCTGAGCTGGTTCGTGCTGAGCTGATGATGCTTCTAAGACTGGGCCAATGAAGTGATGATCACTGGGTTGTGACGAAAAGCATGATGTAGGGCTGCGAGCTGCACTTAATGCCGCGGCTTGCTATGTCACACACACAAACACATACACACACCAGGACATGGCATCACCAAGGAGACAACCCTCAATAATCGTCCTGCTCACTCTCTGTTTTGCAAAGACTGCCCAATATCCAGGAGGAAGAGAACGAGGAAGACCCTGAGTAAGTCCCTCTCCTACTTCCTGTTATTCTTCAATGCTTCTATCCACAGCAGATTAGATGAATGTTGCCCTTAACCACTTCTCCGGACTCAGACATTAAATCGCCACCCTAATGGTTAAGATTATAGTCAGGGGTTGTCTAATCTGACCCTGTAGTTAGGGGCAGCTTCCATCTCAAGCATTTTAACATCTCATATCCAAACCTTTGACCCCATCCTCTTCCCTCTACAGTTTGACTCATAAACCAGATGTTTGATAGGATACGGAGCTTGCTATTTTTAACACTGCTGCACAGTAGCCTACATACTTTCTGGAGGGCTGAGGGGCTCTGTTTGTCTGCTGTTTGTCTGCTAATGATACGGATGCAGCTGTTCAAATGACAGGGGTGACTGGAGTTGCATCAAGGCACCTCAATAAGCGGATTAAGCACTAAAACTATCAATATTGGTTTTGCCCACTATTTGGGGAGCACTATTGAAAATGGATGTGTAAATCGAGCTCTGTACATGTTTAAAACTACAGTTTATGACTGTCTAACTGTCTGAGACTGTCTGAAGCTCTGTTTGTCCCCTTCTGCACACCGTCCAGGTTGCAGATGCTTCAGGAGGAGAGCGACGAGAGAATGGATAATAAAAGTCCTGAAGAGAATAAGATATCAGAGGAAAATAAGTTCTCTCTTCAGATTAATTTCAATGAAGACAAAAAGGTTGCAGCTGAGGAGAATATAGTTAGTGATGCGAAAAAGATACCTGAGGAGAATAAAGTAACAGAGGAGGTTATAGTAATTGAGAAAATATTTCCAAAAACTGAAGATAATACGACTACACAGGATAATACGATATCTGAGACTAAAATAAGAGAGGTTACAATCATTGAGGAAACTAAGAACATTGAACAGAATACGGCCATAGTGGCGTATAAGATATCCAATGAGAGTAATTTCAACGAAGACACAAAAGTTGCTCCTGAAGAGAATGTAATCACTGACGATGATAAGATATCTGAGGAGACAAAAGTAACAGAGGAAAATGATCATCCTGACAAGGACAAACTAACAGAGGTTACCGTCATTGAGAAAATTAAGATTGTTGAAGAGAACACCATTACACAAGATAATGAGATATCTGAGGAGAAAAATACAAATGAAGACAAAAAGTTGCCGCTGAGGAGAATAGTTTGGTCTCTAAAGAGACTAATATAATAGAGGTTACAGTCATAGAAGAATACGATCAGAATACAACAGCAGTGGAGAATATAGTCAGTGGAGAGGAGATATCTGAGACTAAAGTAACAGAGGAAAATAAAAGTCCTGACAATATTAAAATAACAGAGGTTACAGATGAGGTTATTGAGGTCATTGAGGAAATAATTCAGAGTACTGGAGAAAGTCCAACTATACAGGAAAATAAGATGTCAGAGGAGAAAGAAGTTACAGAGGAAAATAAAAGTCCTGACAAGAATAAGATAACAGAGGTTACAGATGAGGTTATTGAGGTCATTGAGGAAATAATTCAGAGTACTGGAGAAAGTCCAACTATACAGGAAAATAAGATGTCAGAGGAGAAAGAAGTTACAGAGGAAAATAAAAGTCCTGACAAGAATAAGATAACAGAGGTTACAGATGAGGTTATTGAGGTAATTGAGGAAATAATTCAGAGTACTGGAGAAAGTCCAACTATACAGGAAAATAAGATGTCAGAGGAGAAAGAAGTTACAGAGGAAAATAAAAGTCCTGACAATATTAAAATAACAGAGGTTACAGATGAGGTTATTGAGGTCATTGAGGAAATAATTCAGAGTACTGGAGAAAGTCCAACTATACAGGAAAATAAGATGTCAGAGGAGAAAGAAGTTACAGAGGAAAATAAAAGTCCTGACAAGAATAAGATAACAGAGGTTACAGATGAGGTTATTGAGGTCATTGAGGAAATAATTCAGAGTACTGGAGAAAGTCCAACTATACAGGAAAATAAGATGTCAGAGGAGAAAGAAGTTACAGAGGAAAATAAAAGTCCTGACAAGAATAAAATAACAGAGGTTACAGATGAGGTTATTGAGGTCATTGAAAAAGTCCTGAAATATAAAATAACAGAGGTTACAGATGAGGTTATTGAGGTCATTGAGGAAATAATTCAGAGTACTGGAGAAAGTCCAACTATACAGGAAAATAAGATGTCAGAGGAGAAAGAAGTCACAGAGGAAAATAAAAGTCCTGACAAGAATAAGATAACAAAGGTTACTGCCGTTGAGAAAATTAAGATTGAAGAGAGCATCCTAACAACAGATATCAAGATACCTGAGGAAACGCATGTAAATAAGGACAAAAAATCTTCTTATAGGAATATAGTGGTTGGAGAGATGATATCTGTGGAGACAAAAGTAGCAGAGGAAAATAAAAGTTCTGAGGAAAATAAGATTCCAGAGGTTACAGACGAGATTACCGTCATTGAGGAAATTAACATTGTTGAAGACATTACGACCACACAGGATAATAAGATATCTAAAGAGAATAAAATAACAGAAGAGGTGACAGTCATTGTGAAAATTAAGATTAATGAACAGAATACTATGCAGGAAATATCCAATAAGATAACAGTCAATGAAGCCAGAAAAGTTGCAGGGGAGAATATAGTAACTGTAGAGAATAAGATATCTCAGGAGAAAATAAGTCCTGAGAAGAATAAGATAGCAGAAGTTTCAGTCATTATTATAATCACTGAAGAGAATAAAATATTAAAGGAGAAAATGGTCAACCAAGACATAAAAGTTGCTGAGGACAATATTGTCGTTGAGGACTACATTGACGCTTTGGAGCTTACAGAGGACATTAAGATCACTGAGTAAGCAGAATCATTACCAGATAGAGGCTTATTCCCGCTTTGGAATGTGCTTCCTGTGCTGAGAAGTTGTGCTTTGATACCACATAAACTAGGCTACTCATTCCTCATGGCACCCAATGTCACAGATGTACAGCTTTGCGCCTTTTACATAACAAGTTGAAGGTCTGGATATTGGGGTAACTTGTTTTTTCCTCTTAAACTACGAGGATAAAGGGGTTGGTGTAATCTTTTAAACTTGCTTTATGGAGCATGAATGGGACAACTGGTACATGACCTGTAGAAAAATGTAATTTTACCTATCTGGCTTGAAGGACCATGAAAACAAAAAACTCAGCGTCATCTATACTGAACAAAAATATAAATGCAACATGCAACAATTTCAAAGATTTTACTGAGTTACAGTTCATTGAAGGAAATCAGTCAATTGAAATAAATAAATTAGGTAGTAAACTATAGATTTCACTTGACTGGGCAGGGGCGAAGCCATGGGTGGGCCTGGAAGGGCATAGGCCCACCCACTTGGGAGCGAGGGGGGAGACAAGTCCAGCCAATCAGAATGAGTTTTTCCCCACAAAAGGGCTTTATTACAGACAGAAATACTCCTCAGCACCCCCCTACCCCTCCTCAGACGATCCTGCAGGTGAAGAAGCCGGATGTGGAGGTCCTGGGCTGGCGTGGTTACACGTGGCCTGCAGTTGTGAGGCCGGTTGGATGTAATGCCAAATTCTCTAAACGATGTTGGAGGCGGCTTATGGTAGAGAAACTAACTTTCAAATCTCTGGCAAACAGCTATGTTGGACATTCCTGTAGTATGCATGCCAATTGCACGCTCCCTCAAAACTTGAGACATCTGTGGCATTGTGTTGTGTGACAAAACTGCACATTTGAGAGTAGCCTTTTATTGTCCCCAGCACAAGGTGCACCTGTGTAATGATCATGCTGTTTAATCAGCTTCTTGATATGCCATGCCTGTCAGGTGGATGGATTATCTTGGCAAAGGATAAATGATCACTAACAGGGATGTAAACAAATTTGTGCAAAACATTTGAGAGAAATAAGCTTTTTGTGCGAATCAAACATTTCTGGGCTCTTTTATTTCAACTCATGAAACATGGGACCAACACTTTACATGTTGCGTTTATATTTTTGTTCAGTATATATGGACAGTGCTTGGGCACAAACTTGTAAAGCTGAACAAAGTTAAGATTTATGGTAACACATATTGTTAACTGATTATTAATTGGTTACATATTATTGGGCAGCTTCAGTACTTACTGCAATTAACTCTAAACTGCATGGATTCAAAGCCAACATTCTATGCAGCGCTTTCTCCCCAGCTTGAGTGCTGATAGAGTTCCTAAGTGATAGAGTTTGAATGTTTAATTCCTAACCTTCTCATGGTCAAATTGTCCAGGTTGAAGCTGCTTCACGAGAGCGACGAGAGCATGGAGAATAGAAGTCCTGAGAAAAATAAAGTCATAGAGGTTACTGTCATTGAGAAAATTCAGAGCATTGAAGACAATTCTCTAATGGATATTGTAGTCGCTGAAGACATTGAGATATCTGAAGACAACAAAGCTAAATCTGTGGAGCCTAAAGTGGAGAATAAGATCACTGAGTAAGCCAAATCATTAGCAGGTAGAGGCTTAATCCTGCTTTGTTTTTTACACCAAGGCTACTCACGCCTCATGGCATTCCCATGCAGCTAAAATGTTTGCTGTCCCCATATGCGCTCAGCTTTTTGGCTTTCACTGAACCCAAAGGCCAAAGAGTGTTTTATTTATTCTGTGGAGTTTAAGATTACTATGTTGAGTGTTCAGAAGTAATGTCCATCCCCAGTCATGGTACAGTGCCTTGCAAAAGTATTTGTCCCCCTTGGTGTTTTTCCAATTTTGTTGCATTACAACCTGTAATTTTATTTTATTTTTATTTGGATTTCATGTAATGGACATGCACAAAATAGTCCAAATTGGTGAAGTAAAAAAATAAATAAATTGTTTCAAAAAAGTATACAAATTAAATAACGAAAAAGTGGTGCATGCATATGTATTCACCCCCTTTGCTATGAAGCCCCTAAATAAGATCTGGTGCAACCAATTACCCTCAGAAGTCACAAAATTCGTGAAATAAAGTCCACCTGTGTGCAATCTAAGTGTCACTTGATCTCAGTATATATACACCTGTTCTGAAAGGCCCCAGAATCTGCAACACCACTAAGCAAGGGGCACCACCAAGCAAGCGGCACCATGAAGACCAAGGAGCTCTCCAAACAGGTCAGGGACAAAGTTGTGGAGAAGTACAGATCAGGGTTGGGTTATAAAAAAATATCAGAAACTTTGAACATCCCACGGAAAACCATTAAATCTATTATTCAAAAATGGAAAGAATATGGCACCACAACAAACCTGCCAAGGAGGGCATTAATCAGAGAGGCAACAAAGATACCAAAGATAACCCTGAAGGAGCTGCAAAGTTCCACAGCGGAGATTGGAGTATCTGTCTTTAAGCCGTACACTCCACAGAGCTGGGCTTTACGGAAGAGTGGCCAGAAAAAAGCCATTGCTTAAAGAAAGAAATAAGCAAACACGTTTGGTGTTCGCCAAAAGTCATGTGGGAGACTCCCCAAACATATGGAAGAAGGTACTCTGGTCAGATGAGACTAAAATTGAGCTTTTTGGCCATCAAGGAAAACGCTGTGTCTGGCGCAAACCCAACACCTCTCATCACCCAGAGAACACCATCCCCACAGTGAAGCATGGTGGTGGCAGCATCATGCTGTGGGGATGTTTTTCATCGGCAGGGACTGGGAAACTGGTCAGAATTGAAGGAATGATGGATGGCGCTAAATACCGGGAAATTCTTGAGGGAAACCTGTTTCAGTCTTCCAGAGATTTGAGACTGGGACGGAGGTTCACCTTCCAGCAGGACAGTGACCCTAAGTATACTGCTAAAGCAACAGCCGAGTGAAACATTTAAATGTCTTGGAATGGCCGAGTCAAAGCCCAGACCTCAATCCAATTGAGAATCTGTTGTATGACCTAAAGATTGCTGTACACCAGCGGAACCAATCCAACTTGAAGGAGCTGGAGCAGTTTTGCCTTGAAGAATGGGCAAAAATCCCAGTGGCTAGATGTGCCAAGCTTATATAGACATACCCCAAGAGACTTGCAGCTGTAATTTCTGCAAAAGGTGGCTCTACAAAGTATTGACTTTGGGGGGGGGGGTGAATAGTTATGCACACTCAGGTTCTGTTTTTTTGTCTTATTTCTTGTTTGTTTCACAATAAAAATACACACAATACCCCATAATGACTAAGTGAAAACATGTTTTTAGAATTTTTGCACATTAAATTGCTAATTAAGTACAGAAATATCTAATTTACTTAAGTATTCACACCCCTGAGTCAATACATGTTAGAATCACCTTTGGTAGTTATTACAGCTGTGAGTCTTTCTGGGTAAGTCTCTCTAGCTTTGCACACCTGGATTGTACAATATTTGCACATTCTTATTTTTGTAATTCTTCAAGGTCTCTCAAGTTGGTTGTTGATCATTGCTAGACAGCCATTTTCAAGTCTTGCAATAGATTTAAGCCGATTTTAAGTCAAAACCATAGCTAGGCCACTCAGGAACATTCAATGTCATCTTGGTAAGCAACTCCAATGTATATTTGGGCTTGTGTTTTAGGTTATTGTGCTGCTGAAATGTGAATTTATCTCCCAGTGTCTGTTGGAAAGCAGACTGAACATAGTTTCCCTCTAGGATTGTGCCTGTGCTTAGCTCTATTCTGTTTCTCCCTAGTCCTTGCCGATGACAACCATACCCATAACATGATGCAGCCACCACCATGCTTGAAAATATGAAGAGTGGTACTCAGTGATGTGTTTTATTCTGTACAGGCTTCCTTCATTTTACTCTGCCATTTAGGTTAGTATTGTGGAGTAACTACAATGTTGTTGTTCCATCCTCAGTTCTCTCCTATCATAGCCATTCAAGTCTGTAACTGTTTAAAAGTCACCATTGGCCTCATGGTGAAATCCCTGAGCGGTATACTTCCTCCCGGTAACTAAGTTAGGAAGGACGCCTGTATCTTTGTAGTAACTGGGTGTATTGATACACCATCCAAAGTGTAATTAATGACTTCACCATGTTCAAAGGGACATTCAATGTCTGCTATTAATTTTTTTTAATATTCAATGACTGAAACGAAAATACAAGTAGCTAGCAACATCAGACTAACCAGCTAACAATGACAAGCAAAAATTTAGCTAACAATGTTAGACAGCTATTATATAAAAAACTAGACACATAATGTAATAATGACGAAAATATTCTTTAACTATTGACAACTTCGTCAGTAAAACAGGGGGAAAACATATACAGTGGGGGAAAAAAGTATTTAGTCAGCCACCAATTGTGCAAGTTCTCCCACTTAAAAAGATGAGAGAGGCCTGTAATTTTCATCATAGGTACACGTCAACTATGACAGACAAAATGAGAAAAATAAATCCAAAAAATCACATTGTAGGATTTTTTTATGAATTTATTTGCAAATTATGGTGGAAAATAAGTATTTGGTCAATAACAAAGGTTTCTCAATACTTTGTTATATACCCTTTGTTGGCAATGACACAGGTCAAACGTTTTCTGTAAGTCTTCACAAGGTTTTCACACACTGTTGCTGGTATTTTGGCCCATTCCTCCATGCAGATCTCCTCTAGAGCAGTGATGTTTTGGGGCTGTCGCTGGGCAACACAGACTTTCAAATCCCTCCAAAGATTTTCTATGGGGTTGAGATCTGGAGACTGGCTAGGCCACTCCAGGACCTTGAAATGCTTCTTACGAAGCCACTCCTTCGTTGCCCGGGCGGTGTGTTTGGGATCATTGTCATGCTGAAAGACCCAGCCACGTTTCATCTTCAATGCCCTTGCTGATGGAAGGAGGTTTTCACTCAAAATCTCACAATACATGGCCCCATTCATTCTTTCCTTTACACAGATCAGTCGTCCTGGTCCCTTTGCAGAAAAACAGCCCCAAAGCATGTTGTTTCCACCCCCATGCTTCACAGTAGGTATGGTGTCCTTTGGATGCAGCTCAGCATTCTTTGTCCTCCAAACACGACGAGTTGAGTTTTTACCAAAGAGTTCTATTTTGGTTTCATCTGACCATATGACATTCTCCCAATCCTCTTCTGGAACATCCAAATGCACTCTAGCAAACTTCAGACGGGCCTGGACATGTACTGGCTTAAGCAGGGGGACACATCTGGCAATGCAGGATTTGAGTCCCTGGTGGCGTAGTGTGTTACTGATGGTAGGCTTTGTTACTTTGGTCCCAGCTCTCTGCAGGTCATTCACTAGGTCCCCCCGTGTGGTTCTGGGATTTTTGCTCACCGTTCTTGTGATCATTTTGACCCCACGGGGTGAGATCTTGCGTGGAGCCCCAGATCGAGGGAGATTATCAGTGGTCTTGTATGTCTTCCATTTCCTAATAATTGCTCCAATTGCTCTTCAAACCAAGCTGCTTACCTATTGCAGATTCAGTCTTCCCAGCCTGGTGCAGGTCTACAATTTTGTTTCTGGTGTCCTTTGACAGCTCTTTGGTCTTGGCCATAGTGAAGTTTGGAGTGTGACTGTTTGAGGTTGTGGACAGGTGTCTTTTATACTGATAACAAGTTCAAACAGGTGCCATTAATACAGGTAATGAGTGGAGGACAGAGGAGCCTCTTAAAGAAGAAGTTACAGGTCTGTGAGAGGCAGAAATCTTGCTTGTTTGTAGGTGACCAAATACTTATTTTCCACTATAATTTGCTAATAAATTCATAAAAAATCCTACAATGTGATTTTCTGGAGAAAAAAATTCTCAATTTGTCTGTCATAGTTGACGTGTACCTATGATGAAAATTACAGGCCTCTCTCATCTTTTTAAGTGGGAGAACTTGCACAATTGGTGGCTGACTAAATACTTTTTTTCCCCACTGTACCTTACTTACAGTTTTGGTATTCACGCAGAGTGATGAATAAATTGGTCAGAAAGGAAATAATGTCCAAAACTGAGATTTGTGTTCGCAGCAGTAGGTGGTCGAGCTGCACTTGGTAATGTACTAAAACACTCTGCCAGCTTGTGATAGCTGTCACGTCATCAGTGAGTTCTTAAAGGGACAGGCTTTCTTACAATAATAAAAAAATCCCCATCAAAATCCGTCAGTTTAATCTACAGATATCTGCCTATGTTGCCCTTCCGCATCTGCAGTGGAAAGTGGCAGAGCTGCAGCATTGTTTGTCAGACCAGGAGACATCCCGAAAATAGGTATTCTCATGAAAACAAACGTCTGTAGCGTCCGAAGGGTTTGGCCTACTAACATTCTATGGAAAGATCAGACTCTCACGAACACGATGGTGTTCTCCGTTTTGCTCTACAGCCCCCATAAGCCCCATGGGACACATCTGAAGTCGGTAACGCTGACATGGCAACTTCTGTCTGTAGAGTCGAACCGTTTGGGCAACAAACTAATATGACCCACTGTGGAAAGGGGAAACTCTCACGAACACGATGCTCCGTTTTGCTCTACGACCCCCGCAAGTGTCTCGGGACTCGTCTGAAGGTAACCCATACAAATGAATGGAAGTATGGAGGTAGTTTTGTGCCAACCAAAAATAAGCTGTTAAATATGTATCCAAAAAAACTAAAATATTTCCTGACCTTTCTTATATCTCCTAGATACAGGACAGACACTTCAAACCTTATCCCTTATGATACAACATTTTAACTGTCTTTTTTGCCATGTATGAATGTGTTATTCAATGTGTTTCTATGGGCTATAGTATTAAAGGCCAAATTCAATATTTTATCAAACAATTTGTAAAAAAATATGTATATACAGTACCAGTCAAAAGTTTGGACACCTACTCATTCCAGGGTTTTTCTTTATTTTTACTGTTTTCTACATTGTAGAATAATAGTGAAGATATCAAAACTACTAAATAACACATATGAAATCATGTAGCAACCAAAAACGTGTTAAAAATATCAACATGTATTTTGTATTTGAAATTCTTCAAAGTAGCCACCCTTTGCCTTGGTGACAGCTTTGCACACTCTTGGCATTCTCTCAACCAGCTTCATGAGGTAGTCACCTGGAATACTTTTCCAACAGTCTTGAAGGAGTTCCCACATATGCTGAGCACTTGTTGGCTGCTTTTCCTTCACTCTGCGGTCCAACTCATCCCAAACCATCTCAATTGGGTTGAGGTCGGGGGATTGTGAAAGTCATCTGATGCAGCACTCCATCACTCTCCTGTTTGGTCAAATAGCCCTTACACAGCCTGGAGGTGTATTTTGGGTCATTGTCCTGTTGAAAACCTTTGGGGTTACTACATGATTCCATATGTGTTATTTCATAGTTGTGATGTTGTCACTATTATTCTACAATGTAAAAAATACTAAAAATAAAGAAAAACCCTTGAATGAGTAGGTGTGTCCAAACTTTTGACTGGTACTATATATATATATATATATATATATATATATATATATATATATATATATAGTAGGGAGAACAAGTATTTGATACACTGTATATACTGTATATATATATATATATATATATATATATATATATATATATACCTAAAGGGGTCCTAAGATTCCAAATCTATTCCATGTTAGCTTAGTATAAATGTTTTACTCCTGAACTTATTTACGCTTGCCATAACAAAGAGGTTAAATACTTATTGTCGCAAGACATTTCAGCTTTTCATTTTTTATTAATTTGTAAAAATATCTAAAAACATAATTCCACTTTGACATTATGGGGTATTGTGTTCAGGCCAGTGACACAAAATCTCATTTTAGTTTCAGGCTGTAACACAACAAAATGTGGAAAAAGTCAAGGGGTGTGAATACTTTCTGAAGGCACTGTACAACATTGTTTACACTGTTACAGCTATCACTTGGAGGTTGAGCAATGAATTAACTAAGCAGCTTTAGTGCTATCTGCTGATCAGTCTTTGGAGACTATAGCATGCTAAAGCAACAGTCCATAGGCCTAACAACAGTGCTTTGTGCCGAGCTTGAGAGCTGATAGAAATGGTGAGACAAGATCTTATTCAGTTTGACATGTCTCTTGTATTGCCTTGTGCCGCCAATTCCTCATTGAATCAGAGCGGACCTGAAAAGGTAGGTTCTAAAACCAAATTTAGACCATTAAGAATGACTTAGTCTCGCAAGCCAGATACTGTACTCTCATTGGAGGGCCGGCGGCGAGGCTAAGGATGACTAGTCTGGGATATGTTTACCTTTGTCTTTTTTTTTTTTATGTCTACATAAATCAATTGCTTCATTCATATAAACATAGTTGAGATCTAACCCAATGTCAAACAGACAGAAGCCAATTCAAAGACAAAACCTAAGTATATCCCTCTCCCCAGTATCCATCCTCACACTCCCGAATGACAAATATTATCAGGGCAGTCATATAAATTAGTTCACATCAAGCTCAGACATTTTTCCTCCAAATCAACCAATCCGGTTATCAGAAAGGGTGAGACCACGCACTGTATTTTACATTGTATTTGCCACAATTAAGAGGCAAACAGTCACGGAAGAAGGAGACCACATAGGCTTTAGAGAACAATCTTCAGAGAGATTTTCCAATGGGTTCTGAGTGAGTTGTCTAATATGGAACAATCTGTCTAAATTGTTGGTGAGTTATGGCTGTATCTGTTTCAGTGACGGATATCAATTATTTTCTTACCAGTGGATAATTAATTATCTGCAATTGTGAGGCATTTTCTTACTCTGTAAGCCCACATATGCCTATGTTACACTGAGCCTTCTAGCAAGCAGCTCTAACGCCCTGGACCAGAGCTAGGTGGATTTGTGTTTGTCATCATTATTTTCTCTGTTTCACTTCCAGCACTAAGACTGTGTTGATAGGTTCTCTCAGTGTTTAACGCTACTCCTATTGGCTATCTCACACAGTAAAGCTGCACTGATTGGACCACACTCCCTCTCCAGGTGCCTGGTGGATGTGTGTCCAGCCGAGGGGTTGCCCGAGGTTGAGGCAGAGGCGGAGCCAGTTGAACCAAGCCCCCCAGTGTCTCCCCCCAGAGAGGCCTCCCCTGAACCAGAACCAGAACCAGAGCCAGAGCCGCCAAATAAACAGTCTCCCCCAGTGACAGAGGCCCCGGCAGTGACCGAACAGCCAGAACCAGCCGACCAGAAAGCTCCGCCTGCTGCCGCCCCTCAGGTAGGGAACATTTTAACAGCCAACAGGATCCTTGTTATTACACTGTAGTTACATGGGTGTTATTGTTTTTTTTTATGTTCACTGCTCTCATTACAGGAAGAGGACGGTGCCGACAAAGGAGGGTGTGAAGGTGAGTCTTCCTGCTCCATGTAATATGAGGATATTCATCAATGCTTAACAGTAGCGTATATACACTATATTGCCAAAAGTATGTGGACATCGTCGAAAACATCTCATTCCAAAATCATGGGCATTAATATGGAGTTGGTCCCCCCTTTGCTGCTATAACAGCCTCCACTCTTCTGGGAAGGCTTTCCACTAGATGTTGGAACATTGCTGCATGGACTTGCTTCCATTCAGCCACAAGAGCATTAGTGAGGTCGGGCACTGATGTTGGGTGATTAGGCCTGGCTTGCAGTCTGCGTTCTAATTCATCCCGAAGGTGTTGGATGGGGTTGAGGTCAGGGCTCTGTGCAGGGCAGTCAAGTTCTTCCACACCGATCTCGACAAATCCTTTCTGTATGGACCTCGCTTTGTGCACAGGGGCATTGTCATGCTGAAACAAGAAAGAGCCTTCCCCAAACTGTTTCCACAAAGTTGGAAGCACAGAATTGTCTAGAATGTCATTATATGCTGTAGCATTTCCCTTCACTGGAACTAAGTGGCCTAGCCCGAACCATGAAAAAACACCCAAAACCATCATTCCTCCTCCACCAAACTTTACAGTTGGCACTATGCATTGGGGTAGGTAGCGTTCTCCTGGCATCCGCTAAACCCAGATTAGTACGTCGGACTGCCAGATGGTGAAGTCTGACTCATCACTCCAGAGAACGCGTTTCCACTGCTACAGAGTCCATTGGCGGCGAGCTTTACACCACTCCAGCCAACACTTGGCATTGCGCATGGTGATCTTAGACTTGTGTGCGGCTGCTCGGCCATGGAAACCCATTTCATGAAGCTCCCGATGAACAGTTCTTGTGCTGACGTTGCTTCCAGAGGCAGTTTGGAACTCGGTAGTGAGTGTTGCAACCGAGGACAGACTATTTTTACGCGTTACGCGCTTCAGCACTCAACGGTCCCGTTCTGTGAGCTTATGTTCACCTCCACTTCGACGGCTGAGCCGTTGTTGCTCCTAGACGTTTCCACTTCACAATAACAGCACTTACAGTTGACCGGGGCAGCTCTAGCAGGGCAGAAATTTGACGAATTGACTTGTTGGAAAGATGGCATCCTACTGTATGACGGTGCCACGTTGAATGTCACTGAGCTATTCAGTAAGGCCATTCGACTGCCAATGTTTGTCTATGGAGATTGCATGTATGTGTGCTCAATTTTATACACCTGTCAGCAATGGGTGTGGCTGATATATCCGAATCGACTAATTTGAAGGGGTGTCCACATACTTTTGTATATATAGTGTATATGACAGCACAATTATCAGACATTAAAACTACTACTACTAACTACTACTCTAACATTTTCGATCTTATCATGACTTCCTGTTTTGCGTGATTGTATTGATCTGATTGGCTGTCTGACCGTGTCTCCGCCCAGTGCCCTCCAGTTGCGCTCCAATCAGGAGCCTGCTCATGCATATCCCCCACGCCTGCCAGTGCCTCGACAGTCTCACCCAGTTGCTACGCGACAACAACCTGACCCCTCCTAAACTGTCCATGCTCGCCCTGCCAGAAGAGCTAACCCAGCTAAAACATGACATGTCCGAGCTACCCAAGCAGGCACGACAGTATTGCCAAATTATCTTCAACCGCCTCAACAGACTTAACCCAAACGCAGTGTCCCAACACCAACCCCAGGAAGATGCCTCCAAGGAGTAGCACTCCCTTCCCCTGTCCCAACGCCTGCCCTTCCCTGCAGACCTGGAGTTAGATTCATAAAATTAGTGTCAAATTAGATCAACCTTCTCCTCAGAGCGCCAAGTCAAGTTTCACTTATCCTGAGACCTCCCGACCCCATCCTGACCCCATCCTCGCCCCTGACCCCTTGACCCCCGACCTCCACATCTCTGCCATCATGCTCACTACCGTCCCCCCTGCTTCATCGCGAAGAGCAGCAGTCATCCACCCACTGCTCAGGTGAACTGAACCCTCTAAAGGGTGAAATGTCCTGTGCCGTGCTGTTCTGTGTTGTGCCAAGCTGTGTTGTGTTGTGCTGTGTTGTGTCGTTCTGTTCTTTCACATGACAGTAGCCTCTTTACTGTTGTACCCAAGTTATCCCTGGGCTAAGCAAACCCCTTGGGTTCTAGTGTTTTCGTCTTCCTACAAAAGTTCTAGAACGCACTCAAGTGTTGTTTCTAGAATTTTAATCTGATAGTTCTGGGTTGTTGGTGTGTATCAACAGAACGCTCTTGAGTGAGTTTTCTAGAGTTCTAGAATAATCTGTCAGGGATTCCTCAGAGAGGTCTGGAACATTGATGTCTATCAGAGTTCTAGAATCCTACTTTGTGTTCTTCAGAGAGCTTTGGTAAGGACAGAGGAGGGAATGTGCTGCCAGCAGTTCAAGTGGAGGATGTGGACAGAGACGTGGGGATGGGAGGGGGTCGCAACATCCCCCAGATCATCACCTCCCAGGACCCCCTGTCCATCTCTCTGACCGTGCCTCTCGTCCCCATGACCAAGCACAGGTAAACTGACTATACACTCTGCTGCTTCAAAAGTCTATCTGATGATTATAGTAGCTGTACAGACTTGCTCTATAGTGATTTGAATGACAGACATTTACTAGTTATATTGCCCTAATATTACTCTCTATTTTTCTCTCTTTTTCTCACACATTCAGCAAAGCTGTGGCTGCAGAGTAAGTTATGGCAGATTTGTCTGTGCAGTTTATCCTACCCTTGTCTCATTGTCTCCTATTGTCTCCCCTCAGTGGCTCGCTCCTCCCGGTAGAAGAGAGAAGTGCTGAAGAGGATGATGTTGGTGGTGTTGATGACTTGGAGATGCAGACCGGCCTCCTGACTGTGGAAGATGAGTGAGTGATGCCACACAGGCAAATGCACAACATGCATGCAAAACCAGTGGAGGCTGCTGAGCGGAGGACAACTCTTAATAATGTCTGGAACGGAGTCAATGGAATGGCATCAAACATATGGAAACCATGTGTTTGATGTATTTGATACCATTCCACGTATTCCGTTCCAGTCATTACCATGAGCCTGTCCTCCCCAATTAAGGTGCCACCAACCTCCTGTGATGCAAACACGCATGCACACTCGCACACATGCACACACACACACTCACTCACTCACTGATGATGTAATATCCTGCAGGGATCGTCCAACATCAGTGGCCAGCTATGGCAGTGTGATTGTCCAAGAAAGAGTGACTACTCTGGTCAAGCTGTTTAAAGCGAGGACGGTCCGCAAGAAGGAAAAACTGATGGACCCTGACGACTCTGAGGAAGACAGCCCTCAAGCCTGTAGGTCACAACTAAACATGACCTTTAACCTGTGACCCTGACCCTTGACCTTACAACAAGCAAAATACGCAATTGCCATACGATTTTCTAAAATATATAAATGCAACCCTGACCCACATCCATTTTCACATAACCTATAACTTTTGACCTCTCACTCCCAGCCCCAGCCAAGGCACCCCCTCCCCCTCCTCCCCCGCCCCCAGAAGAGGACAAGAAGGACATCCCAGCCCTGGTGGAGGAGGAAGAGGCGGAGGAGTACTGGGACTTCTATGGATACCCAATCAAAAACCTCAAACTTCCCAAAATGCCCCCACTTCCTAGTTGGCTTCAAACCATAGTGGACTATCGTTTCCCTTCCAGCATCGACCCCTATACCGGTGAGTTAGATACCAAAACATATTATACTTAAGCACTAAGGCCCGAGGACGTGTGGTACTGTACAGTGAGGGAAAAAAGTATTTGATCCCCTGCTGATTTTGTACGTTTGCCCACTGACAAAGAAATGATCAGTCTATAATTTTAATGGTAGGTTTATTTGAACAGTGAGAGACAGAATAACAACAAAAAAATCCAGAAAAACGCATGTCAAAAATGTTATAAATTGATTTGCATTTTAATGAGGGAAATAAGTATTTGACCCCCTCTCAATCAGAAAGATTTCTGGCTCCCAGGTGTCTTTTATACAGGTAACGAGCTGAGATTAGGAGCACACTCTTAAAAAGAGTGCTCCTAATCTCAGTTTGTTACCTGTATAAAAGACACCTGTCCACAGAAGCAATCAATCAATCAGATTCCAAACTCTCCACCATGGCCAAGACAAAAGAGCTCTCCAAGGATGTCAGGGACAAGATTGTAGACCTACACAAGGCTGGAATGGGCTACAAGACCATTGCCAAGCAGCTTGGTGAGAAGGTGACAACAGTTGGTGCGATTATTTGCAAATGGAAGAAACACAAAAGAACTGTCAATCTCCCTCGGCCTGGGGCTCCATGCAAGATCTCACCTCGTGGAGTTGCAATGATCATGAGAACGGTGAGGAATCAGCCCAGAACTACAAGAGAGGATCTTGTCAATGATCTCAAGGCAGCTGGGACCATAGTCACAAAGAAAACAATTGGTAATACACTACGCCGTGAAGGACTGAAATCCTGCAGCGCCCGCAAGGTCCCCCTGCTCAAGAAAACATAAATACGTGCCCGTCTGAAGTTTGCCAATGAACATCTGAATGATTCAGAGGAAAACTGGGTGAAAGTGTTGTGGTCAGATGAGACCAAAATGGAGCTCTTTGGCATCAACTCAACTCACCGTGTTTGGAGGAGGAGGAATGCTGCCTATGACCCCAAGAAAACCATCCCCACCGTCAAACATGGAGGTGGAAACATTATGCTTTGGGGGTGTTTTTCTGCTAAGGGGACAGGACAACTTCACCGCATCAAAGGGACGATGGACAGGGCCATGTACCGTCAAATCTTGGGTGAGAACCTCCTTCCCTCAGCCAGGGCATTGAAAATGGGTCATGGATGGGTATTCCAGCATGACAATGACCCAAAACACACGGCCAAGGCAACAAAGGAGTGGCTCAAGAAGAAGCACATTAAGGTCCTGAAGTGGCCTAGCCAGTCTCCAGACCTTAATCCCATAGAAAATCTGTGGAGGGAGCTGAAGGTTTGAGTTGCCAAACGTCAGCCTTGAAACCTTAATGACTTGGAGAAGATCTGCAAAGAGGAGTGGGACAAAATCCCTCCTGAGATATGTGCAAACCTGGTAGCCAACTACAAGAAACGTCTGACCTCTGTGATTGCTAACAAGGGTTTTACCACCAAGTACTAAGTCATATTTTGCAGAGGGGTCAAATACTTATTTCCCTCATTAAAATGCAAATCAATTAATAACATTTTTGACATGCGTTTTTCTGGATTTTTTTGTTGTTATTCTGTCTCTCACTGTTCAAATAAACCTACCATTAAAATAATAGACTGATCATGTCTTTGTCAGTGGGCAAACGTACAAAATCAGCAGGGGATCAAATACTTTTTTCCATCACTGCATATGGCCAATATTCCATGGCTAAGGGCTGTTCTTATGCACGATGCAACGCGGCTTCCTGGACTCACCCTTTAGCTGTGGTATATTGGCCATATTCCACAAACCCCTGAGGTGCCTTATTGCTATTATAAACTAGTTATCAACATAATTATGCAGAAGACAAGTAATTTTGGGTCATACCCGTGGTATATTTAAGCGATAAGGCCCTAGGGGGTGTGGTATATGGCCAATGTACCACGCTTATGGGCTGTTCTTAGGCACGACGCAACGCGGATTGCCTGCATACAGCCCTTAGCCGTGGTATATTGGCCATATACCACAAACCCCAAAGTGCCTTTTTGCTATTATAAACGTAATTAGAACAGTAAACAAGTAATTTTGTGTCATACCCGTGGTATCCGGTCTGATGTACCACGGCTTTCAGCGAATCAGTATCCAGGACACAAACTATATAATAGTGGATAATATCCCTCACCAATTTTACTACCATATACCCCTGTACTATTATACATTCCTATACAACACAATATAATACTTTACTGACATGACCAACAGGCGGACGAGTGCGCCTCTTACAGGCCCATCTCACTTCTGAATCTTGACAGTAAAATATGAACTATCTTTACCAACGTGACCTTGGGCCCTGATACTAATGTAATGAAATCATAATATACCTTTCAGCCCCCACTGAGTTGTTATATTCACGTTGTAGTTGACTCTGCTCTGTTTGTGCCTCTTGTCTCCCTATAGACCTGGTCTACGTGGTGTGGCTGTTTTTTGTGATGATGGCGTGGAACTGGAACGTGTGGCTGATCCCGGTGCGCTGGGCCTTCCCCTACCAGACTGCAGACAACATCTACTGGTGGCTGTTAATGGACTACACCTGTGACCTTATTTACATCACTGACATCATGGTCTTTCAGCCCCGCCTGGAGTTTGTACGCGGAGGAGATATTGTGGTAAGGGGATCTGGATAATCACATATACTGTAGGCAGTCACATACGTACATGCGTATAAAGAGAGGCACAAATAAACAAACAGGCCCTCTATGGCAAGTAGTACTAGAAAATGTATGCCAACAAAGACAATCATACACACAGAGTCAGACACTTCTAAAACACACATACATGTACATATTTAAGGAACAAACGTATGTTTTAATTTCTTATCTTTTCTTGCAGTGTGACAAAAAGGACATGAGAGACAACTACATGACAACAGAAAGATTCAAGGTGAGACTGAAGCTACACTGTTTCTCCTTGCTGACTAGGCTAGTAGATAAGTAACTCTATATTTCTATGATGGATGTGAGGAGTGTTGGTTTGTAAAGGAATTATTTGTCTTTCAGATGGATTGTATCAGTATGTTCCCCATGGAGATATTTTACTACTTTACTGGAGTTAACTCCCTCCTCAGATTCCCCCGCCTACTGAAGGTACACACACCACTCACATAGGCACACACACACACACACACACACACACACACACACACACACACACACACACACACACACACACATACATGTACATTCTTTGTAGTGCTTAGATCTTAGTGATTAGTGATTGATTATTGATGCCTCTCTGTTGTCTCTCTCTCTCTGTTTCAGTACATGGCTTTCTTTGAGTTCAACGACCGTTTGGAAGCAGTAATGAAGAAAGCCTACATCTACAGGTACCAAAGAGGGACACATAGAAAACACTCTGACCACCAACCACACATACATACTCTACGCAGGACATTCGCTCAGCACAAAACACTCAGCAGAGAAAATGCTACACGAACACACTCAAAACACAATACACATGTTTAGCCAGCAGAGGGTGCTGTAGCCCTTACTGAGCTCTAGTAACTTTTTCTCATTCCCCCTCCTCTCTCTCGCTCCCTCCCTCCCTCTCAGAGTGATCCTGACCACTTCATACCTGTTGTATTCTCTCCACATCAACGCCTGTCTGTTCTATTGGGGTTCTGACTATGAGGGGCTGGGGTCCACTAAGTGGGTCTACGATGGCAGAGGGAACAGGTGAGGAGAATACCACAAAACAGTCACAAAACAGTCAAAAACCTCATACCAACCACATTACCACAAAACATCCAGCTTTTTCCAAGTCCTCTTCTGCTGTCACCTTTAAAAATGTGTAATTATCCCAGACGTATGTGTATTTGTCTGACATCTGTGTGTATACCTCTGTCTGTCTGTGTGCCCAGTTATATCCGGTGTTACTACTTTGCTGTAAAGACCCTGATCACCATCGGTGGTCTACCGGACCCCACCACCGTGTTTGAGATCACATTCCAGCTAGTCAACTACTTTGTTGGTGTCTTTGCTTTCTCCATCATGATTGGTCAGGTAGGTGTAGCAAAAACAATTCATGTTCATTAAGGCATGCCATAGCAAAACATTTTCCAACAGAAAATGAAAACAAGCGTTTCTTGATGGCTCAGATAGTATGCTCTTGTTTCTGAGTGTTATCTTCCGTTCCATGCCTACTGAACATAAGGCTTGTTGTTCTGCTGTTGTTCCAGATGAGAGATGTAGTGGGGGCTGCCACAGCGGGACAGAACTACTACCGGGCCTGCATGGATAACACCATCAAGTACATGACCTCCTACCACATCCCCAAAGAGGTCCAGAACCGAGTCAAGACCTGGTACGACTACACCTGGCAGATACAGGGCATGCTGGGTGAGGAACGTTGGCTGAACGTTGTGAGAGTGCTGCATCTGGAAACGTTTCTGTTATGGCCCTATCTGCTCGCTCACAATCCCCTCATCTCTCTCATTCTCTCTGTCCATCTGTCTCCCTCCTTACCTTTATCCCTCCCTCTGTCTCTCTCTCTCTACAGATGAGCAGGAGCTGTTAATCCAGCTGCCAGATAAGATGAGGATGGACATGGCTGTGGATGTTAACTACTCCATTGTCAGTAAAGTGGCCCTGTTCCAGGTAAGGGGAGGGAAAGAGTCTCAGACATCGCAGCCCTCGTCTTTGTCAAATCTTCAATAATACATACTATACTCTCTCTCTCGTTCTCTTTATTTCTCCAATTGTACTAAACTCCCTCTTTCATGTCTCTCCATTCCCTGCCTCTATAACTGCCCCCCCCCCCCCCCCCCCCTCCCCCTCCCCCCTCTCTCTCTCTCTGTTCCAGGGCTGTGACAGACAGATGATCTTTGACATGTTGATGAGGCTCAAGTCTGTGGTCTACCTGCCTGGGGACTTTGTCTGTAAAAAGGTAGGCCAATATAATAATAATAATAATAATAATAATAATATGCCATTAGCAGACGCTTTTATCCAAAGCGACTTACAGTCATGCGTGCATACATTTTTGTGTATGGGTGGTCCCGGGGATCGAACCCACTACCTTGGCGTTACAAGCGCCGTGCTCTACCAGCTGAGCTACAGAGGACCACTGTGATGGGAGTGATGCCCTCACACTCCCATCACAGCTTTACCCCAAGCTTAGCCTAAATCACTTGCACATGGTCCATTCTCTCTTTGTAAACCATACCTCTAATTGTACCTGTGTGTGTTTGCTATGATCTGCTATAATGTGCTGTGTGTCCCGTGTGGGCAGGGTGAGATCGGCAGGGAGATGTATATCATCAAGCAGGGGGAGGTTCAGGTGGTGGGAGGACCTGATTTGAAGACAGTGTTTGTGACAATCAGGGCCGGCTCTGTGTTTGGAGAAATCAGGTGAGAGCCCCCCTTAATCCCTGGTCCAAATGTTTTCCTCATATACAGTGTCATGTATTGGAATATCTAAGGGCTGTACATTGTACACAATCCCAATTAACCTGTTTCAGCACTCATGCATGCAACAATGCACATGCTATGTCTCTAGCTTGCCTCTAGCATGTCTCTAAACATGAAGCATGTGTTTGGTGTTTGTTTGGCGTGTAACCCATCTATGTCCTCCGATTGGACAGCTTGCTGGCAGGGGGTGGGGGGAACAGACGCACGGCCAACGTGATGGCTCACGGATTCGCTAACCTCTTCATCCTGGATAAGAGGGACCTCTCAGACATCCTGGTGCATTACCCCGAGTCCCAGAAACTCCTCCGCAAGAAGGCCAAGTGAGGGGGTGACCTCTCAAATCCAACTTTCCTACCCTTTCCACTCCCCTATCCCTCTCTTCTTACCCAGGACACAGCCAAAAGGCCAGAGGGGGAAGGTCAAATGGAAGGGCTGGGACGTGGGATATGAGTCTTGGAGAGGGAAGGGTGGAGGGGATGGATAACCTACACACAGCCAACACACATCCCACTACATAATAATAATAATAATAATATGCCATTTAGCAGACGCTTTTATCCAAAGCGACTTACAGTCATGCGTGCATACATTTTTTTTTGTGTACGTGTGGTCCCGGGGATCGAACCCACTACCTTGGCGTTACAAGCGCCGTGCTCTACCAGCTGAGCTACAGAGGACCACATATTGTATGTACAATACATATTGTACATACAGTGAGGGAAAAAAGTATTTGATGACCTGCTGATTTTGTACGTTTGCCCACTGACAAAGACATGACCAGTCTATAATTTTAATGGTAGGTTTATTTGAACAGTGAGAGACAGAATAACAACAAAAAAATCAAGTAAAAACGCATGTCAAAAATGTTATAAATTGATTTGCATTTAATTGAGGGAAATAAGTATTTGACCCCTCTGCAAAACATGACTCAGTACTTGGTGACAAAACCCTTGTTGGCAATCACAGAGGTCAGACGTTTCATGTAGATGGTCACCAGGTTTGCACACATCTCAGGAGGGATTTTGTCCCACTCCTCTTTGCAGATCTTCTCCAAGTCATTAAGGTTTCGAGGCTGACGTTTGCCAACTCGAACCTTCAGCTCCCTCCACAGATTTTCTATGGGATTAAGGTCTGGAGACTGGCTAGGCCACTCCAGGACCTTAATGTGCTTCTTCTTGAGCCACTCCTTTGTTGCCTTGGCCGTGTGTTTTGGGTCATTGTCATGCTGGAATACCCATCCATGACCCATTTTCAATGCCCTGGCTGAGGGAAGGAGGTTCTCACCCAAGATTTGACGGTACATGGCCCCATCCATCGTCCCTTTGATGCGGTGAAGTTGTCCTGTCCCCTTAGCAGAAAAACACCCCCAAAGCATAATGTTTCCACCTTCATGTTTGACGGTGGGGATGGTGTTCTTGGGGTCATAGGCAGCATTCCTTCCTCCTCCAAACACGGCGAGTTGAGTTAATGCCAAAGAGCTCGATTTTGGTCTCATGTGACCACAACACTTTCACCCAGTTCTCCTCTGAATCATTCAGATGTTCATTGGCAAACATCAGACGGGCATGTATATGTGCTTTCTTGAGCAGGGGGACCTTGTGGGCGCTGCAGGATTTCAGTCCTTCACGGCGTAGTGTGTTACCAATTGTTTTCTTGGTGACTATGGTCCCAGCTGCCTTGAGATCGACAAGATCCTCCCGTGTAGTTCTGGGCTGATTCCTCACCGTTCTCATGATAATTGCAACTCCACGAGGTGAGATCTTGTATGGTGCCCCAGGCCGAGGGAGATTGACAGTTATTTTGTGTTTCTTCCATTTGCGAATAATCGCACCAACTGTTGTCACCTTCTCACCAAGCTGCTTGGCGATGGTCTTGTAGCCCATTCCAGCCTTGTGTAGGTCTACAATCTTGTCCCTGACATCCTTGGAGAGCTCTTTGGTCTTGGCCATGGTGGAGAGTTTGGAATCTGATTGATTGATTGCTTCTGTGGACAGGTGTCTTTTATACATGTAACAAACTGAGATTAGGAGCACTCCCTTTAAGAGTGTGCTCCTAATCTCAGCTCGTTACCTGTATAAAAGACACCTGGGAGCCAGAAATCTTTCTGATTGAGAGGGGGTCAAATAATTATTTCCCTCATTAAAATGCAAATCAATTTATAACATTTTTGACATGCGTTTTTCTGGATTTTTTTGTTGTTATTCTGTCTCTCATTGTTCAAATAAACCTACCATTAAAATTATAGACTGATCATTTCTTTGTCAGTGGGCAAACGTACAAAATCAGCAGGGGATCAAATACTTTGGCCCTCACTGTAGTGTTTTTTATCATACCCACCGATCTTGTGATCGCTCACATGATGGCGAGGCAAAAGGTGCTCTCTCTTTCCCTCTCTTTACCATAGCCTCTATCTCTCCTCTTCATCCATCTGTCACTCTCTTCCTCTGTCTGTTCATCCGTTCTGTATCTCTATCTCTTTCCCTCTCTACTGTAACTCTCTCTCTCTTTGATAATGGTTAAGAGGAGTTTGAGATCCTGATTAAGAATTATTGGTTTAAGTGAGAGGCAGGCAAGTGAGAGGCAGGCAGAAGTTAGGAGGGAATCAGGTCTGGATAAACAGACAGTCTCATGACCTGCTCTAACTCATCCATGGCATCAATTTTAGTGAGGACAGGGCGGTGCAGTGTGTGTGTGTGTGTGTGTGTGTGCCTGTGTGTGTCTGTGTGTCTGTGTCTGTGTGCACGTGTACGTGCGCGTATACTGTATATACAGTATATATATATATACAGTGTATTAGTTTGTGTGTGTATACTACATGTGTGCATGCCTAAATGTTTCAAGCCACACAAAATGCATCAATGTACACAGTGTGTATGCACAGTGAGACCATATCTAAAAGGTTTACTTCAGTCTGACTGACCTGACCACAACTTTTCCCTACCTCCCTCCCTTTCTAGGAAAATGCTGACGAAGGATAAGAAGCCAGAGGAAAAGGCAGAGGTGAAGGAGACTGCCGAGGTGATCCCAGACAGGCCAGAGACCCCCAAGCTGTTCAAAGCAGCCCTGGTGGTCACAGAGCAGGCAGGCATTAAGGGCACCTTCGCCAAGCTGAAAGAGGGCTACAAAACTGGCGAGACTGAGGTAAACAGTACACGCATGCATTTACATGCACACATCTAGTGCCATACACACAACACACCTACCTCTTACGCTCTCTTTTTGGGGGTGGATTAAAATGGTTCTGAAATCAATCTTTGTTCTTTGAAAAAAACTCTCTCTCACCCCCAACCCCCTCTACCACCTCCACCAGTCCTCTGGACTCCCCATACCTCCTCCCTCCTCGATGGTGCACCGTCACTCCCCCATCCCCCCTACACATCCCCGCATCGAGGATGACGAAGATGTGGTTTCCGAGACGACCGACAGCATGACACGCCGTCACAAAGGTGAGGAGCTCCTGTCCGTCGAGCAGAAGCCTGAAGATCAAGAGGAAGAAGAGGAGGAGATGGAGAAGAAGTAGAAGGAGACAGAGAAGGAAATAGACAGAAAGAGAAGGGGAAGAAGTGTTGTGATCTCCCACTACCCTTCTATGCTCTTCTGTGTGTATATTGACATTGAGATTACGGACCGAAATGGTTAAAAAAAAACATTCTCTCTCTATTGCCACGTTCACTTCATGTCAGAAACTCTGGACCTCCAAGTCAAAATGAACGTCAGTTATTTGCGTAGAGCTTCCTATTGGTTGATTCTGATACTTCCCAAGTGGGAAACTCGGGTATCGTCTTTCTATAACGAGTAAGCAAGTCGGAAATTTCTGAGTTTCCGACATGACGTGAACATGGCATATGTCCCCCTTGGGAAAGTTCCCTTTACAGAGTTATCCTTTCATATTCTGGGATATTCTGTGTGCCCCTTCTTTTCCTTCACTCCCTCGTGGTCTCACTGATGTTGTGTGTGTTTTAGTACCTTAAAGCAGCAATCAGCAGTTGAAACAATAACAAAGCTTACTTCCCGCCGCTGTTTCGGTAAAAAGCTGAGGGATGTAACCACTGTCAAATTCATAGACAGAGCTATGGATGCAAGGACTGACCATCCATGATATCAAAATGTAGTGTTATGCATGTTTTGAGGCTATATAGTGTTTGTTTACATTTACTTTGTTTACAAACATTGAAGTAAAGCTTATATTTTGGGATCTGAAATGGTACGACTGTTGAGACATTTATAAGTTATATTCTTCAAGAATCAATGGGTACACATTATTCATTTATAAGTCCAAAAATGTATGTAGCAACTGCAGATTGCCCCTTTAATCCTTATTGAGGCTTCATAATCCTATAGAGCCCTTATGGTTATAAAACTCCATTAGACAGGGGGCTTAGCTCCAGGTCTGCTACTGCTTCCTGCTTCTATGTACTGCCCCCAAGGACCTGTGACAGAGGCACTATGGCCTTAACCAAACCTAGACGTTGCTGGTTTCTATATTTCTTTAGCCATTCCTTTTTAAAAGAGAGGCCATTTTCTTTTGTAGTCTGTGCCACAAGAGTAAACACTAGTCTTTGACTCTAAAAGTATGCTTAGCATTTAATCGTTGGGAAAACATCTGTGTTTCTCGTAACTTTTTTTTTCCTTATCTGAACTCTGAGATTAAGCGGTCCTGTGTTGGTTTCCATGGTGCCGTGATGCGTCACACTAGTCGATATCTGATTGGCTGATTCAGGGTCGTTGCCATGTGTCCTCCTGTCTGACACAACAGGAGCACAAATGGGTTTCAATGATTTTACTGAGTTACTGAGTTGCGAGGTCAGAGAGTGTGTGGGTGTGTGTGAGATGTGGAAATGAGTGTGTATGAGCAGGAAGAGGTGCAGAAAGCCAGAGGAAGTGTTCATTGTGTCCGTCTCAACCAAACGGGAAAAGGTAGAATAGAAAGGTGGGAATAAAACAATGCTGAGCAAGCCTCAGAACTAACCTCTGTCCAACGCTGTGCTACATCTTAGGGTGTGATGAAGTGTGTGTGTGTGCATACTTGTGGTAGGAGTCACATTTTAACTTAAGTTAAGGTTGACTTTCCAACCATAGTGGGTTCTTTTTACACATCATAGCGTAGCATACTTCAGACATAAAAAGATGCCTAGGTGTTATTAGAAGATTTAGGGCTAGATTCGATCCGTATCACAGAAGTAGGATATCGCGGAAGATCTGAGTTATAGCTTGATTTAAATTTCAAGGCAATGTTCCGGCATTCGCGGATACTACATTCACGGTAAACGCTGCATGTCGGCTCAATCGAAAATTAACTTTACATTTTAACGCAGATCTTCCTAGATACTGCCACGATACGGATTGAATCCAGCCCTTAAATTAAGTTAGCTCAAGGATTATGCCCATCTTCCATGTTTTTATCAGACTGTTTTTAACATGGATATGTATCAGTCGACTTGACGTGCTTTTGGTGTCATTTTCAACTGAGAAAGTATCAGACACACTGAACCATTTTGGAAATGAAAGCTTGTGAATCCAAAAGTCAAGCATTTATATATATATATTTTTTGTTTAGTGTTTAAAAGAGTATCTTTGGAACCAACAGCTGAATACAACTGGCTATATGTAAGCTCTCTTGTTGGATTCAGTTAGATTTTTGACAATGAAGAAGAGGAATGTTTCATAGATTATAATTTGCCTAGCATTGTAATATGTATGAGGGTGAATGCATTATATGTAAGCAGCTTGTAAATAATAAAAATATTGTGCATAGTGAAGATTGTGTAACGTGTGTTTGAGTGAGAGAGAGAGAGAGAGAGAGAGAGAGAGAGATTGCCTACCTTTCATTCTGTCTGCAAGTCGTTTTAGGTCAGAGCTGTGGTAAACTAAAGGCAACAAAGTGATGCTTTGATATACTTTTTTAATGCTCTCATGACTTGCATTAAGACCACTGGTTGGTAATTAAGATGTTTCAGGGCATAGTGACGACTGTTTTGCTTTAGTTTTGAGCTTTTGACTGGTCTGCTAAACGGGACATTAGCATGAGTAAAGCACAGCACAAATCAGTAAAAAAAAGTATGCATTAATTGCGCTGTAGTTTACACTGCGGGGAAAATATATTCTGTGCACAAATATCCCTTGCCGAGTACCCAACAACCGGATGTTCTGGTTTTCAGGGGAAATGGAAAGAGAGCGTTTGATACGACTTCCGCTTTTGGACATTAACAAGGCGATACTCCATCTTAACTCCGCCTCCACGTTTACTGGATTGGTTGAACAGTGCAGAAGATAACAGTTTGTACCCCCCCTTTTTTTCCTGTCAAGACCAGTATTTGGGATCTAGTTTTAGGCGTTTCTTTTACGCCTGCTATGTTAGGTTAGTTCGCATATACTGTAACTGCATTTCGCTTCTTCAAGTATTTTCTTGGATAAACGAGTATAACGGTTTTAATATATTTACTCAAAACAGTTGAGCGAGAGATTGGTCAGTGGTCAAGCAACAATACAAAGAGAGAAACATCTGTCAAAAGTATCGCTCTTTTGGTGCTTTCAAGACAACTGGGAACTCGAAAATAACCTAGATCAAATCATTACTTCGGTCATTGGGAAAGTCGAAGCTCTCGAAAGATGCCCAAGTTTCCGACTTGGAATTCCGACATCAAAACGATTTTTCCCAGTCTGATCTCGTTTTTTCCTGAGTACATTGTTGTCTTGAACGCACTGAAGTCAGAGAGTCCCAGTTCCCAGTTGTTTTGAATGCAGCAATATGTCTAGCCTACGTCACAGTCAGCTGGTGAATTCCACTCCAAATCTCGAGGAGACTTGACTTTCCACCGCGGCAAAAAAAGAAAAACGTATCTCCACGGAAATATTTGCTCCACTGAATTCTGGATAGGCTAGTTCAACGGTTGGACTGTGCAAACGTTTTTTTAATTCAGACACTTGATGTGAGGTTGATTTATTTTGTTAATTCGGGAAATGTACGGATAAAATAACAAGGAGAGGTTTCGCGTGTTGGACGGAGAGGTAAGAGTTGCTAACGTTGCACTTGCACAATTTTTCTTTAGCAAATTGTTTGCTTTCCATTTCATAGTAAATTGTTTGTAACATTTGCACACACTTTTGCGTTTACAAAGTAAGTTGTAGTTGCCTTGTCAAAATAATGTTGGTTTGTATTAACAATATTGTCAAACCGCGAGTTGCACACTGATTTGGCAGCGTGGTGATGCGGCTCAATTAGTGAAATTGACTATCGATGTTAGGCTACTTGGCGAGGCGTCCTAGGCTACAGCCCAAAGCCACATTTATCAAATTGCTTTGTTTTGTTTCCGATGCTTACAGAAAATGGCAACCGAGCACATCCAATTCACTGAAAACAACTGTGTTCACACCATTCCAGCTGTTTCCATTCGTGTAAATTTTTTTGATCTCTTCTGTCCCCCCAAAAAAATTCTCAGCGTTTTTATTTAAGTGCTGACCTTTGGGATGGTGAAAGGGGGTGTGTGTGTGTGCCCCTGCCAGAGAGAGGCAGCCGTGCCAGAGAGAGGCAGGCTGGCTAGAGTAGACAACACAAGATATTTCACCTTGGCTTGGGTACATTTTAAAAGCAGCGTGTCAGTTTCAATTTCATGGTTTGGTTTCCATTTTTGTACACAAGCATCCTGAACAGGAGCCCTTGGAGAGAGGGGGAACACATGGAGGCAGTTATGTGGTTAATCTCAGGGTGTGTCTAGTCGGCTTTACAGACCGTGCCAAAGAACGGATGTATGATCTAAAAGTAGAATAGTTGATTTATGAGTTATCCTACTTTTTTTGTTTTGTTGACAAGACAAGGAAATTGTTTCAGGGACAGTGGTCTTGATTTTGACATTGGAGCACATTTTCTAACCATGGGTAATAGAGAGCCTGTTGTTCATTGTTACAAGTCCTGCTTCAGGAATAGCTGTACATGTGGGTAACATCCCTCCCCTCTTACTGTTTGAAAATGAATAGCCCAGTCAATGTGGGGGTGACATATTTTGACAGGACCACTTTTTTAAAAAGCCCTCCCAGTTGTTACTGCACCAGAGGGGGCTGTGTTTGTATAAGATCTACTGCTAGAGCACACACAGAGTACACAGAGTACAGGGACATTCCAGTTTGTTCTGCATGTTCCCTACAGAACCTCTCCTCGCGTCATCACTGGTATGGCATTCCAGAGGCAGGAGTCACGAGCAGAACACACTGACCCTACCCCTCTCTGTTAGACCTGCATAGCTGAGAAAAATTAGACCGCTTTAACTCAATTTCATGTTGTTGGGAATGTTGATGGGAGGGAAGATAAAGGTCAGGGCATGTCTGCTAGGTCTCTGTATCTGTTCGGACTGTTATTGTGGGAACTGCTTAGACAGTTCCTATGTTGGACTTCCATGGCGATGGAGACACAATTCTGCCCCCCCCCTAGATCATGTTCCACTGCAAGGTATAGTTGGACAAGACACCAGTCTGGGCTGGGAGGGTGTAGCGACAGAGAGCACTCGCACACAGTCAGTCTGTGTGGTTTCCGAAGGATGGGCTGGTTGAGTCACAGGCTGTAAAGAGAATAAGAGACTACTGGTGGAAAATTACATGTCATGCAGAGTGATTATGTAGCTCCAAGTGTGTGTGTGTGTGTGTGTGTGTGTGTGTGTGTGCAGCTACTAGCTACACATCAGACAATGTATTCCGTAAATATTTGCCAAAGACAATGTATGGGGAAATCTGTTTCAATTACATTAA